GCTAGATGATTAGAAACCCGAATGATGAGGCATATGTCAAGCAGCTTACCGTTGATAGAAAAGGTTCCAATTTGGCCTGTTGTTGATGTTGGAAGATTGTCGTAAGAGGAAGTGAACTAGGAAGTTTGTCTATAAGATTCATGAAGAATGTTGGAGTATCAGGAGTATTCAAGACTTACAAAGCAGTCAGCCGTCTTGGTCGACAAGGTCCTGACCTCTGTGCTCAAGGCCCCAGTCGTTGCTGTGAAAGCTACAAGGGCGCACGCAAGCTCTCTTCTCATAGTGGCTGTAAGAAATTGTTGTTCTTGAGGTTTTGCAGGAAGTGCCCAGGATAAGACTGATGGCAAACGAATGATATGGAAGAGGCAAAAGCTATTTTGTTAGATCTGTTGGAGGACGAGGCAAGCTTGAGCTTGAGCTTATGTACTCGGCTATCAACCGATCTTCCATCCCAGACAACTTCACTTGCATTAGTCTAGTAGCTGAGAAACTTTCCGGGTTGGATTTCATGAGCCTACTCTTCAAGCAGAATCCGGAACCATCATGCAATGAAGGTGTACTCCGTGGGTTCACTGAGTGACAGAAAACATTGACTCGTTTTCCGCATCCGTCGTAAGCAGTCAGATCACGAAGTGATGTGCAACGCTTTCACCTAGACTTGCGGCTCGCCAGAAAGAACATCTTATCGGCGTTCTCCGGGTTCGGCGTGCCAGGCTAGGACCCTTGCAGGGAATCTGTCCTGACTCAAGAGGAAAGTGAAGATTCGGAAGTCATGTTTGGCAAGAAGCATATTTACAAAATGATTAGTAAAGGATCAGAGTTATCGGAAGTTGAAGGACGCCCGACCACAAAGCATTGGATTCTGAGAGGCAGCTGACATGTATCTTCACTAACTTTGTTGGCTCTAGCAGCTCGTATTGACCTCTTTTAGACAGACAATACCCATCTTGGAAGCAACTCTCATGTGTAGTGAACGCCGCTTTCAGACATACTATGAGAGGAAATATGCATGTGTATTAGAGCCATGATGGGTCTGTTCGTCTCATCTCTCGCAAGTCTTGCGCTCTCATCTAGACTCATGAAATCTGCCTTCAGACCAAGGTAGGGTACATGTAGTAACCGTCATACTCAGCTTGACGCCAAGAATAGTCCTATTCAGACTCTAAACTAGCCCGAAGATCGTCTTCATGCTTTGCCGAAAATCATCGTGAAGATGTACCTCCCAAGTGATGTATGAAAGCCAGGGGGTAAATCCTTTGCATGGATGCATGCACATCAACTACTGAATGAGATATCAGACATGCAGTTCCTAAATAGCCTTCCTGAGGATGATCCTTTCCCATAGGAGAATCATTCAAAGACAGATAGCCGGTCAATCGACTGGTACGGCGATATTTTACCTAGAAAAAATGAGCCCATCGCTTTGGCAAGAGGCTCTCCACACATATGGTTTCAAGCCTTGAACATAAGGCAAAACGACATTTCGCGAGGACTTTCGAATAACATCACAGGACCAATGAAGTCTTTGCCACGCTGTTTGGAAGCTACCGAGGTATCCCTAGACACCCCGTGCCCTGTTACCCACAGAAAGACGCTCTCCACATAATACTACCGAGAAGACCCAAGATAGGCACGCAGCATGGCTCAAGATCTTAGGCTTGCCTGATATGCTGATTATCACTTCTGATATATGGATATATCTGGTATTCGAAAATCTGGAACACAGTTACTTATGCACCTACTTCCTGAGTTGAATCTTCCATTCTGGGTGAGCTTGAATTGAAAGTGTTTGGTGATCGTCAGGAACACTTGTTTTTGCACGCACGTCTAGTCTCAATTGTATCCCCCTACACGGAGTTACGGATAAATGTAAATGATTCGAACACCCCTCTCAGCTATCGATGAGTTGCATCTACACAGTGGACTAGCCTGTCAGTTGAGTTTACAAGGGGCCTGGAAATGTCTCATAGTTCTCGTACACGATCTCTTCAACGACACACCTCACTACATCCTCTTTCCCTTTTTGGGGCTGGTGTCTATTGCTCATGCTCAGCTGTGATGATCGTGACTAAATCCGTCCAGACGGCAATATGAACGGTAGAATCGGCATTTTTATTCCCCTTTGCATCTATTACAGTACCTCTGGTACCTACACGACGTTACAGCCATCCCACGAATGCCGACGTGCTGGTGTTGCTAAGTCATCTCAGGCTATCTAGCCTCTTGACCTGGGCGGCAGTGTTGATGAGAGCTCTTGCTTACAGCCTAACACGTGTTATTGACAAAGGGTGCACCGGAGTTAATGTGATCCGTGAAACACCAAAAGTTCAATTTCTCGCTCAAGACTCTCATGGCCACACGGAGTTTATCAGCGCAAACACACAAGGCTCCCCCACGAATGCATACGGAATTGTGCCTTCGAGTCAGGACGTGTACACATGCATTTATTAATCAGATATGTTACTGCAACATGGTACTTTAGGGTGTAGGGTATCATCTCGAACTCACTACGAACATACGGGCAGAACCTGATGGCGCTCGCTGTATTACCGCACTGATTCTCATCTCTAAGATAAATGACATTCGCTGGCAGCTTATGTATAAGAACATGTAAATGCTTTCATAGTGCTACCGTATTCAGACTGAAGAGCAAGTTCCGAAGGTGGAATCGCACTGGCGCAGTCCAGACATAAGACAATACAAGAATATCTAGAGCCTCAGAGATACCAAGAAAGGGAGACTGGAGAGCTCAAAAATCTCCGAACTCGGACTTATGAAGCTGACGTTCTTGTGAACGATCACTCTCGGCACGTCTAGCAGGCTCTGAGCTGATCATCTAAGGCGTTTAGGGCAGGGGCTAGACACAAAACCCAGGAGAATGCCGATGGAGGGTGATCACTTGAAGCTGGCCGATATAGCGCAATGCTAACGCGCTTGCCATGTCCGGATGCAATGCACGTACTCCGTGTACCAGCAACACCTCTCCACTTCTGCCGGCGGCACAGCGTTGATCGGCCTTGTTGTACGGACCCACACGCCCCGTTCAACCCAGTTGTGTCTCAATTGGGTCCTTCAAACAACGACTTGTATAGACGCGAGGCGACACGGTGTTTCACAACGTCTACATACTTAGGGAAGCCTCACTTTAATCCTGAGCAGCAATGGGCTTGTTTCGGCGTCGATCCAAGTGGGCATGCGCTACGTGGATACTAAGACTCTTCCCTTCGTTCCAGACGCCATGCTAAGCGCCAGGGTTACACGGCTTCGGCCCGGGAACCAACCAGCATCAGGCATAGCTAGGACTCTACCCGAAAGGGATACTTGATTCAAGAATCTGTGCAACAGACGAAGGAGTCTGACGGTGGTGTATGATGTGACATGTCCATCCAAAATGATTTACGGATAGAGCTTACGGAGTACATGCTCCAGCAAAATACCCCAGTAGATGCTAGGCCACTTTCGTAGGTGCGCGGCCGTGTGCTCGGACAGAGAGCATTTTCCTTCCTTCTTTTCCGGCTAAGGCCAGTACTTCAGGGCAATTGTCTCAGTTCCTCCACGGTGATCCTTCCGCTAGCTATTTCCTGGCTGATAGCACGAGTCAGCTTTGTCGACTTCCTTTGGTGCTTACACTTGTGCTGGAAACTCGGAGTTGACCCAGCTCGGAGTAAGGTACCATGTCTTGCTATCGCGAACATTGTTCCGTCAGGGACAAGAAAATATTCTTCGATAAGCGGCATCATTTGATATTCGAGCGGTTGATGGGAAGGATGGCCCAGAAAAGCAACGTGACATCGTGTACGCCATTCGGCCTTTCCAGTTCAGTCATTAAAATATCCACACGTGCGTTCAAGTTGCTAGATACAACACAAAGCTTCCGGCGGCTTTACACCATCATGTCATGTACCACAGTCGTTTATACATCAGCTAAGTTGGTTGAGTCGGCTGGTGGATGATACTTTTCGACACCTTCAAAGTATCTAGAGCACAAGGTCCGGGTAACATCTTCGCTGAGATTGAGATTTCATGATAACGATAGTATGTATGTAATGTCAACCGACAAGGGTAATATTCAGAAAAGTACGTACCGCCCCTGAAATCTTTGATCAGAGTGAATGTCTTGCATTTTCGCAACCATGGTCGGTTTTTGATCAGAACAACAGCTCTGATTCCCGCGGTCTCCGGCCAATCCGACATCGACTACCCCCAAGGCTTGAGGTCAGGCCTGGAACTTAACCCAGCTATTTAAAGTTTAAACCATACCGTCTACCTACCTACAAGTACTTATACTTGATCTTCTATGTATGAGGGGTGTATCTAAAGCCGGGTGTCTTGCAGATCTTAACTTCTGAAGAACTCCCAAGGCCGAGTCATCGCCGGATACCTTAGTTGTCAAGTAGAATGATACTAACCCTCTTGGACTAACATCAGCTGGCATCAATCACCGTGTATTTGTCTGCTTTTACACAGGACCTTTCTCTCAAGTTGTTCTGTCATGATATTTCAGAGACACAACTTTCCGTTTTTTAGATTGTTGAACGCTGATAGGATGAGGTTGGTGGCGCAGAGCTCCTTAGCTTTCGTAACGAGTGTCTCCCAAGACGCAAACGGGCTGAAAATTCGATGTGATGCTGCGATATGAGAAAAGTTTCGGTTCTCAGGGGATGACTGAAGTCTTCTCGTGAGGTTATCGGACATTATTCACGCGTTGAGGTTGAGACAGGCTGAGCACGAGATGGATGACCAACAGACATTAAGCTAAAACTTTCATTCTATGGAGTCTCATTTGATGTTTGCGGAAAGCATTTCCAGTCTCAATTTGAATTCGTCGTTATGAGAGATGTTCAAACTTCCCGTACAGAGCTGGTATGTTAGGATTAAAAGACGACAATGGTTCTCTTCCAGAAGTAGGAGGTTGCTGAAATATTCATCTTCATCCAGCGCTCCCTGTTCTATCGCATCATCTTCATCTTTCCTAGAAACTCCAATAATCAGAAATCAATATGAAGTGGATCATTCCACTTTGTCTCGGCCTTCGCTGGGCATCACTTGCTGCCGGTCAGGCTTCCCCATCGCCTACCGTCGGTAGAGTCATCATCGAGTACCAGCCATTTGAGATTCAATGCTCTGGAAATATAACCGTATCAACCAGTGCTAGGTACCTAACACTTAGCCTCTGCAGTATCCGAACCTCGCAGCTAACAACCATGTAGGACTTGGACTGAATGGCAAATCACGACAAACATTGTCCACGATGGTACACTCACCTCAAGGGCAACGATAACTGTCTCCGCCTCCGGAGATGGAGCGAGTAATTCTGCCGTTCCACCAATTGAGACTCATAGCTGGGAGGGCATATCTGCTTCAGCTGCTTCTGGCAGTAGTCCTGGCGTCATTGGGGTTCCTGGACCTGGCACAATCATCATCACGTCTACGGGAACTCGATCAGGAGCAACGACGGTCCAACCAGGAAGCCCAGGAGACCCAATCACTGTCATTACTTTTGTTCAGCCTTCTGGGAGTTCATTGCCCGCGGTGACTTCTGTTGGCACCCGTACTGGCCTAAGCACGAATCCTCCCGGTCCGAGCGGAGGACCTTCGACCATCATCGCCTCGGTATCAGGCAGCCCACCAACTATACCTCCACCTGTCATCCTGACGTCTCTTGCATCGACCACTGGTCTCACGACTCTTCCCCCTGGTCCTGATGGCGGACCTTCAACCATCATCACTTTTGTGGCAACCAACCCGCCTTCCTTACCACCCATTATCATCACTTCCAGTGCTTCTACCACTGGTTTGACGACCATACCTCCTGGCCCGAATGAAGGCCCACCTACCATCGTCACCTTTATCATCGAACCACCCAGCCCAGTGACCCTGACATCTTTGGCATCGACAACAGGCTTGACTACGCTTCCTCCCGGCGAGAATGGCGGCCCGCCTACCATTGTTACTTTCATCACAACAGTATTCCCTCCGGTTCCGGCCACGCTTACCTCTGTTGCGACTACAACTGGCCTGACGACTATTCCCCCTGGTCCCGAGGGTGGCCCGCCCACTATCATCACCTACATCACGAGCCCCCCGCCAGTCACTCTGACATCCATTGCATCAAGTACTGGATTGACTACTATACCGCCTGGCCCCGGCGGTGGACCTCCGACCATTATTACCTTCATCACCACTCCACTGGCTACACCACCAGTCACGCTGACCCAGACTGCAAGCACCACGGGGCTGACTACGATTCCCCCTGGACCAACCGGAGGGCCTTCCACAATTATCACTTTCGTGACCGGGCCTCCACCAGTCACGCTGACGTCTTTTGGCAGTTCGACTGGTCTAACTACACTTCCGCCTGGGACTGATGGGGGACCTCCTACTGTTGTCACTTACCTGACAAGTCCTCCCCCGGTAACGCTCACCTCTACCGCCAGCACAACGGGTTTGACCACTCTTCCTGGGGGCCCCGGCGACCCTCCTACAGTCATCACATATATGACAGGCCCCCCACCAGTTACCTTAACCTCCACCGCCAGCACTACCGGCCTGACGACGATTCCTCCTGGAAGCCCTGATGGTCCACCCACGGTCGTTACCTACGTGACTGGGCCTCCGCCCGTCACTCTTACATCTACTGATAGTACAACTGGCTTAACCACCTTGCCCGGAGGTCCGGGGGGGCCGCCTACAATTGTGACCTTTGTTACAGGTCCCCCTCCGGTCACTGTCACCTCAACTGCGAGCACTACTGGCTTGACGACTCTTCCTGGAGGACCTGGCGGACCGCCTACGGTTGTGACCTTCGCTACAGGCCCTCCGCCGGTGACTCTGACATCTACAGCGAGCACGACCGGCTTGACGACCTTGCCTCCAGGCTCCGAAGGAGGTATTACAACTGTGATCACATTTGTCACTGGTCCTCCACCGGTAACGCTCACATCCACGGGATCTTCTACAGGTTTGACAACTCTTCCGCCTGGCCCTAGCGGTGGTCCTCCTACCATTGTTACATTCGTCACTGGCCCGCCTCCAGTTACTGTTACATCAACTGCTAGCACCACTGGACTTACCACCCTCCCGCCAGGTCCCGACGGGGCGCCTTCGACTGTAGTGACTTTTGTCCCACCTCGTACTGGCTTCGTAAGAACTTTGACGTCTACCGCCTCTCAGACCGGTGTTACAACCATTCCTCCCTCAGATCCCTTCGGGACCACTACCGTTATCACGTTCGTGCCTCCCCCCACTGGATTTATCACAACTCTTACTTCCACGGCTACCCGAACGGGAGTGACAACGATTATCCCGAGTGATCCAGCTGGCACAACTAGCATTATTACATTTGTACCTCCTCCGACAGGTTTCCTTACAACCCTCACATCGACTGCCACTCAGACAGGAGCAACTACAATATTTCCATCCGACCCTGCTGGAACTACGAGTGTCATTACTTTTGTACCGCATCCTACCGGATTCTTGACAACTTTGACATCGACGGCCACTCGCACAGGAGTAACGACAATCATCCCAAGTGACCCCGCAGGCACTACGAGTATCATAACCTTTGTTCCTCCTCCTACTGGTTTCCTGACAACTCTTACTTCAACCGCCACCCAAACGGGAGTAACAACAATTGTACCATCTGATCCTGCAGGCACCACCAGCATCATCACGTTTGTGCCCCCTCCCACCGGATTCTTGACAACCCTTACCTCCACGGCCACGCAAACGGGCCTGACAACGATCATTCCGAGTGACCCAGCTGGGACAACAAGTGTTATTACCTTCGTCACGCCGAGCAGCACAAGCACCTCATCGAGCTCAAGCACCAGCCCCGTACCTTCCGGTGCTTGCGCTACGCCGCCGGTGGACTGTGCTGCCTCTGGACTGACTCTCAGAGCTTATGCCAACTCTGTTCAAGTTGCCAGTGGGTATGGAGTTTCCGATGGTCGTTCGGGAGTTGGACCTGATTATTACCTGTCTCAAGCCCCCCTCGCTCAGGGCAGTACAAATTCGCTCGGAGTTCCTTTCCAGGGATCAGCTGGTTCTACCGCAACACCATACAACCCACAGACACCAGGGTCGTCGGCAACCTTCCAGTACTACGACGGCTTGACCCAAACTTACGGAGGGATCACGTACAACGCAAATAACTTCACCCTCGTCTTTACTGGCTATTTCCGCCCCGATCAGACTGGTACCTACATATTCTGCTACGCGCCTAACGCCGACAATCGTGATGTCCTGTATCTCGGCAGCGCCAGCGCGTTCCCTTGTGGCCAGCCTTCTAATGCAGCAACTCCTCGGGGAGCCACTCCACTGGCACAATACTGGTTCGCAGCAGCATCTGGTAACACGGGCTGTGCAAGCATCAACCTTATTGCCGGATATTTCTACCCAATTCGATCAGTCTTTGGAAACTGGGGGACTCCGTCGTCACTTTCCCTTGTGTTTTCAGGACCTGGACGAACAACGAATTCCTCCGATATCTCGGGGCTTGCCTATCCTGAATCATGCTCAACTGCCATTCCAACCGCCTCTCCCACTTCCAGCACCAGCTCGTCTATCACCACAGGTTCCTCGTCAACTTCGGCTCCTGTTACTGGCTTCCGGACCACCATCACATCGACCGGTACGCAGACGGGACTGACAACGATAATTCCTACCAACCCGGCTGGCACAACTAGCGTGATCACTTTTGTGACACCATCATCCTCTTCCACGTCAACTTCAACTTCGTCTTCGTCCTCCACTAGTCCGACCGCAAGCTGTACCCCTGGGCTACTCTGGGCTTACTACGGTCTTGCGCAAGCTCCAACGGAGACTGCTAGTAGCTCCGGAAATATCCCTTTTCACGGTAACGGCGCTGATGGTCAAGCAAATTGGAAGACGACTTATTTCAACATTAACACCGTGCTCTCTGGACAGAGTCCTGATAACACGGGTCGGACAACAACCATCGGTCTTGCGCAGCAATGCGCCACCACGACTCGGACCGTCTATGGAACCACGACGAGTGGGCAGTCCCAATACATGATTGTTCAACACATTGGATACTTCCATCCGGCCACTTCTGGCACGTACACTTTCAGCTTCAGTAATGTTGATGATGGTGTCTATCTGTGGTTAGGCAATAACGCTAAGACCGGCTTCACGAATGCCAATGCCAACAAAAATGTCGACTACTACGATACGAGTAGCGCCGGCACCTACACGTTCACTGCGACGGCCGGCCAATACTATCCAATTCGACTATTATTTGTCAATGCGCAACAGTGCGGCAGCTTCACTTTCTCGCTCACTGACCCGGCCGGAGGTGTTGTTGTCTCGAACTCTCAAGCCGTAGTTGGTGATCAACTCGTAGCCAGTTGCCCCAACGACGCGAACGCAGCGCCTTTCGGTTTCTAGAGCGTCTTTATTATTCTCCTTTGTAGTCTGTTTAATTGATTTGATTGAAAGCCGTTGCTGCAAGTAGATTGTTGATAGGAAAACGTGCTTCTTCAGTGTGCAGCTTGTGGATACTACGAAAGCTCCCTGGGTGATACCGAGAAGGTAACACCGGTCGACGAGACCCTAATAGAGAATACAGTTGCTCAATGATTTCGCCCTTTATGCTAGTTTTCCCGTCAGAGTGGGGGTGTAACGCTGTAGTATACACGGAAAGAACATATGGATCACGAAGTATGGTATGAGGAATCTAAGCCTGGGGTTTCTAACCTGTTCGCTAATCTGTTTCGGCATCGTGGAATAAGCCGTTCGAATAGAGATACCAATTTTGTCGCAACATGTGTCTCTACCGAGGCTTCCTCGGCTTCGATTGTAAGGCGCGCACTTCGACCAAGTCTCACGCACCCGGAAATTCGGGAGAGATCTCGGTGTCGCCCGTGCCGATCATGGAGGATGGCCATGCAACGCAGCGCACCGCGTCTGGTCACCCCGCGTTTGTGGGGTTAAGCATGGATCGGGCGTCAACCGGGGAAGATTGCGCCGGTGTTGTGTATGCACACTCTTGTGGGATGGTCTTGACGATGCACCATCGGATTTCTTGTGTTGCCCAAAGGCCGTATGGGAGACTTTCGTATCAACAAATTGATATCTATAAGACCCTTCATTATGTTCATTATTCCAATTTTTTGAGGTAACTCCTCGCATCACACCTCTATCAGAGTTCTTCGGTCTCAAACAGCCATCATGCATCTTAAGGCCGCTTTGCTCTTGCCTCTATTGTCATGGAGCGTGACAGCTTCACATTTCGAAAAGCTGCACAGTTTCAATGATACGTCATTCGCTCATCCAGGCGCTCTGCACTCCGCGAAAGATTTCGCAAGAATCAAGAACCATGTCCAAGCCCAGGATCAGCCCTGGTACCGAGCCTGGCAGCATCTAGAAGCCGGAAAATTGGCTCAGACCTCGTGGAAGCCAACGCCGCAGTCGATTCTTGTCCGCGGCACGAACGCCACCTTTGCTCCCACCAATAACTACGGTTATGCCTATCGCGATGCTCACTCAGCGTACCAGCTGGCTATTCGATGGCTGGTCGGAGGCAACACTTCCTACGCAGACCATGCAGCCAGGATCCTCGACGGCTGGAGCTCTACCCTTGTCGATATCAATGGCACTGAAGACAAATATCTCGCGGCAGGGCTCTATGGATACCAGTTTGCCAACGCCGCCGAGCTCCTTCGTGGATACTCCGGCTGGCCCAAGCAGAACCAGACGGCCTTTGGCAAAATGTTGAACGGAGTCTTTGCGGTGTATAACTACGACTTCCTCGAGCACCACTACAACAAACCGGATTTTTACTACGCCAACTGGGACTTGTGCAACATTGCCTCGTTGATGGCGATTGGTATCTTCAACGACAACAGAACCATGTACGATTACGCGGTCAACTATTTTAAGAACGGGATCCCGGGCCAGCCCGAAGTTGTCGCTAATGGTGCCCTGCCCTATTTCTCAATCGCAAATTTCACGGAGGAAGGCAGCGGAAAGACTTTGATGCAGATTCAGGAGTCTGGCCGTGACCAGGGGCATGCTTTGCTCTGCATCGCTCTCATCGGAGTTATCGGGCAACAGGGTTGGAACCAGGGAGTTGACCTTTTCGACACCTTCGGCCGCCAGATCCTAAACGCGTGAGTTCTCTTTCTGTCCCACTCCAAACTTTCTGGCAGGTCGCTAATTGAAGCTAGCGCCGAGTATGTTGCCAAGTACAACACCAACCACACTGTTCCTTACACGCCTTATCGTAGCTGGGAAGGTGTGCTGGAGGTCGTTGCCCCAAAAGCTAGGTTTGATGTACGACCTGGTTACGAAGCTCTCTACTCCCACTACGCGGAAGTTAAGGGTCTCAATGCTTCATGGTCAATGGAATTCCGTGACTTTGTCAATGGCAACCTAACCGCCAACATTGAAGGCGGCGGTGGTGACTACAGTCCCAACTCGGGGGGGTATGATTCGTTCGGACATGGAACTTTGCTGTATCGCATCGATAAAGATAGTTAAGCTTCACCCGAAAAGGGTGTGTTGCTAAGGTATCTGGGTCAACGGCAAGTTAAAAGTCGGTACTGGATAAGTCTAAGACAAAGCAATATCCTGCCAGCACTCTTGTCGTACATTTGTCTGCTCAGCCGCTGCAATCATAATTTCTCGTTGCGTGCACCCGGTTGAGACAACTGGCTCGCGACTTCTCAATCCAAAATTTATACAATAACTATGTTTTCCCACACGTATTACTCATCCCACTTTCGTTTTATTTTCCATCAAGCATATCTATCGACAAGTCTTGCATCCGACTTGATCGCGAAGCCTAGTCCAGTCCAAGCTTAGTGGTGTTTCGTTTCTGAGGTCGAGCTTCCATTGTACTAGAAAATGTTCTCCAAAGACTGCCGGTAAGGAAGTCGCAATATGAAGTTCTGGCGCATCAAAAGCTCACACACACCCCACAATCAAGGTGATAGCCAAAGAAAGCCTCAATGACTTCAGTACTTTACGAGCTGACAAGTATGGTGCAATTTTTTGTGAACTCCTAGTTTCAAGATATGAAATTCGATATGGAAGTGTTTCGCCTCTAGTTTACATTCGTTTCTTCGAGGCTGTATTAAGCCTTTCCTCGTCGAAACAATTATTCTTCATCAACAACGCCGACATGGTCATTCCATTATCGAAGAATCGTAGCCGTTCCATTTCCCAAACCCTCAATATCAGATTTGACTGGCAAGGACCTAGGGAGTGTAGGTAGAGCAGACTGCTCGGCCGAGAGCTCATCCTCAAGGTCCAAAGGGGCACGTCTCGGGATCTCAGTCTCGGTGATTGACGATCGAGAGAGGCCATCTGATCCTGTGCTGGTGACATATCCGGAGAGCGGCTGACGAGAGCTCTCATCAAACGTCGGATTGTTGTTATTCGCCGATGAGCCAGTGGCGGTGTGCTTTATACTTCCCAAAGTCGATGATATAGGTCCAGAAGCATTGTTGAGTGCATTTGTGCCTGCTTGCGGCAAGTCTCTTGCCTTCTCAGCAGTGTTGTTGGTCGCGCTGTAGACCGTCTGTTGACCGTTCCTTGCAGCGTTGCCGAGGGTCGTGCTCGCGTCAGAAGCAGCTTGTTGTACCTTAGAGGAGAGCTCCGCCGTCTTTGCTTGTCCATCACGAGCGAGCTCTGCGCCCTTCTGAGCCGTCACGTTTGCCGCATTTTGAGCCTGTACAGTGGCGTCATGGGCGATCTGCCGCCCCTGGGGTGAGGCAGCGAGAGGAGCAACGAAGATGGCAGTCACTCCGACTACAGCTAACCAAAACGGAGAAAGAACTTTGATGAGTGCATACACAGATGCAAGTCCGACGAATGCCTGGAATTATGTTTGTCAGAGACCTCTAACGCGTGGCACACGAAATTTGTATCTAGTGTTTACTTACGCCAAACGTTCTTCCAAGGTCTTCGCCATAGATGATTCTTTGAGCTTCTACCACTGCGTATTGAATGAAGTCGTGAACATCTCTCAGAGTGTTGTTGAGTGTAGACTCTGGCACTCTTCTATACTGTCTCGGTCGAAGGCGTGTAGATAAGGAGTCGGAACTGAACGACCGGCTGGCATACTCAGCAGCAGAGACGGCTAGGAAACTTAAGCATGGGCTCATATAAGTATGTGTGTCAGTCTTACCTCCAAGAGTAGTGACCGCCGCCTTCAATGCCAATTGAGTGAGGGGTAAGTAGTGTGCCCCGAACAAGATGCTCAAGGTACCGATATATACACCAAGGGTGCGAAGAGGATCTTCCCACTAGTTAAAAGTTAGCAAAGCTCCAGTGCGGGTGCTACATGAGCAAATACACACGTTGATATACTTGTAGAAGCTGTCTTGTTGGGCTGGGTGAAGGTCTTCATTAGCATCTTGTTTCAATTGACGGGACGAGGTTCACCCAATACCTAAAACCTGTCGTATTGGGCCGTCCTGCGTCGATCTTGGCTGTTGTCCTTCGTTCAAGGCATTCTGGATTTTTGATGCGACTAGGAAGTTGCGAGAACAGCTGTAAGTCTTCTAATTCACGTCGACTGTTGCCGTGCCTACAAAACTTACTCTGCGATTTTCCTTGTTCAGTACGATGGGAGCTATCAGCCGTTCCGGGCAAAACAATGACAGTTGGGTCGGCCATGATTATGACGTCGACGCGTGGATGATGAGAAGTTGGCGAGTAAATGTGGATAAGATCACGAACTCCACTGAAGCGAGGGATTTGGAGCTTTCCCTTTGATTTGATGAGAGAACAAGAACGACAAATGGTCTATCAGACAGCGGAAGCAGACTTTATGACCAAAGCCAAACATTCGAAAATCTCCTAGACCACTCGTGGCACGAAGGCGCAATCCTGGTGTATTGCACCACCGGTATGCGGTTACACGATGTGAGGGGAAGGGATTACAAAACCCAGCGTTCGTGACGTACATAGCTGGTCATCGCGTATCCGCTAAACTGCGGTAGGATTCCTCAATGTCAAGAAACGGCTCGCATACCCGCTGGCATCGAGATACAGTACGCCGCGCTGTCATTACCTTGGTCGAGGTGAGGGGGAAAACCCTTTGATGTTCAAAGACGAATTGACGTCGTTCGGCGGTCATTTGGGGTCCGTTCCACTCGCAGCCCCGACGCGCTTTGATGACGAGGAGGCGGGGTGTCTCACCAAGACATCACGGCACTGGCATGCCGCTAGACTGGCTAGAGCCAAGATGATATTCGAGGGACTATTTACTCATTTGCGTACATACTTACACCAGACCAAGTGCGTCAACTACTTCATGTCATTTCAGGAGCTGAAGCAGGTTTTAACAGATTTATTCTCCTAACTAGAGTCGATAGAGCCGCAAAGGTACTTTCACCTACGCGAAAGGTTCAGAGGCGACCTTGTCCAGTGCGCCCCGGATACTTATGAAGGCGTTCGGTCTTTACGGTACGGCCCGCTTCCTAGTGCGTGAGGTTTCAATCTGCACAAGGTAGCTGGATGCAACCCTCCAAGCCCATGCATCAAAGGTATAACCTTCGATGGAGAAGCTGACTTTATCTATGATTTGCCGCCTCCCTATTCGCGTCAAAGGGAAAGGGTGCGTCGCGTGACTCAATACGATGTAGATGAACAGTTGAATAATACATTGGTCTGCGCTTTTGCGACGTTTCCTATGCTAACCGAAGGGTATATGCGCTCTATGAGAACCATATAGTATACAAATAAGACGACAGAAGAAAAGAAAAACAACTTCCTCTACGTAACATGGCAGATTACATCTCACATTAGATGACCAAAACAGCCAATGCCGCTACAGCCGCAAGCAGCCTGCCGGAGCTAAGCTTACCAGCACTGGCCTGAACGGGGCCGGTGGTGGTTGCCGGGCAAGCGGCGCCGACACAGGGAGAGGTAGACCCGGTTCCGACAGGGATCACGGCGGTAGTCAGAGTGCCGTTATATCCATCCGACGGTGCAAGTACCAAGGTCGTAGGAATGGGGGGAGGGCCGCCGGGGGTGCCGGACACAGCGGGGGTCTCGAGGACGGGCTTCTCGGCGGAGACGGTGCTGCTGGATGCGGGAACACCAACGGTAGGAACACCGGCGCCAGGGGCGGTGGAGGCACCGGAAGTGGCAGGAACAGGCTTCTCAGAGACGGCTGTGCCACCGACAACGGGTGTAGTGACGGGCTTGGGGACCGTGGTGGAGATGAGCTCGCTGGTGACAATGGTAGAGGTCCTGGCCGGGCAGTTCGTAACCTCTGCGGCGCAGGAGGTGATTGTCACGAGGTTGGTCTTGTATGTGGTCAAGACGGTAGGGACGTCGGTGGTGAGGACGGGCTTCTGGCCTGCCTCAGTGGTAGGCTTGGGGACAACGGCGCTGGTAATGATGGTAGAGGTTCTCGCGGGGCAGTTGGTCACTTCGGCAGCGCAGGAGGTGATGGTGACAATGTTAGTGAGGTAGGTGGTGATTTGCTCGACGGGAGGCTGGCCGGTGACGACAGGCTTCGCGGACCCGGCGGTGGTGGGAACGGCAGGGACACCGGGGATCGTGGTAGGAATGACCTTGCTTGTGACGACAGTCGAAGTCCTGGCCGGGCAGTTTGTGACTTCTGCGGCGCAAGAGGTGATTGTGATGATGTTGGTCTCGTAGGTTGTGATGGCCGTGGTAATATCGGCCACAGGCTCCTGGGAGCTGACGGTGATGGGGATATCGCCGCCGGCGGGCTTCGAGGGGGTGTAGCTCTCGACGGGGATGGCTACGGTCGTCGGGATGACTGCCTGGCTGGTGACGGTAGTCTGTCTGGCGGGGCAGTTGGTGACCTCAGGGGCGCAAGAGGTGATGGTGTGGACCTCGGTCTGGATGACGGTCAACTGCGTAGGGACGTCGACGACTGGGCAGATGGTGGTGGTGACAGCAACGACTTCGGTGACGACCTGAGGTGTCTCTCGGGCCGGGCAGTTGGTGACTTCGGCGGCACAAGAGGTGATGGTCTTGATGTTGGTAGCGTAAACGGTAGAGGTCGCCAGGCGGGTGGTCAGGCTCTCGACGGCGGCAGAAGTCGCAACGGGCTTCTCGGAGGCTACGGCGGTGGACAAAGCGGAGCTGACGACAGCGGTCTGCGCGACAGAGGTAGAGGCAGCAGCAGTCGAAGCGGCAACCGAGCTGGAGATGACAGAGGCAGTGGCGTTGCCGTCCTTAAGGTTGTAGTACTTGATGGAGCTGATCTTGAAGTAGACATCGGCAAAGGCAGTCGGGTTGGCGGCAACGTACTCCTTGCAAGTCATACCAGTCTTCGCCTCACAGGTCTGGGTCCAGATACCATCGTTGCCAGCCACACCGCAAAAGTCAATGTTGGCCACGAGCTTCTGCTCCTCGAACAGCTTGTCAGCGGCGCAGGTGCTGGTGGTGAAGCTGGGCGTGCCCCAAGCATCGGGGTTCGGGTTGGCGCTCGCGATGTCGGCGGGAACGTTGGCGTGAGTGAAGCCCCAGACGCGGATGGCGGTGTCAGTCCATTGCATGGCGTAAACTCCTCCCTCGGCGGATCCGAAGGGGGCAGCGCCATCGAGACCGGCGCAGCCCTCGTTGTCAGACTGGCCTGCGGCGTAGTTTGCGCAGTTGGGCTTGCTGATGGTGCCGGTCATGTTCGTTCCGTCGATGCGGCACTCACCGAGCGTGCCGTCGGTGTGGAGGACGACCTTGTTCACATTGTCCTCGTTCCAGGTCTCAACGATGTCGATTTCGCCGGCGGCGGGCCAGGGGTTGCCGACGGTCCAGCTGGTAATATCCGATCAGCATTATGGATGGGCTGAAGAATGCGAAAGGAACTTACACCGCAGGCCAGGCACCACAGACAGGCTTAGGAAGATGGGAAAAGTTGATGACAAACAGACCCTGGCCGTACTTGGCTGTACTCTCGATTCTTACACTGCTTCTGCCGATACCAGCGGCATCGAGGGTAGATGTAGAGTCGACACCGAGGTAAAGGTCACCGCCCTCAGTCTTTACGAGACCCATGCTCTGAGCATCTGCTGCCGACTTGTAGCTGACATATCCACCGGTGGGGTCAACATCGTTGTAGTTTCCGGTGGAGTGGTCGCTCTAGATAGATGATCAGTCAAAGGTCTAATGCATCACTTGTCGACTTGGAACATACCGTGAAGAAGCCAAACTTCTCAAGAAAGTTGGTCGAGTCGTAGCTATCAGCGAGTTGGTAGGTCTGGACAGCGGTCGCGGATGACGTGAAGAGGAGGGCGGAAGAGAGCGTGGAGAGAAGCGAAGGCGCCATTGTGGGCTGAAGATGGATATAAGGAATAGAAAACTAGGTGGAATAACTAAGCAGGACGACAGAAACTGGAAACATCAAACACAATTAAGAAACGACAGAAATGGGTCTTCGAACTGTAAAGTGAGTGAACAGAATGAAGAAATTCGAAGGCTTGTTCTTGAACAAAAGAATGACTTAAGAAACCAAAACAGGAATCTTGAAAGAAGGTGAGAGGGAGAGCCTGGATGCGCAAGGCGCTTGCTCCCATGGGGTTACCATGAGTCTTATACCGACCCGAAAAAGACTGTCGACCCAGATTTGCTCCTGGCCATTCGATTCACCCGCGGAGAGACGGGCTGAGATGCTCAGGGGGGTCTACGACCTACCTGTTTCTCCAGCAATTTCATTCTCATTGGATGCCCTCGTACCGACAGAGCCTTGGTAAGAAGTAACGGGAGCACTGGTTCGTTCAGGGGCTCTGGATGGAGAACGAACTAGAACATACATAGCCCGCTCCTCCCCTCGGCCCCTTGACAGACTCTGCCGGTTCTGGAGATATATCAAGGGTCTTGTGCATCGTCTGCCAACATACGTAAGTAATCGTGGTTCCACTCCTCGCATCTCCAAGTCTCTATGCCACTTGTGCATTGACATATGCGCTTGTGAGTGGGCACAAGAACATGTTTCCTGCAGGCCCAGAGAACCTCAAACACACCAACACATAAACGCATGCGTACTAAGTCCGCATTTGTTCATGGGACGCCAGGAACGGCACGGCGGTTGGCTGGCGGCTCAGGTACAGTCCGCGCAAAGGTGTCGTCGTCCCGAGGCCAATGAAGCGGAGGGCGCATGTGTGTAAGCCCACCCCCTGCTTGACATCCAGGAACAGACCCTTGATCGGGACAAGGTGGGCTCGAAGTGGACTGCAACGGGGGCCTGATGGTGGTCTGAGTGGATGTCGTGGACATGGTGGATTATTTTTCTTTGAAGTGACGGGCAGGATTCCGCCGTTCCCCTATTCTTTTTCCCCATTGACCATTCGAGCCATTGTCCCGCGCTAGACAGGGGTTGTCTCACTCAAGCCGCCGAGATCTTGATGGCGCTGGTCGCTCTTGGGGGCGTGATTGGCAAAGATCTCCTGCACCGTTGCATCGAATCCTCTAGACCAGCGGCTTTTCTTCAAGTCAATTTTTTTTTCTTCCTCTAGTTCACTTTGAGTGTCTTGCTGTTTGTTTCAAGTGATGACAGCTCACGAATAGTCCTAAGTGCCGCCGGTCTTCTTTTAGTTTCGTTACATCAGAGCGACGGACTGTCTTTGGTCATCTGGCCACGCGGCGCGTTAAACCCGTCAAGTTGCCGAGCTCTTCCAAGTTTTCCACACCCGTTTACGCATACCTTTCGGGATTGGAGGGCTCCAACTCCCAGCTTCCAAGGCCAGAAAAAACGTGTCGCTTTGATTGCTCCCGCTCAGGGGCTGAGCCTCCCGCTCCGGAAGTCAACGACCAATCCAGACGTTCACAGGGCTGGTTTCCGCGGCGTAGTGGCCGGCCGGGCGTCGTATTCGAATCTGTATTAGTGAAGGGGTTCGCCCCGGTGGAGTTACCAAGAAAAAGCGGCACGGATTTTGGATGTGGATGCACTGTCTTGTCAACTTGTGTTGCCCGGGTCATGGTTTACGGAGCGTTCCATAAGGCGAAGTTGCACAAATACAACAGATCGTAGACCAAAATATTTCCAAAGCTAACTGTGGAAGGCAGCTTTGAAAACGGTTTTATTTTGCTAATGCTCGACTTTTGTGGTTTTTCACTCTCTTGAATATCGGATGGCAGCCCTCGTTTGATGGCTGCTTTGCTCCGCTTTTGCCTCGGCTACGAGCCCCTTGCAGTCTGGTCTCTTCTTTCAGCTTTGGCTAACAACATGAAGGCGAGACCCAGTCGGTGGGCCGTGGGATGATATCAAGGAATATTCCCCGATCCTTGGGTCCGCGTACTAAATATGGCGTCCCTTCATCTCCTTCACCTTGCTTGACCGACTTTCTTCTCGAATTGGCACGACTAGGTGGAATGCTGTATCTCGAGTTTCGATATTGGGCCTACGCCTCAATATCATTGAACCAGAAATTCGGCTGTCAAGATAGAAACATTACCCCGTTGAGCAGAGTCGGCATTCGTTCGACAATCTGGTTATCGCACGCTGTAACCTATTCATCACTCACAGATGTAATGAGCCACCTGGCGCCATCCATCTGCTCAATTTCCAAAGAACAGTAATTCGAATAACGTTGTACAAGATTTTGGTGGTTAGATAACAGCCCTACTTCATGTCACGCACCCGCCATTTTTTCAATGATGCTTTCAGCTGCCCATAATGGACAACACTTATCCATATCAGCTAGTCCAATTCGCAGAAGAACACTCGCCAGCGATCTCACAATCACGCGAAACTTCCACATGCCCGGATGAAGTCTGTTGAACAACCAACACAGCTCTTCAGTTCAAATTTATGACTCCAGTCCTGCCTGATCATTGACCAAGTGCCGTGAAGATCACTGGCTGCATTACGGCATCTAGTGGGCGGCACATCTGGACCGCACGGCCCCGTGGAGTACGCCTTCTCGCCTGCGGATACATCCCCTAGTGCTGCAACGGCAATGCTTCGGAAGTGCCACTCTTCGGGCTATGATCGACCCTTGCCTTGAATTCAGCTTGGCTGACGTTGCATTCCAATTCCTCATGGCTCGCTCCTGCCAAGGTAATGGCATGAATGATCTCTGGTGTGGCTAGGGCCATTGTTAGGATTCCGGACATCTTATACTTCCCGTTCACGCGGGTGACGAAATTGATGGGCTCTCTCTATCCACAAAAAGTTCATTAGACAGCATCTGAGGTAAAATGTTTGCATGAATAGCTACAGTCCTGAGAATCTGCTCAGATACTCTCTCTATATCTTAGAATGATTCTATCTTTCTTGGTGGATGTAGAAGGGGTGATTTTGTCGATGCTGCTCAGAAGACGGGCCATCAAATTTGTCACCCGCGTGCCGTCTTCGGTATTGAAGACTCGTGAGCAAGTGCTATCAAACAAAACTATTCTTCGCTATCTTTCCTGTGAAGAAGAGAAACGATGCAAGTTGCTCATTTACAATAGTGTGATCCAAGGTCCTCAAGTCATACGCCGGAAGATTGGTCAAGTATATGTTATCTAAACAAAATTCCTTGAACTTCCCCATCCTGCAAAAGATCGATTGCAACATCTTTTCCTTGTATCGTCACAAACGAATGATGTGCTCTTAGTTGGAAGAAAAGAGTCTCCACTGCCAATTCGATTCCTCCTCTATCTCGATGGTTCATACTCGAAAGCATTTCCCCCGTACACGCTGTTACTGCTCTGAATGAGAATAATGCATCCTGGTTGAGACACTCCCCTCTCAAGACCACATAACATCATTTGGTGCACAATCATTTTACTTTCAGACCACAATCAAAATCCGGTGAGGTACCAGTAGTGAACTAAGTCTGCAGAGGTCTTCTCCAATACTTTGGAACGAAGAACGAACAGGGGGGTCCAGATGTAAGTATAAAGATACACAATGCCAGCTCACTCAAGTCTAACTTTTCACAAACGAAGCCTCCAACAAATGTCGAACTTGAATCCGACAAGTAGTTGGTATGTATAAGCTGTGTAATTACATCAGACTGACTGCAACTCTCACTTGAGAACGCGGGACTTGTCTTGAGAAACGAGTTGAGGCCATCTCTTTTACTCAATGCGGGATCAAGGGACGAATTCCAGCCACTGAAACTATATGCCAAGGAGGACAGATTATTTACTCAGTCCATTATCTTCGACTGCTATGCTCATAGACACGAATTTGGCCAATAACACAATCCCCGTTTTCACCCCAGAATGATCAAAGCCAGAATAACCACCCACGCACCACCCGCCCCCCACAACCGGAGTCCACCAAATCCTCCCTCCGCACCGCTCATCTGGTTCCCATTCGCATCAGGCAAAGACGGTGCGTTACGAAAGTCATTCGGAGGCACGATGGACGGCAACGTCTGAAAATTCGGCGGAACAAACACCGTCACCGGCGTGATGGACTCCGAAGACGGTGCCGAAGACACCCCATTAACGGGGGGGACAGATGGTGGCGGCGGGGTAGGTGACGCTGATGGAGTCTGAACCGCCGGTGGAAAAGTCGGCGGGGGTGCAGTTGTTGAAATAGATGTCTGGATGGCAGGTGGTAACACGGGCGCTGGTGGTGGGGGTATCGATGACGAGGATGAAGAGCTAGACGACGATGGGAAAGGTTGAATGGGCGCCAAGTTTGCCGGTAAGGTAGTTGTCACGGCTGGGTTCAGCACCGGCGGCGGCACTACCGGTGGAAGGGAGATCGTAGTTGTAGAGATGGTAGTGACCGGCGGTGCCGGAGCCGGAGCGGCCGGCGCGGCAACAAAACCGCACTCTCCAATGATTTCTCTGATATCTGCACTTCATCGTCAGCAAAACCCACCTCCCATTCAAGAGAACCAAACCACATCAACGAGCTCGACTCTTGCAAGAGGTAAACTCACCTTCATTGGCTTCCACAGCCGTAACATTCCGCGAAACACACGACAAACACCCAAACGCAGCCCCAGCTACATCGAAACCCCTCTCCCCACAAACACACGCCCTCGAAGCGCTCTTCGCCGCCGCCTCAGCAGCCTTCTTGTCAGCCTCCTTCGCAGCCTCCTCCGCGCTCGCCGAGCGCCCGACGCCCAACGTAGGCACCGCAGCGAGTCCCGACCCCGGAACCAGACTCGCCGTGGGCTCCTCTTCGTCGTCGCTGCTGTCCTCTGACTCCGGCTCCTGTCTCCCGCCGAGTCTCCGACCCAGCATCCTCTGGAGATTCCTCCTCTTCCTCCTCTTTCCATCGCCTCTCCATTCTCTTATCTCCTTGACATTTCTGTCTTTCACCGATTCATTTGGGTATCGTCGAGTCGGTAGATCCCGCTTGTCCTTCCCGAACTGGGCCTCCACTTGTGCCTCGCACCGCGCCGTGAGCTGTACTATAGGCGCGCAAACCTGAGCGCATTCGGGCGGGACATCTTCGGCCTCCAGTTCCTCTACTGCCGCAACGCCGGGGACCAACATCAGGCCGGGCAGGTTCGTGGTGGCGGATAGCAGTGCGAGGACAGCGGCGAGATGGAGCGCCGTAGGCCGGTGGTGGCGTGTCATCGCGGCGTCGGCTTCGTCGAATGCATGCAAGGCAAATAAGCAAATGCCTCGGTAGCTGCTGTTAGTGCTGCTGCTTCTTGCTTGAATAGTTATCCAACTCCTTGGTGTCGTCGTCGGAGTTATCGTTATTCGTCTCGTCTCATGACACCGGGAAATAGCACTGCAAATCTGACAGATGCCATCCAAACTTTTGTCGTCGAGTGCCTGCAACTTTGTCCTAACTCTAAATTCGAACAGACCCGCCCTCCATCCATCAAAGAGAGAAACTCCAGAACGGTCTTTTCCAGATGTAGGTAGGATGGTGAGAGGGGGGGGTATTCAAGCTTATTGTAAAAACAGCAACCCTCCGTCTACTGTCCCCCCCACTATCCGACCAACTCACACTGAAATCCGTAAGGTCTCAATGTAACTGTAATGCCTTCTACATGATCTGCCCCTCGGAAACATCAGGCCAAACACCGAAACCCAAGTTCTCCCAACCCCTTAGACCACTGCCGGATAAAGCATTCGCAGAGCGCTCTTGAACGCATCCCCATCCCGAAACGTCTTGGCGGTATCACTAGAACCACGAAGAAAAAGGAAACCCACATTTTCCCGATGGACGTTGCCGTAAGCCTTGAAGGCGATTTTAGAGTTCACGCTCGCAGCGGGAAGCATCTGGCAGTTAATATACAGAATTAACCACTAAATTTGGCAAAAGAGGGTTCGCTGATTGATCGCCTGCTAGGATTGTTTTCTTACATAAGGCAAGGAGGAGAAGCCAGAGAAGGAGGGTGAAGAAGAACACTGAGAACCCCCGCTGCGAGTCATTCCCAGTGCATCGTATCATTTCCCATCTCTTACCGACAAAGTCTAAATAAGCGGCCTCCATCACCGCCAGGTCGATAGGAAAATGGAGTTAAGTATCCGTACGACTGACTCCCAAGCTACTGAGATCTCCCCGTCCACGGATTATGCATATCCGACACCCTGCCAAGTTTCCGTTCTAGAACCCTTACAAACCACTTACATCGCCGCGGCGGATCCAAAGAACGGCTCCGACCTGCCTCTTCCATTTCCCCTTGCCCAGGCTATCGGCCGAGTCATTGAACTCCAGCGACATAAGACCTTCAAGTCTTGGACATAGGCAACACGGTATCAATCTGTCCCCGGAAACCACTCTCAGACCTCAGGTTCAACACAACGCCAAGGTCTACTCATCATGAAAAGCCAAGTCCTCCTAATGTCGACGAATGCTCATCGATGCTTAGTCCATCCCGATCCATCTCCTACGCTCCCGACGTCTTGGCTATGGATCCGTCTTGACCAGCTTCGCATGGGTTCAGTCCGCGGCGGGCTGCCTTTCCCCCGGCACTTCCGAGCCAGTTCCGACGAGGCTCTCGCTGAGGCTGCGACTCTACGAACCAGTCTTGGCTACTACTCTACACAGCAACGCAGGGCCAACGAGAAGATAAACACCAAGCTGACAAATTCCAAACAGCCCTCGTCTTGAGCCTGAAGGATCACAGGTGACGCGTTCGCCATCCCAGAACACGTACAGGTACGTAAGATGTGTGCATCAGATCTCTCTTCTTGGGTATATTCACTGAGCTATAACAACCTAAATCCTCGCCATCCACATATCCATACAATCCACCCGCACTCCCCATTGCCTTGGCTTCCCTCCCCATGGGATGGGCCTCGCCCGCCGGGGAGTTAACCCCACGTCCCGCCACCACCACCGCCACGGCCGCCCTTCCTCTGCGCACTCAGCCTCCAGTCGTCCTCCCCAGCATACTTATTATGCAGCGGCTGGATCCTCTCCGCCTGCTTCCTCTTGGACAATCGATCCGTCGGCGCAACCTTGAAGAACGTCGGCGCCGCGTCCACAAGCCACTTGGGCTCGATGCTCGTCGTGCAGTGCATGTACTCCTTGGTCGTCAGCACGAGCGTGTGGTAAATGACCCACTCGGCCTGCTTCCCAAACAGCGCCGAGCTCGGGTGGAGGTACACCGGCGTCCCCTCAATGAGCGTCTTGTACCCTTCCTGCGGATCCTTGCGCGCCGCGTTGCGGAAGAAGCCAGAGCAGAGCGCCTGCCGCACAATCTGCGTGTGCCGCCCGCAGCTGACGACGGGGTGTCGGTACCGGTCCATGATCTTGACGAGCTGGTCGTGCACGTCCTTGGCGCGCTTCATGGACCGCGCCTGGATGAAGTTCTCGAAACACCAGGGGCTCGAGTAACTGCTTTGTTTCCATGAATTGTAGACATTCAGCAGTGTTAGGTGGTCGCCGTGCGGGTCGTGGAATTTGGCCTTCTTCTGGTCTGCCTGTGATTGTTTCTCCTTGGGCCGGTAAAAGACATTGGGGAGGTTAAGCATGGCGACGATGATGAGCATCTCGGCTGAGCACTTCATATCGACGGAGATGATGAGCACCTTAGCCAGAGACGGCTCCATGGGGAAGTCTGCCATCTTTCGTCCCAGACGCGTTAGCAGACCCTCGTCGTCTAGGGCGCTGAGCGCGTATAGCTCTTCTAATGCTGTGAGCATGGTATTGATTGGCGGAGGGTCCATAAAGTCAAAGTGCAACAAGTCGTTGATGCCCATGGCCTTGAGCATGAGAATGACGTGAGACAAGTTCTGTCTCTGGATCTCGGGGATGGTTGTAGGCAACATCTCGGACTGGTACGCTGCTTCGGTGTACAGGCGGAAACACTTTCCAGGTCCTGTACGTCCGGCGCGGCCAGCACGTTGATTCGCCTGGGCTTGTGAAATCGGCGTGACGACCAATGAATCCATGCCCAACTTGGGATCGTAAGCGTTTTGTTTGACGAAACCAGGGTCAACAACGAAGTAGATATTGTCGATTGTGATGGATGTTTCGGCAATGTTTGTGGCGATGACCACCTTTCGGCAGCCAGGGGGTGCGGGATCAAAAATACGACTCTGCATCTCGTTAGGTAGTGCAGAGTACACGGGTAGAATGATGAGCTCTGGGACGTTAGGTCCTAATGCTTTCATCCGCTCGTATAGAATTTCGGCCGATGTGTCGATTTCTTCCTGACCCGTCAAGAAAAGCAAGATGTCTCCTGGCGGCTCTGTAAGGTGAATCTGCATGACGGTGACGAGCGCAGCATCGAGGTAATCGGACTCGGGCTCGCGCGAGTACAGCACCTCGACCGGGAACGTGCGACCAGGGATGGTGAAAATGGGACAGCCGTCGAAATACGACGAGAACTTGTCGGCGTCGAGCGTTGCTGATGTGGCAATGACCTTGAGATCCTTCCGCCTCTTCATCGTCTTTTTCAGAAGCGCAAACAAGACATCCGTAGAAATAGTACGCTCGTGAGCCTCGTCGAGCATAATGACCGAATAGCGCCTTAGATCGGGATCGACGAGAATCTCACGCTGAAGCATACCGTCCGTCATGTACTTGATCTTGGTCGCAGGACTGGTCTTATCCTCGAAACGAATCGTGTAACCGACAGCCTCACCCAGCGGTGTGCCAACCTCCTCGGCCACACGCTTAGCAACGGACATGGCAGCTACACGTCTGGGCTGTGTGCAACCAATGACTCCGTCGTTGGCGAAGCCATCCTCAGCGAGATACTGTGTCAGTTGCGTCGTCTTGCCTGAACCAGTCTCTCCGATAACCACCATGACTTGGTGCTCCCTCACAGCGTCCAAGAACTTCCGCCTAAAGGCGAAGACAGGCAACGACTCTCGTTGATCCTTGATGCTCATGTTCGTACGCTTGCCAAAAGTCTGGTCCTTTGGCGCCACAGCTCGCTTCCATTCCGGAACAGCATCGGGCTTGCTCTGGGCCATCTGAGATTTGGCGCTTCGTAGATCGCTGGCGAACTTGCGCTTGTCTGGATCTGCCATCGGGTCGTTCCACTGCGCAGAGAGGTCGACCTTGGAGTCTTCCGCCGCGGCAGCCTCCGCTTCTTGTTGCTTCAGCTCCTTTCGCTCCTTTGCCAACGCAGTGCCCGACATGGCAGCTCTATTCATAGAGCCATCGGGTGCTTTGACGACTCGGATGGGTGACAATTCCAGTGATTGCTTCGTCTGACCGGCTAAGAACGGCGGTTCCTCCTCTCGAACTTCGATATCGACATCCTGCTCCAGCTCCAGCTCTCCATCGCCTGTCAGCGTCGCGTTGTAATCTTCTTCGAGGTCGGGGTAATCGGAGGCCTTCGCGACACCGGACGCGATCAGCTGGCGGATCTCCCATCTTTCAGGCGATGTCATGCGCTTCTTCTGCCGACGAGGTTGATGCTGCGGTGGCGGCATCGGCCCGTCGTCAAACATGTTTCCGTTCCGGCCACCGCCGCCACCCAACGCTTGCATATTTGCGCCCGAGGATATCCTGTCTTCCGGGTAGAGATCCATGCCCGTCTGTTGGTCCACCTCTTTCATTGACAGTCCTATCCTGTTCCCTTCAATATTGACAACCTTGACTTTGACATCCTGGCCCTTTTCCAACAGATCGGACGGGTGATTAACCCGCTGGCCTTCCACCAGCCTCGAAATGTGTACCAAACCATCCACCTTGCCACGAACGCCGTGCAGGTTGACAAAGGCGCCGAAGTCTTTGATACCCGTGACATGCCCACTATAAACCTTGTGCAACTGAGGCGCATCGTCGACTTCGGGCTCGGGTGCCCTCCTAAAGCGACCATCGTCCTCGTCATCGTAGTTGCGTCTCCGACTCCTCTGCTTCAGCGAAGGTCCGCTCTCGTAATCATCGTGCGATCGTGATCTCGACCGGTACTTGTCGCGTTTCCTCCGCTCCCTCGATCTTGACCGGCCTCTCCGCTTCCGCCGTGAGTCGCGCCCGTCGTCTGGACTGCGGCTCCGCTTGCGCGAGTCCGATTTATCTTTTCGCGCCTTGCCCTCCAGGCCCTCCAAAAGCGCCAGTGTATCGTCAATGGCGTCGACACCGTCACCTATGCTATCGTACGCCACCGGCTTGTCGGGCACCGAGAGGCCTCTGAAGATCTCATCCTTCTCTGCGGCGCTGCGGTGGTGGTGTTCGTCGCTGGTGCCAGCACCGTTGCTGTTCTTCTTCGCTTTCCCCTTCATCTTCGGATGCATAGTGAGCACCAGGCGGTCGACACTCTCGACTAAGCTCGGGGGAAAGTCGGCGCCCATGCCGGCGAGCTTCGTCTTGAAGCCATCGTAGTCTTCGGCTTCGACTCGCTGGGCGATGATGAACTCGGCGAGCGTCTTGTCGGAAACGCCCAGATGGTTCTGGAGTTCGGAGGTCACCTTCGACACGAGCGACAAGAGCTCGAGATTCAAAAGGTCGTCCATGGTGGTGGAGAATAGGTGACCTGTGGGTGAATACAGGACCTCCAAAAGCGATGGTCGCTGGTTGAGGCCTCAAAAAAGTCTAGGTTGCTGCACGCTGCGCACGACAAGACATGACAGCACCGACAGGGAAGTGTCGGAGAAAGCACTTTCCGTTCCGACTCTGCCCCACCCACGGGAAGCGGTACGTACTGTTAGTGAGCGAGCTCTGCCGGATGTTTCTCGTGCTCTGTCACCCCGACTCCGAATAATCAATTTCAATTGATTGTCCATGGTTCAGTTAGTACCTAGAAGAGGTAGCTACATTCAATTCATCTGGGTAATACATGCAGCACAATAGTAGAAAACCTCAACGTTCATATACCTGCAGTCACTTCCTCGTCCAGCTATCCTTTTCCACTTTCTCGTCATATATATCCTAACTTTGGAAATCCCTTCCATTTCTTTTGAAGACTTGATTCCAATTGAAAGTGCGAACTAAATGAGCAAATTATTGAGCAAGACCGGAAGGGAAATGAACAAGCACGAATGGTTGACGGAAATGAGAGGCATTGACAGCGGAAGAGTCAGACCTTGGCACCAAGCTATCTAGGGAGAGTCAAGACGCTGTCTCGAACCTCTTGAGAAATACCCAAATCTTGACACTCCGTAGTGGAGAGCTCTCAAACATGCCACCCCAGTCTCCAGAAGAGAATCTCTCAGGCCTTGCATGTAAATCGTGTCCGTCATTCCAGACAATTCAAGCCAGGACAACTGGAGAAGTACACTGCTTTACGATCACATTTGGTATTATATACTACTACTAGACTGTATGCCTGGGTCTCTCGATGATACCGCTACTTCCGAGCATTCGTCATGCCCAATTTCCTTCACTGAACGTTAACCCACCCTCCCGCATTGCCCGAGCAACATCTCAATGTGGGGTTCCCGCAATTTTAGTAGATGTCGTCCGTGTTCTACCTGTGCAGCCGGCCTGCATTGGTTCCATGCAGGGCCCATAGTTGATGCGAGGTAACCTTTGGGTTCCCTGCCTTGAGCACGCGGCAGTGACACATTTCAGACTACGAAGCAACAGATGCGCAAGATGTAAGAATAAAGTAGTGGTATTGAATGAGTTTGCAAAGGAATCCCCGACGCCTGGTGTGATGATGATGATGGTGTATCTCAAGGTCGTTATCATGGATGCGAGCCTGTTGTCCTCCTCAGGAGCGACTTCTACTTCGCACCATAGCGCGCTCGACTGTATCTGGGTATTGTAATCGTTGAGCAAACCGTGCTCGTCTGTAGCCTGCTGGTAGATGATGGTCTTTGTTTATCGCATAAATCATGGCCCGCAAAAACTTTTCGTGGTGGTGCTGCGAAAGTCGAGGACCGGTAGCCTCTGTATCCCGAGCAACTTCTATCGAGCCGGCAGGGAAGAGGGCTTGGACCTCACTCTTCCTTTTCCATTTTTTCGAATATCTTGATCAAACTCCGCACGCCCTTGAGCGCGTTTTCGTCGGGGCCCTGGCCGGGAGTCCACTGTGCGTGGGCGAAATCAATAAGTTTCAACGTGAAGACCTTGGGCAATTCGTCATCGTCGTCATCGTCATCGTCGTCTGAAAGGCTACCGTGATCGGGGACATGGATCGTCACACGGTCTTCCTCGATCAGCTCGATGCCACTATCCACACGGGAGGTAGTTCTACCAGGCTTCTCGCCCTCTGCCTCAGCCTTGGCCTCCGCGGCCACGATACTGTCGACAGCCGCGTTGTTCTGCGCAATAGCTTCCCTAAGCTTGTCGCCGTCGCCCTCGAAGACGAACAGCAAGCTGGCCGAGTACATTCTGCTCTCTTCCGAGGAGAGGACACGTTCGACGTTTCGCAGGTCATGCAGGAAAGCCGTAACAACCGCACGTGCCAGGTCGTCGTCGATACCGGCGGCCTTGTTGAAGATGAATTTACGGAAGTTTTCGACAACATTATCGGCATTTACGTAGGTGCGGCCGTAGTCCTTATCGTATACCTTGTAGTCATTCTGATCCAGCTCGGACTTCATGGTGGAGCCGCGCCAGACCTTCATACCCGCGATTCTAAAGCCCAGGGGGCCGTGTGTGGTCTTGCTCGTGATGTCGTCGAACCTGCGCTTCTTCTCGGCAGGCGCATCGTCGGCCCACAGCCTGACACCCAACTTGACATCGAGAAAGTTGGGCGAGGTAAAGCCCGACCCAGAGTTGTTGAGGACGACCGACTGATCGGTCTTGATCTTCTTTGACTTGTTCTGCACCCACTTCCCATTCTCCTGATGCGAATCGGCCGGGGGCTGTCCGGTAACGGAGGCCTCGAGCTCCTTCTTAGCCTCAGGCGAGGCGACGGGACCGGGAACACCATCTTCGACAGAGCTGAGTTCGAGAGGGTCGACAAGGCTCAAGGTTCCCCAGAAGTCGGGCATTATTTCTTTGAAGTCGGCATGCGCAGGGTCTGAGTAGGCCGACTGATAAAAATCGATCTCTGCCTGCGTGCAGGGCTTGATGAACATGGAGCCATCGGCAGTGGTCATGGTTCCAGCACTGAAAGTGACGAACTAGCGTTAGAATCTTGATTCCTTTGCGAGGCTTTACAGCGCACCTCGTCGAGCACAGGGGGCGCTGGGGGCGAGGGAAGCGAGGCAGAGCAAGTACTTACTGGCCAGCAACAGTGTGATCGTAGTCGAGAAGATCAGAGAGATCAGGGAGATTGGGAATCTTTGTTTTGGACATGGTGTTTGCGCTAGGGAGGGTTGAAAAAACTAGAGAGGGTTGGTGGTTGTTGAAGAGTGTTTATGGGCGATTTGGTTGCCCAGGGGGTATCCTAGATGCGCCTGGCGCGTGGAAGTCGGGGTAAATGGAAAGTTTTGTAACGGATGCGATGCTGGAGGGCCGGAGCGCGCGTGGCGAACTGATGTATGTCTGCGCGTTGTGCGTCTTCTTGGCTTTCTATTTCTCTGGCTCTTTCTATCTGGTAGTTGTCGGTAAACGGCAGTCGAGACGGCTTGGCAAGGGAAGCGAATGGAGGCGCGAGCCTGAGAGCTGTGGATCGGCAATGTTGAGAACTTGAAGAGAGACGAGCCTCTAGGAGTCCAGTGTCGAGATGAAGGGGACGGGGAGAGGTTAAAATGTAGTTGGTCTAGTTCCGGGGTGTGGGAGGATGGTGACAAGGGAACAAGGTTAGATGACAGGAGGGGCAGGAGGAAGAAGGAGGCGTAGTCACGAATACACGATGAATGAGTGAATGTGTTTGGCAGGCGCCGGCAGCCCAGCAGCAGCCAAATTGATTTGGGCGCGAGAGCGAGATTGAGAATGCCATTCGCGAAGCGGTACGTACCTTCGAGGCGCTGCGATGTTGCACCGTAAGGCACTTCGTACTTGGAACTTTGAGAAGCTACCTATCTCTGTGTCCACAACGAAGTGCAAGGTACTTTCAGCAGCACAAGGTACTTTTTGCAGTGGATCGTCGCGCCCTTTCCCCCAAAGCCTGAGGGAGGGTTCCATTGAGTACGTATCTATCTTACCTAAGGTACCCAGACATGGAGTACCTAAAGTACCTTGCCTTGTGCAAGTGGCAGACGGGACGGGACAAGAAGTCTTTTCAGGCAATGAGCGCTGTTTGCTCCCGTCCAACTTGGCCAGAGGTGTTCGAGAACAGAGACACAAACACGACGTCGCAACGGTGCTGATAGCAGGCATGATTTACCTTCAGGTGCCTTGGGGTGAGGTGGGTGGCACGGGATGGAACAAGGAAAAGGGACCAGAACAACCGCAAACGCAAACGAACCCCCCGCTGCCCGCTATTCCCAGGGACCTCTTCTACCTATCGAAACGACGCTACTTCCTCTTCCGCCCCCTCCATCCACTTCCAGGCTCTGTCTGTGCCCCTCCAAAAAAGACCCTTGCCGGCCGCTGCGGGAGTCCAACGTTGGAAAAGAACTAGAAAGGTGGCGGAAGATGCGAATCTGCTCAGCCACATCACCAATAATCTCCCGTCTTCCTCTTCCTCCCTCACTTTTCAACTTCAATTCAGCCCTCTTCTCTCAGGAATCCGCCTTGTCCAGCCGCTGGCCCATGTCGCTCCCACGTCCAGGCGTACACACGAACCACTGGCATCCCACACTCGAGCCACTCCGTGAGCCATGGACCCCAACCGCCTGTCCCGCAGTCGGCCGAGTGCCTTACTCAAGTTCCTTGTCTCTTCCCCTCTATTCAACCTTGCTCCAAAGTTCCAACAGGGCCTGAATAGGCGCAGCTCATATTCCCTTTATTTGCACGACACAGCAAGTCGAGGCTTTGGTCAAGGTTGTCGTGGCCGACGAGCTAACTCCCACTGGTGCTCAATAGACTGAGGATCCTGCATACAAAGGGCGATGCGTCAGCTGGCCTGCGACTTCGCTTACCTTACAGCGTATCTCTCCGAATCTGACTCTGGCTCCCATGGAGCATTCGCTCTCGGGACCTTCTGCTCTTGAACAATCTCGACGGTGTGACTGTATCTACTGAATCAGCGGCGACTTTACACGAAATGGCAGGCGCGAGTTTCGCCATGGCCGAAGATCTGGCACGGATCGTTGGACAGGTTCATCGTGATGCCTCCCACCACTACCACAAAAAGGTTGCATTGCCACGCCTGTGAGATCCAAAGGGGACCAACGGCCCGTATCTGCCTCTCTTCACGATACCACCAGCTGCTCGGGTCATGTCGTGTTGTCTGCATCGGATGGTCTCACCGCTGCCTCTCCAGCGCACGGGAGATCCCCCCCTCTTGCTCTCCTGTGACAGGACCGAATCATGTCAGCTGGGCTTTCCACGCAGCAGATGGAATATGCAGCCCGCCGCCTTGGTCAGTCATCATCCATCCTCTTCTTCCTGCGGCGCGCGCCATACGAATGCGATGGGACTCGTCATGCATGGTGATTGTAGCTCCGCCTCAGCTTTTCCCGCCCGCCTCAGAAAGGGAAATGCCGCGCTGCAGATGCGAGCCATCCTACAATTCCAATGATATTGTGCCGCGTCCCACGTACCTTAGGCACGTACGGCGCGCAGGCTTCCACCCACCAACCCACCGGGCGTGCTTTTCACGTCACAAACCCCTGAACAACCCAGGCTCTCGGAGACAATTGGCTCGCCGTCTGCGTTTGTCTGGAAGATCGTCTGCAGCAAGCCTTCGATAACTGGGAATGCCTGAGGTGATTGGGTCGCATGGATTCTTACATCAGGCAAAGTTTAGATCGGATCCGCGATCTGCGCATGCCGTTTCGGAGGACCAAGCAGTATCTCATACTGCTTTAAGACACTTGTGTTGTGTTGGAGGAAAACAGAAATCATCTTGAGAATGCATTTCCTGCTAATTCTATGGTTCTCTCCAATGTGCTCGTACTGTACGTTGAGATTTGAGGAAGGCAGCGATGCAAACCGTGCCTTCCCTTGGACGTGAGATGAGAAAATGATGGAATAAGAAGTGGAAAGAATGAGGTACACTCTTTCCCTGTATACTAGGCATCTTACCTTTCGGTGGGATCTCTTTTCCAAGACCAACAATGTGAATTGATTCATTTCTTCTTCACCTTGAACCAACCTGCTTCTCTTCTCTCAACGCAAAAGCAATCTGGAGACCTGCACTTCCTCTCCTCATATAACAAGATATCCATCCTCAGCCACATCGAAAATACCGCAACAGCATGGCCGGCAAGAAGTCCGGTACGGCCGACCGCGGTCCAACTGCCATGCACAAGTATCGTGGCACTGGTTTCGAGGGTATATATCATTGGACCGCATTCGATCGCGGCTGTGCCTTGCTGACATGTTCCCCCAGAATTCTATGCTGACCCTCCCATGACTCCTGCCGAAGCCCAGGAGGAGCGCGAGAACATCTACAGCCTGTAAGTGATTCATGTCATCCATCGCTAGCTTCGGGCAATCACTGACGTGGGCTTACAGAGAGTTGACCTTTGCCGAGTAAGACTGCTCCTTCCTTGTTTGACTTTACAACTTCAACTGACGGATGAAAAGACGTATCCAATCATGCATCCAGCGCTACCGCGCTCGCCGCCGTCTGGGTGCTTCCGACCAAATCTTCAACAGGTACCTCTTCTTGGGAGGCATCGACACCACACCTCGCATGTTTGGCGGCAACATAGATGCCGACCTCAAAGACATGACACCGGCGGAGAGACGAGAAGCAACGGCCATTGACACCGTCTACAGCTCCGGCGGTGGTGCGCGCTTCTACAACGACGATGATCCCGATGGCTGGGATGTCGACTTTGCCGGTGTAGTCGCGGGATTCTGCTCCGAGACGCTTCCGAATGAGACGGCATGGGACTACGCGCAGATGGGCAAGGCGGTTGGCTTGCTAGAGAACTTTCTCACCTATATCCTCCAACACGACGTGTGCCCAGAGTACGACGACAATGTCAAGGAAGCTTTGGATCTCTGCCAGAAGGCCAAAGTCGACCTGCCGTTGTCTCATCAAGCTCTCCTGCGATTTCCTGGCCAATTCAATCTGGCGCTGTCGGAGCTGTTTTGCAAGGACTTTTTCTTCTTTGGAGACGCCGAGGAATTCCAGCGGCCAATGGATTTCTCCCCTGAAGCGGTCTTCAAGGTTGTAATGGCAATGAACGCTCCCCAGGAGCAGTTCAATGCTGTCATCAATGGTTTGAAAGACGGCACCATTGAGGTCATCGGCGAGGAGGAGTGCAGCGTCGAGATCATCTCTATTCACCGGTCGACTGATGAGGCGCAAAAGCTCACGCGGAGCATCCGTCTAGGCAAGGGACCCCGATTCGAGCCCGTCGGAACGATTGTTACGAAGCCCTGCGTTATTGAGGATGGCTACGACTACGGAGAGGCCAGCATTTTGCCTGATGAACAGCAGGACACCTTCTACCTGGAAGATTCAATCCTGCGGCACCTGAAGCCAGGCTTCAAGCTGCAACTCTGCGTATGCGAGCTCAACATTGGCATCAAGTTCATCAAGCAGGCTCGTCAGGTTCTCGTGGAATGGTACACCTTCCTGCCGCAGAACCTCATGCGACACTACAAGGAGCCCGTACCTAATGAGCGCCCTGCTCCGTCAGCCATCAAGGCAGACGAGAAGACCGAGAAGAAAGAAGCTGTTACTAACTGACTATCGACGTTGGTCTAGTAGAAGAATTATCGGCTAGCTGTCACCACGCGAACATCACTAGATTTGCCATCTCACGGAAGGACAGAGGTCATTGGCTAGGTGGATCACAAGCAAGGGGATAGCTTGAGGCTGGAAACGGGGCATTGTATTAGACTTCCTCCCAAGTAGCTACGTCACGGATGCATGGGCGTTTCGGAAAGATTGGACCAAGATACCCCTTTAGAGAGATGAATTTTGAGGATCTCGCATCTAACGTATGTGAATAATACAGTGAGAAATCCCACCAGTGTCTCGCGTAAACTCGTGCAAAACGTTATTACTTCGTCAAACCCCTTCAACTCCACATAACGACGGGGGCCAAACATTCCCCGCGTTCATAAAACCTGGACCAATTTACAAGAGCCACCAATAGAAGAACAAGCCGGGCAAGCCGAAGCGAAGAAAGCCAGTGAAGCCAGAATGAAGCCAGAAGAAAATCCTCGTGGAAAAATGGAGAATAGAAACAGCAGCGGTAAAGTCATAGACCTTACAACGCCACTCTAGAATATCTCCATCCTGCTTTAATCCCGGGTCTGAATCTTGTTGTCGCCAGCCACGACCTCAGCATAGCTAGGCGGCACAGCACCATCGCTGCTTCCCTCGCCAGCGCCACCTTGCTGCTGCGCGGAGTACTGCTGAGGCTGCTGCTGTTGCTGTCTCGACGAACCGCCAGCATTGTTGTTATTGTTGCTGCTGTTGTTGGTGGTACCGTAACCGACGGCGCCGTTACCCTTGCCGCCGTGCTGCGAGGGGCGGGGCTGCTGGCGCGGCTGCTGAGTGTGAGGACCGTTGCCGTTGCCGTTGCCGTTGCCGTGGACAAAGACGTAGGTGACGCGGCCGCCCTCGCGGTCCTGTTGCGGGACGGACTCGTATTCGTAGTCTGGCTCGGGGAATTTGGCGATGATGTACCAGGCGTGGATGAGGCCTGGGATGTAGCCTAGGAGGCAGAGGAGGATGTTGATTATTGAGTCTGCGCCGCAGATGCCGCGCTTTACCCAGACTGTTGGCGCAGATGTTAGTTTGAGACTTTAGTTAAGAGTATGCGTTTTGAAATGCGTAGATGGATTGGGGTGTACGTTACCTGGGAGGGGCGGGAAGAGGAGGGCCAGGAGGCCGAGGAAGATGTCTGCGGAACACATTTCGGCGGGTGTGATGCTCGGGTTGTAATGTGTGTAAGGTGTAGTGGTGATTGGATAGAGACTCGAAGGTCTCTACGGTGTTGATGCTTGTGATAGTAGTCTGAAGTCGACGCTGTTGCAAGAAGATGTTCTTGCGCAGAAGTTAAAGGTGGGTGACTGAATGGGTGCAAATGAGGTGACGTTTGCGCCTCTCGCCTCTCTCAAGGTTTCGGTCCCGCGGGCTCAGATCAGGTCAGCAGGCAGGCAGCGAAGCGATTGAGCCGTGAGCCGGTACGTAACGGGTCGCAAGGGTGGCGGAGCTGGGATGACTGGTGAGGCGTGGGGGACTTGCGTAATGGTGCTTGTTTGGTCCGAGGTAAGACGGCCAGATGATTGGATGTCACGGAAGAATATGCGGCCGAGGCGGAGGCAGCTGGGGGATCAGGAGTGGGGCTTGGGTTCTTGAGGGGCATCGCCGCACCGGGGTGGATCCCTGGATCGTGCGCTTTTTGCCGATGTTTCTGGACTTTTGCGGTTGCTTGTGACGGTCATGCGCCCTAATGATTCCTTCATTATTGTTCAAATCTTCCCTGAAAGAATAGCTCGTATCAATACACCAACAACACAGTCTTACTGTTCAAGAAACTATACTAAGCACCGTGTTCCCCGTCCCGCTAGACCTGGAGAATATGCAGGAACATGGAAGCCGCATGCGACAGTGACGACGGCCCTGAGAATCGCTGCCCCGCCGAATAAACCCCCGCCAGGTGTGGGAAGCTCCCGCACGGACCATTTCAGAATCCCTAGCCGTGATGTCAAGGTCCCCAATTGAAATTCCCAGTGGGCGCGTTGGCAGTGACTTTCCACGCGACTCAAATTGCGGCACCTTTGACGATTCCTCAACCCTCCAGAGGTTGCAACGCCCGTCAACCTCAAGACCCGACATCCTATGATCATAAAATAATCCCACCATGTCGATCCCCGGTTTGGGCCACCTTGTGGCGCCAGTAAGCAAACAAACACCGTCTTTCTCTTGAAACCACATCATCAAGAGAGCTCGAGAACCGCCAGCTAACACACACACCCTCCACCAGCAACCGACGTCCGCGAACCAAACCCGCACAATTCGCCTCCAGCCCTTCTGGGAATGGCGCTTCCAAGTCGCCTTCGACACCCAAATCACCCTCAAACTCCTCTCCGGCACCGCCGAAAAAGACGGCACCGAGCTCGCCCTCCAGCACATCTACACCTTTGCCGGCACCAGATCCAAGATCCTCACCCTGCAGGGATGCGAGCTCGAGGTCGAGGGCGTGCTGGCGGATGAGTCCGTCGCAGAGTACGCCAAACCGCAAGACTCCCCCGCCAACTCGGTTCTGAACCTGCACTTCCAGCTCACCGCCATGCGCCAGCGCGCCGCCGCCGAGAGGAGGGAGGGGCCGCGCATCGCCGTCTGCGGGCCGCCGACGACGGGGAAGACGAGCCTGACGAGGACGCTGACGAGCTATGCCGCGCGGGTGGGCGCGCAGCCGCTGGTGGTGAATACGGATCCCAAGGAGGGGATGCTGAGCTTGCCGGGGACGTTGAGCGCCAGCGTCGTCGGGTCGCTGTTGGATGTCGAGGCTGTTGACGGGTGGGGCACGACGCCGACGAGCGGGCCGAGCCAGGTGCCGGTGAAGCTGCCGCTGGTGTACTACTACGGCCACGCGAGCTCCGAGGAGGACCCGGCCAAGTACAAGGAGCTCGTGAGTAAGATGGCGGCGACGGTGACGTCGAGGCTGGGGCAGGATCACGAGGTCAGGGGGTCGGGTATGATTATTGATACGCAGGCCGTGACGGAGACCAACCAGGTTGGCATGGAGAACTTTGTGCACGTTGTGGAGGAGCTTTCGGGTATGTTTTCCTTCTGTTGCGACACGCTGTTCACCCTTTTCTTTCTGATGGTGCTAACAGAGTGGCAGTCAACATCATCATTGTGTTGGGCTCACCGAGTCTCAATGCCGAAATCACCAAGCGCTTCTCAACGGAGAGGACCAGCCTCGGCGAGAATTACAGCATTCTCCTCTTGGAAAAGTCAGAGGGCGTGGTCGAGCGCGACGTGGGGTACACACAGCAGGCCTGCGAGGCGTCCATTAAGGAATACTTCTTCGGTAGCATCGGCCAGACGCTGAGTCCCGCCACGCAGCAAGTCGACTTTGACAGCCTGGCCATATACAAACTAGGAGATTGTAGGTTGTCACCTCGCACCCCACCATACAACACAGCCCAAAAGTTTATGCACGATCTTTGCTAACCTACTTGACCATGATCTAGACTCCATGTACGGCGGTGGCGCCGACGAGAGCCTGATGCGCGTGGACCCCGCACAGGTCATGGCCCATTGGACGCTGGCCATCGTCTACGCCTCAGTTAAAGACTCGCCAGAGACGATACGGACGGCCAACGTGATGGGGTACGTGTACATTGCCGACATTGACAAGGAGAAGCGCAAGTTGAGGATTCTGGCGCCGGTGAGTGGTCGGTTGGGAGATAGGCCGTTGTTGATGGGCAAGTGGCCGGAGCCGTTTATCAACTTGTTGGGATAGGATAGTTTCAATGATACCACTTTACACCGTCACTGCTGCCGAGGTTTCTGTTGTCTCTTTCCTCCTTCGCAGCCTTGTTTGATGGTATTCCAAATCGTTGGCATATCAGGCTCGTTCATGGCCTGGCAGAAGGACGAGTCAGCTTTTCTCATTCACCTTTCGTTGAGCAAACAACATTCCAAGACCTGAAGGGTGTGGCTCAGCTAGCCTCCTGTTCTTGTGAACGCCAAAGACCAATCACCCGCACGTCACTGGAGACTGGTCGTAATCTGGTTGAGATTCATGACTAGTTTTGGCCTAGTTGCCTGGTCCAGATCTGAGACATTCCCCTCTATCGAGTTAACCTTGAGTCTCCAGCAACCAACGCCGACAACCACAAAACAGAGTTGTGAGTTGCACAGTTGCATGCTCTTGGCCAATCTACATCTACATGGGGCGCCACCAACGCAACTCTACAGACCCTCTTTCGCCCGATGGATGTTTCGGTCAACTGTCCAGCTATGTACTGATCGGAGTTGTCATTGGTTGCAATTTCTCCTCGCCGAGATATATGAAAGATTCAAGCCTGACTACCTGGAGTTGAGGCGGAATGACCCACACGTAGAGGGGGGGAATATTGATCAATCATCGCGTTTGAGATGAGTTGTCTCCGGCCTTCGCAACCACCTCGAGCACTACTCAGGATAGTGACTAGACTTGACTTGAGTTGCCCAGCGCCACCAATGGAACTAGCAACTAATTTCCCTCTTCAGTTTCGCAACTTTTTCCGCCATGTCTCATAATTGAAGCAAACATTCCGTAACTTCAGCAGCTACTCTGTGAGTTTTAACAGCTTTTTTGCCACCCCTTAACTCGACTCAGGTCTGGAGCATCGAGTCTTTCGAACCCTCGGTAAATGGGCTTGGGATCACAACTCACGCGACCTCAGTCATCCTCCAGAGCTCAATAACTTTGGGGCGCCACGTCTCAGAGCAACAGCAAACATTACGCCTTTTCAGCAGCTTTTTTTTTGCAACTTGGCTTGATTGGGGCTACATTCTGCGAACTCAACAACCCCCCGCCTTCGCTGGATTGTATAGGACCGGAGGAGAAGTTGTAACTTGTTATTTTCACCAAGCGCCAATGACGATGGTAGAACTCCTCTTTCTCACGATCAAAGGCCATAAGTTGCAGGCGCCATGTCTCGAGATCCTAGCACCCATTGTGCCTTTCATCAGCCAGGCTGTGAGGTGGTCCCACAGCTCCTCACCCTGTAGAACCCCTTCTGGAATGCGATGCCCCATCCTCGAGTTGCAACTCGGAAGGGAATTGGTCCACGTCAAATACTACATGGGAATATCATAATAAATAGAGGGTTCATCACCCCCCCCCCCCCTTCTACGTTGCTCTGCCAGTGGGGAACTTCGGACGTGGGTATTGAAATTACGCTGGCCCACGCCCGTTAACCTTTCCGACGTTGTCAAAGTTGCTGTCACCGCTGGAAACTCAAAATGCTCTCATTCCAATTCCTTTACCGCCTGGTTCCAACCATGGGGACGTTTACATCGCTCCTCAGGGGGCGGGTTGAGTTCGAATCTGGATGTCAACAGCAGCAGCAACACCACCACCAGCAGGAGAAGAACAAGAAGAAGACAACCCCAAAAGTCGACGTGTACAATCTCCACCCCGCGGGCTGGGAATCCGACCCGGAAGACGAATACCACCGCCTCTGCACGCTAGACTACTGCTCCGGCACAATCTACTGCGCCTACGCCCTCTTCTTCAAACTCGACCCGGGAGCAGACAAGCACAGGATCGTAGAGGTCCTCAAGCAAGGTCTGAAAATCACGCTCAGCCAGTGCCGTCGCCTCTGCGGGACGCTTAGGGAAGATCCAGACGGGGGGAGCGGCCTGTGCTTCCACAAGAGGCGCGAAGACACGGTTGAGTTTCACGTCCAATGGCTCGACGGCAGCAACAAATTCCACGATGACGAGGACGAGGATGGCGCCGCGGATCGAGAAGACGGCGGTGATGAGAGGTACCCGTCGTACGCCGACTTTGAACGGCAGCACTTTAGCACCCGCGCCTTCGGCCCCGATCTGAATCTATGGTGCGTCCCGCCCATGACGCCCGCCGATAAACCCGCGAACCGTCCAGAGAACAACCCCAAGGCGGCGTCCTTTAAAGCGAGCTTCATCCCCGGCGACGGGCTGGTGCTGATGATGATGCACCACCACTTGGCCAACGACGTCAACGGGTGGGCGGGGGAAATGCGCCAGCTGGCCGAGAACTGTGCCGCCATCTGGGCTGCATCGGCATCGGGTGCGGATGCGGGTGCGGCGGCCGCTGCTGGTGGTAGCGGTGGTAATTTTGGTGGTGGTGGTGATGCTACCTCAACTGCTGCTGCTGCGCCACCGGAGCTGCCTCCGTGGGACCCCGCGTGCCTGGACCTCTCACGCGTCACGGTCACGGACCCGCCCGCTGACCAACTCGTCGACGGGCCACCGAGACCGTCGCGGCATCCCGAGCAGAGGGCTGCGTCCAGGTTGCTTTTTCATATTCCGCGGAGTAAGCTTCTTGAATTGAAGCGGTTGGCGAACCCGGCGCCGGCTACGGAAGGAAGCGCCAGCAGCGACAGCGGCAGCGGCAGCAGTAGCGGCAGTGATTACTGGATTTCGAGCTACGATGCGCTTAACGCGTACCTGTGGCGCGTCCTGCTGAAGCATAAAGCCCGATTGCATAAATCTGACCCCGAGACGCTGGTGGAATGGGTCGAGGCTGTGGATGTGAGGAGGCGGTTGTGCGATGCGTCGGGGAAGCCTATGCCGGCGCGCACGCAGGGGAATGTGATTGCTGTTGCTATCGCGTCGAGGAGTACTCATGTTGTGCCGCAGTTTACGATCAAGGAGGTTGTTGAAGATGCACCTTTTACCAAGCTTGCGTGGTGAGTTTTCTTTTCTTTGCTTTCTCTTTTCCTCCACGCGCATCCGTACTACCAATATCCGACTTGCACTGGATCAAAACACGACAACTTGACAGACGACTAACACTCTTCCTAAGGTACATCCGCCAACTCACAAACAGCATAACCCCACCCACAATCGACGCAATGCTCTCCGGCATCGCACACATCCGCAACAAGCTGACCCTCTACGCCGGCTCCGACGTCTTCCCGCCCACGACCCTCCTCGTCACGGACTGGCGGGACGCGGACCCCTACACCGCGGACTTTGGCTTCGGTCGCCCCAGCGGGTTCCGGTGTCCGTGGGACTCTGTGACGGGAGGGTTGGTGGTGGTGTACCCGCCGCGTCCTGCGAGGATGAGTCCCGGTGGGGATGACGAGGGGAACGAGGTCTCGTTGGCGGTCGAGAAGGAGCTTGTGTGGGATTTGCTTGCGGATCCGGAGTGGAATCGGGTGTTTGAGTTTAGGGGAGTCGAGGTTGAGGATGAGTGATTGGGGAGAGTAGGGTAGTGGGTGTGGGGATGGGGAAGTTGGGATTGGTGATTCTACAGCATGTTTGCAGATGATTTCTTTTGATTGATTACCTTCAGTGTGATGGGTCAATGCCAGACGGCCTTAGTTGGCGAGACTTGGTCGATTCTCTTCGTGATTGTCTTCTTTTGTCCTTGTCAAAGTGGATTTTGTTCATAATATTTTCTCTTTCTCATGACAAGCATCCCATTCACTTCCATGGGATGCATGGGATCTAGCACTATCAAAGAATAAAAACAAAATCATCCCAGCTAGAGAGGGCAGGTCATACAACTTGGAAGGGGCCAGCCAGTAGATGTGAGAAATACAAAAAGAATAACCCGAAGAATGGCTTTGCCAATCGCGGTGAGGATTTGAGCCTCACGCGGGGGTCGAACCCGCAACCTTGAGATTAAGAGTCTCACGCTCTACCGATTGAGCTAGCAAGGCGGGTTATTGATTGTTGAAGCGAACCGCGCTGGGTAGTGCTAAGGAGGGAGCTGGCTAGGTGTGTGGTGTGTGGGCGGGGGTAGGGCTGGCTCCGTCGGCGAGTCCGAAATCTCGATGGCTTCGTCCGTGAAAAATTTTCTCGCGTCCGCCTGCTCGGGAATTGTGGATCGATTCGGGGTAAGGATGGGTGGGCTCCCAGTGTTCGAGAATTGTGCTCCGTGCGGAGGAACCCACCCGGCCCATCCTCCCCGATTCCGGCCCGGACGAATCCGTCCTTGAGTCCTTGGCGCTGTTCTAACCAGAGCCAGGCTTTCTCCCATACACCACGATCCTGCTCGAGTCAGTACTCTTCTTCTATATAACAGCCATCAGACGACTGGTGGTGCAGGAAAAGGCAGCTCACATAGGCCAGTATGCATGAATACTCCGGTCCCCGACATCCTTCCTTGCTTGCGCAGCCAACACGTTCACCTCGTCCGCCTTCCAGCCCAGCCCGCGCGTGAGCGCTGCCATGAGAAACCCTTGCAGACCGGTTGTGATGTTCTCGTAATTCCAGGCGCCGAGCTCCTTGAACTTTGCGTTTCGCGGCCATGTGTTGCTGGGCCATTTGAAGCGCAGCTCCGTCACGTCAACGAAGCCGGCGGCTTCTAGCATGGGCTTGAGCGCGTCAAGGTCGACAAAGGCGTGGTCCGACTTGGCTGCTGCCTCGCCAAGGTGCTTCATGGACTGATAGAGAGCGTGCTCCTCTTTCAGGGTGTCGTCGTCAGAGAGGGGTAGGCCGAATTCCTGGAGCTCGAGCCAGCCGCCGGGCGTGAGATTTCTGTCATGATGCATCAATGCCTGTCTAGCAAAAGGAGAAGTCGTGCCTGTGATTACTCATAAGACTGGCGGATGTACTCCTCCCACTTTGAGATGCTAGAGTTCATCATCCGGCTGTGGATGTAGTCGAAAGGACCTGAGTACGTCCAAGTGTCCTCGATGTCGTCGACTTCAAACTTGACGTTAGGTGGTACACTGTATGCTCTGTCAGTGTCATGCATGTGGTGAAAGCGGTTGGCGATACTGACAATTGCGGTTGGGTGGGTGACAGATCGACGCCGGTGACCTGCGATATCAGCGTAAGAAGGCCATAGGCTATACTGATGTGTCAACACCAACCTCGGCCCCGGGATGCTCGTCTCCGAAGTCCATGGCCCAGATGCCTGTTCCGGTTCCCAGGTCTAGTATGCGGCCAACGTTGGATTCGGGCTCATTAGGCGGTGACAACCCGAGTTTCCCATCGAAAGAGAGGTCAAAGATGTGGTGTTGAAGATCTTCGGGAGTCAGTTTAGGACCACTTTTGAGAATGGAGGAGGTGATTAGCAAAACTGACCTAATCTCTCGTTTTCCTCTTCATCGTTTGGGAAGTGGTACTCTCCTAGGGTGTCAGTGAAGGATCAAGGGGTATGTAGGCTCGGAATCACTGACTCCCATCGCGAAACTTGTGATAGGTCCGGCCATTTTCTTTGCGATAGTCGAGAATAGAGCTGCTCAAACTTGCAGTCGAGGAGGTTCCGTCCTGTAGCAACCATCAGCCACGCATTCACCTTGACGGGGATGACAAGGTTTCGAACATTGCTGACATCTCCCAGGGACGAGTCATTGTCATTGAAGTCGTCCGGTTCGACCACGACGTCTGATGCTGGGGCAGCCATATTAAAGAGACTTCGTCTGAATCCTTTAGATCGTGAGTATGGGCCCAATGATGAAGCAGAAGCAATCCAAATCCGACACGAGGATGGAGGGGCGCGAACAATCACGCAGGCCAGCAAGCGGGGTTCTCCTAGAATGTTGGGATACCTGATGTCACTAGGTACTCAGGCACCCTGAGGGAGGGGGATTCGACTGCTTCCAGCCAGCGACATGTCTTAGCTGACATTGGCCGAAGAATCCAAAGATGGGATAGGGCGGGACTAGGGCGATGCAGCTTAGAGATGGATCTTGAGAGGTGTCAAAATGCAGGTTAGCCGTTGGGACGATTCCAGGAGCCAGGTCAACACCACGGATACGCCGGTAGACCCTGGACGAGATGCTGTAAATGGTACAATCTCATAGGCCGTCTTGGGTTCTCAAAGGAATTCATGTAACTGAAGTCCACGTCGTGGCCCAATCAGACGCACCGGGGGAGTAGGGAAGGATGCAAGCCGAAAGCCACTTTGCATGGCTATCCAGTCGCTGCTGGATTTTGTGCATTGAAGTTGCCGGAGCGTTCACCGTCCGAGAAGACACTCCGAGGTTACAGGAGCCCGAAAAGCAGTGAGGAGTATCCGTCGAGATTGGAAAAGCTCGCGTTGACAAGTCGCTCTCGGGTGATGGTGCTCTACCCATGTTCTGGGATGGCTGGTCATCCTTCCCTCGGAGCTTTCGTCGAGAAGTTCCGGCTGAATGCCTCCAGTTACTCGTTTTTCATGCCGTCCGTTACGATCCTGCTTCCTGACAGCGACGGTGGGTCGGTCCGGTGTTTAAATATGACCGTCGATACCATACGTCCGTGGTAAAGTCGTGATATGGTCCCCATCGGACTCGTGGCGGCTATCCGATGTTCGGCTCTGCGGTAACGAGAAAACCTAGCACATTTTGGCTTGAATGACACGGCAATTTCCGTGGATATCATGACCTTTGGAATGAGGGTTTCTGATGAGATGAAGATGCGATCTACGATGGAATGTCTCACGAGAGGGAGGAACACCTCGTCGCTGTCCGATCAGGAAGGAGGAGATAACGATAACGATAAGATAACAGTCTGATTAGATAAGCGACAGGGCAAGCTTCACTGGGACGGCAGGGGCCTTGAATCCCCCGTAGCTGCCAAAAGAGCACTGAACAGGAGAGCCCCTGTGCTGTGGGAAAGTCAATTCCTCACAGGGCACCGCTTGGCTGATCCTCGCAACTTCGCGAAACTCTGCTGAACATTTGAACATTCAACGACGTCTGTCTTCTTCTTGGCACTTTCTATCAACAATGCCACGGGAAAATCATCCGTCTCGAAAGATGATGTCCAACACTGTATTCGGCATAGCAGTTAGCCCGTCGCGTTCCTTTTACGTCACGTCGTGAAGCAACGTTACTCGAGGTTGCCCCTTTCAAGGATCGCGTCCAGGCAGCATCACGGATTCCCAAACCTCCTTTTACGAGATGTGAACACCGTACTGCGAGGCTTAGACCAGGCATTACATATGGCCGTACTGGATAGCATTCATGCTGTGAGGCGGGCCAAACATCCATCCGCACCATGTCCTCAGACCGCGACTTCTCTCACATTCTACCCCAGCGAAATGGGGTTGGATTTTGGGTCACCGTCGGGTCGAATCCATCCTCGCGAATAATAGGAGAACCTTCGCTTCAAACGGCCCATCATCGGACAGACCACACCGAGCTGACAGCCTCTCCCGTTTCGCAATGCTGGTCTCAGCCAGACCAAAGACGGCAGACGAATGAGCTGCCAGTACGGGCTTGGGCCACACTACACCTGTGAAGATGGGGAAACCTGGATCGTCGGAAGATCGTGGCAGGGGAGAGCTCGCACGCAATGCAGAAATTCTACGGCGACCACATTTTTCTTCAACTCCTCTCCACCGAGGCAGGTCGACGACTCTCTACTACGTATTCTCCAGCTGGCCGTAGCCCTGGTTCAGGGGCTCGAGAGCGCGTTTAGGCCCGTTTGCCGTTCTCCGATGTTTCGTCCCATCCGAAACATTAGCACGACAGGGACGGCCTCGTCTGCGACCCAGTTCTCCAACCTCAGCCTCGACAACCTCACTGGTCCACGCCGCGCCATGGTCTCTGATCATCTGGTCTCATGGGGTTTCGACGGCATCAGGATCGCCGGGTGGCGGTCCCGAGTCTTGACAGCACTACTACGCAACGAAGATAGAGAGATGTTGGTCATTCAGCTGCGATTTCTGGTTGCTCACTTGCTCAGCCTCAGTTGCAGAACGTGCCCCTGTGACAGACCTGCGTCGCATCTTTGGCTGACCTGCTTGACAGACGGGAGGCATCAGCAAGCGCGGAGAGCCCTGGCAGACGTGCAGGAATGTTCGGATTGTTCTTTTATCGTCAAAGATGGAGAGACGGGGAACATACTTAAGATGGCAGATGTCCGCGAGTTGGACGTGAATCTGACTCAAAGCGCTAGCATCGATCACTTACATCTTGTTCTTGTATTTCTTATACTCTAGTACTTTGACAGTACTTCATTCTCTTCTTACTCTCATTATTACATCATGGTTCGCTTCTCCCTTGCCACAGCATTCTGTAAGTTTTATCTCTCGCACTTCCCGACTCCCAGGCGCTGTTACTCTACTACCAAACTCCGACTAACATACCCCAGTCGCTGCTTCTGCCCTTGCAATTCCCAGCCCCTTGACACCGGACCCATCTGGTGACAAGAACGTCGGCAATGGCAACGGCGTCCAGTTCATCGGTGGTGCCTGCCTCAATAGCAAAGACTGCGCCTCCACCTGCTGCGCGACTCTAAACGGCGCCGGCATCTGCTCTGGACTTGGAGCCCAGTTCCAGGCAGGCAAAACAGGATGCGGCTTCGGTGATGGTGGTGCTGCTGCTGCACCCGCCGCGTCCCAGGGAGCAGGCCAGGCCGCTCCGTCCATGGAAGCCGCCGCCGGAAGCGGAGGCGGTGCAGGATCAGGGACATCTTCGAATGTCGGCGCCGGTAACGGCCAACAGTTCATCACGGGGCAATGCCTGTCTGATGCGGATTGCGCCTCGGGGTGCTGCAACGGCCCCAAGGGTGCTTGTGCCGCCAGAGCCGTCGCAACGGAGAATGGCAAGGCGGGTTGCGGCTTTACGGGCACGGGAGCGGGTGCCGCCACTGGCTCTACTGGAGGCGGCGCGGCGGCTGAGGCTGCGGCACCGCCCCAAGCTGCTCCGTCCGCAGGTACAGGTGCAGGTTCTGGTGCTGGTGCTGGCACTTCTGGTGCTCCTGGCTCACAGAATGTTGGCAAAGGGAATGGTCAGCAGTTCATCACGGGCCAGTGTCTCTCGAACGCGGACTGTGCTTCCGGGTGCTGTGCCGGCCCTAAGGGAGTTTGCTCGGCGACGGCGGTTGCTAATGAGAGTGGGAAGACTGGATGCGGATTTACGGCGGCATAATTTATGATGAATATGGATGAGTTTGGAAACTAGTGCGGTCACCGCGGATATAGACTATCTACCTTGGGATGGCCACTTTTTGTACAAAATAAGACAATACTGTTAAGGCGCGCTGCTGCAGCTTTGATACGTGTGATAGGTAGGAGTCCATGATCTCCTGTCTCAGGGGTCCGGCGAGCGATTGGGCTGGAACGTCACGCTACTCATTGTACAAAAGGTTGAGAGTGTCTCATACACGATTGGGACATTGGGTGGAGTAATCAATATTGTAAAATTTGATTTGACTAGGCTATTAGGACACTTATCAAAAGTGCAATGCTCATGAATTCGCTCATGTGGTCTCACAGTATCAAACTGGATCAATCCTTCCTCCACGCCTTCTCACCAAGCCAACGAGTCAACTTGACAGCATTCACATCAACTATCCGATTGAACACATCGCTCGCCCAAAACAGAGCCAGCGTGTTCACCAGCGAACCCCAGAAGAACGCAAGCTCGTACGCACCCCAGGCCTTGTTCACCATCTCAGCACCACCGGCGGCGTTCCCGCCCTCCGTGAGCACCTTGGCCTGGGCACCGGCAAGCGACAACGCGCCATGCGCAGGCGACAGCCACCTGACTCCCACCATATGGTTGATGGCGCCGTGCCACAGGTATAGCGAGTAGGAGATCTGTCCGAGGTACTGCGCGAAGCTCGTGGTGAAGGGGCGCTGGAGGAGCGGTTCGGCTTTTTCTGTCTCGGGTTCCGTGGAGGAGGCGGACGTAGCTGCCGCCGCGAGCTCTTCCTTTTCGTCGTCGTCGAGGTCGGGGTTGGTTTGGTGCCAGGGCAGACGGATGTTGCAACCCCTGAGCAGCAGGGTCTTGAGGTTGAAGGTGACGGGCGGGGAGTACATCAAGGCGAAGATGAAGATGATGGCGCCGACGGAGTTCCAGTAGAGCTGGGTGCGGTCGCCCATTGCTTTGTAGTAGTCTGGTACCCATTGCGAGATTGTGATGAAGCCTGGGGTCGAGGCGCCGTAGTACTCTGGGTAGGAGAAGAGATGGAGGCCGAGGAAGAAGAGGGCTAGTGTGCCTGCGTGGCGGAAGATGAGGATGGATTTTGAGCCGTACCTCTTGACGGCGCGCAGTCTGTAGCTGGGGAGCTCGTCTTCTGGCGTCTCTGTCGTTGGGGTGGTATTGGGCATGATAATGGAGAGCTCTGCGAGGAGGAGTCCGGCGCAGAAGAGAGCTTGGTCCCAGTCGCCGATGTGGACCAGCCAGAGGGTGACACCCGTGACGCCAACCATGTGAATCCACCTCTTTGCTCGCGCAAAGATGAGCAAGAGGAAGAAGACGAGGAGCGAGCCTTTGAATTCGACGGGGATCGTCCAGAGATGCCCGTCGTACTCGCTTCCCTTCATGTTCTCCCTGTTGACAATTGGTCGGAACGGGTTCATCAAGTTGACCGTGCTCCAGAACCAGTGCTGCAGCTGCTGGTCGAGACTCGGGCCCCGGGGCGGTACAGGTGCGCCCGAGGGGTCCCTCACGTACTCCCCTCCATACACCAGGAGAGCGATGATGAAGGTCGACGCAAAGATTGGGAGGTACAGCCTGAACGGGCGGCGGAAGGCGGAGCCGGCTAGGGCACTTAGAGCCTGGTCCATCTTGCGCTTGTGGATCATCGACACGGTTTTGAGGGTGAGGACGAAGCCTGAGATGACGAAGAAGACGGTGACGCTGGCGCGGCCGGAGTGCAGGGCCCGAACGATGGGCATCTGCCAGAACATCTGGTGGCCTGCGAAGCCGTAGCCCCATCGGAGGTCTGGGAACCAGAGGTAGGAGAAGTGGAAGATGTAGACCACAAAGGCTGCGACGCCGCGGAGGCCGTCCAAATATGCTGTTGGCCCTAGCTTCCTGGGCTTTGGTCGCTGGCTTGGGGGTGTGGTGAAGTAGTTGAAGGGGCTGATGAAGAACGTAGGAAGGAAGAGGAAGACGAATGGCTTCAGGGTAGTGAGGAGTGTGAGGAGGCGGTCCGTCCATGTCAGGTCGCCGCCGAGGTGGAGGTGTTCGTTGAGGAAGGAGGATACTGAGTTCCGTGCGGATCTCACTGAGATTAGGAAGGGGTATTCGCGCTTCTCAATGTCGATGATCTCGTCCAGCGATTCTGTTGACGGTGAAGCCCGGCCATCTTGCTCGGCGATGAGGGAGTGCCGCTCGTATGTGTCCCGTGGAGGATGCGAGAATGGGTTTGTGAACCGCATGTTGAAGGTTGATAGCCAAGCAACCTATTCAAAGAAGAAGTGTGTCCCTTGGCTAGAGGTGCGGATGAGTTACAGCCAGGAGAGGACTGGACGAGGGAGGTACTCTCGGTGTCGAGAAAGGTGGTTCCAAAGCTGTTATACAAGCCCCGAAAGACTCTCGGCGGGGCCTCTCATCCAAGATCGTCCTCTTTGAGCCTCGTCTGTACAAGTGTGGGATGTAATACTCCGTTCCGACTTGTTTGCTCCTAGCTTCAAGCAGCAAATGACGATGCCCTCTTCAGATCCGTAATTAATTAGCGATGATGGCCAGAACGTAACGCCGCATCAAAATCCGTCTTGGCTCCCGAGCCACAAGTCCTCTATAGGAAAAGCCCCCTTCGCATCGCTGGCATGTCGCAGCTTTGGGGCGAGGTGAGCGATCTGTGTAAATGCGTGTAAGCCAGCCGGTATGACAGAATGGTGACTTCGGGCCGGCCGCTGTGCTTGAGAAACGTTGTTTGCGGTAAGCAGAAAAGTGGCGGCCAGATCGAGGCTATTTGAATCGAGAATCGTTAGAACCGGGCACTTAATTACGATTATTTAGCTTCCCGAACAAAGTTGACGCTTTCGTTCGGACGGGCTGACACCTCGCACCAGAAAAAAAGTTGGGGTGAAACCCGAAAGTGGAAATCGACTTGTGTCGCCTTGTCTCTTTGACAGGGCGGAACCCGGCGGCAGGTGTCTTATATTCCCGAGGCAAGGTTTACTCAAAGTGTCCCGACTCGGGCTCGGTCCGGTGTTATAGATAGGCATGCCAATAATTGGTAGAGAGGAATGTTCATCAGTTTTCCTCATCTTACAAACATTTTCGCAACTTTGCATTTCAAATCCATCATGCGATAAACTCCGAGGTATGAAAGCCACGGGATCCGCTGCCCATCTCGGTTGTGCAGATTTCCCAACTGAATTGACACCTGGGTCCATTCCAAAGATGCTTAGACCGGCATGTTAAGTTGCGGCCCAAAACGGGACGTTTACTTGGCGTTGGCGTAATCGGCCGGAGGCGCTTTCTGTCTCACATTAGCTTGGCTCTGTCTCTTATCCGCGCCGAAGACGTTCTCTCTACTGCGAGTCCGAATTACCAATCGCTGATCGTGGCATAGTCTCTCGCAATAAGACTTGGTGATTTCCGGGCTTGTGTAACCATGGATCGCGAGCCACTGACACCCTGACTTTTGAGAGGCTTTACCAAGCATTTCTTTCCACCCCGAAGGCCATGTGTGCTTCCCTTGGAAGTGACATCACATCCGATGGACAGCGGTGATGTCGCAAAAGCTGAAATCCGACTCAGATGTGAAGAAAGAGATCAGGGAAGGGTCAAATAAGCCATTACTTACTCTTTGGCCTCCCTTCGGCTGTGGACGTTGGAAACCCCTCAACGTGATCCAATCCGGAAAGCTGAAGAAAGCTCCCTGGTGCAGGTGACGGATCGGGATCCCGGACGCTTGACCGAATACTACGATGCTTAATGCGTTTAAGGTTGAGGGGTCTGGACCAACCCTGAGTCTTGTCAGCCTCTACGAAGGATCTTATCACACGAAGAGTAACGACGGCTTAGTGAGGCGCTTTGTGTAAATACCTCATCCCTTAGCTGCAGATACGGCCGCACACGCAGCCATGTTGACAAGCCTCCAGTCATGACCCCCGGACGAGGAAGGGCCTTTTAGCAGAAAGCTCTGTGCAGTGAGGCACTCGTAGCGCTGCTCCTCATTCCGAGACTTGGACTTGGGGCACAGCGATATCACAGGTGACTTATCTGAGCCGAAAAAAGCTGAGAAAATGCTGCATTATTCTCGGTGCCGCTATCACTCCGAATTCGGGGTTCAAAGTCTTGAGCAAGCAACGCCACAAGTAATCAGAAGCCAGAGAGCACACGTGCAAAGCGCGTTGAAAGCACTTTGGCTTGCGACACACATGTGACCGATTATGCTAGGACATAGTGATGCTCGATTGCTCGCTGGCATACCTGCTTCCGATCATTGCAAGGAAATTGTTCAACTCTTGAGCAAGTTAGTAAATTATCGATCCGTCAGATTTGGTGAGTACATTTTCATCACGAAGTCAAATCTCGCTGCTATTCTGGAGAACAGGAAATCACGGTGTGATTGCCGCTCCGTCTCGGGACCCCACGAAGGTGTTATATTAGGTGTCCTAGCATACTCGAAGATAATTGAGCAAGCACTGGGAGCTCATGCACAAGAGGGCAAAGTACGCTCTAAAGATGAACCTATGACTGGTCATGCTGAAGCTCACCGTTCAAGTTCTTCACAAGGACCACTGACAGAGCTGCTTTGAACCGAAGTTCGTTCTATGCGTGTGTAATCCAGTACGCATGACGTCGTTGTTCAACGTCTGTCATGCGCACGTATCGTGGCACCTGCCAAGGTTGCTGGTCGAGATCAGAGACATTGACGATGTTGTGTAGCCTCGACAGAGCAGTGTAGCGGGTGAAGTCAGATGAAGTATCGCGAAAGGCAGCGATTCGCTCCTTGGGAACGGTATATCCTGAAAGCATGAACCCTTGACGTCGTCGGCCCTTTCACACATTGCCAGCGTGCATCAATGTCAGGCGCGCTGGGCGGTGATCTTCGCGTTGTCATCCCATTCCGTACGTCAAACTGAGACTAAGATCGAGTGCGAACTTTCGGGCCGGGTCTAAGACATTATGTGGCACAATTTCGCCTTTTGCGTCTCGCCAAGATCTCGTCAACCGACAACTGCGACACATGAGTTAGGTCAAAGATCGCGATGAGCTAGATTGTTAGCTACCTTACGATAGTATATCTCCATGTCGTTATCGCTCATCGTTTATACAATGCTGCAGTTGCTCATGGGTAAGGGTTCATCACTATCTCTCTCATCCAACGCCGTTGCCACAATGCCTCCCTCCCTCCATTGAAGCTATTGTACCAGTTCAATAGTTTCAGGGACTCGGTCTAGCGCTATCTCTTAACTCGCCCCGTGCATTGCGGAGGGTAATTCGGCTGTCTCCTTGCTGTATCGCCGTGTATGGTAGACCAAGAGTGAGGTAACTCCGATGCTTTGGACGCCCCTAAAATATGTAAAAGACATCGTTGCGAGTTTTGCACTGGTGAAGGGTTTTTCATCACGTCAAAGGCAACTTAGAATCAAGTACGAGATCATCGGTAATGACTGGATTCCTTTCTATCTACCCCAACGCCTCGCATTTTCCTAATTTTGTAATAATCTACATACGTACATGACTTTTACTTTTGCTGTTGTTTCCTCTTGGAGGACTGGTGCTGTGATCGCTATGGAAGACCTCGAGGTAGGATAGGGCGCCGCTACCGGCCTGATACTGGTTGTTGAACTACATGGAATGGTCCAGTGGAATACGATGGACTGAAGGCTAGACATGATGCTTAAAAATAGAACAGGACTTGAAGAGAAGACTACGAAGTTGCGGTTGAATATGCCAGGCGCGTAGCTTGGCACATGTTCAGAAACTGAACAGACCACTGCGACGCTTGCCGAGCGGATAGATGATCAACGCGCTGATGAACAGACCAACGGCAATACCGATGGCAATCTGGATCATGGAGGCGGCGACGTTGAATACGACCGTGTTCAGGGACTCGCCTCCAGAGTATTGAACAGAGCTTGTGCCATTGACGGCGTGCGTCGAGTTGGTGATTGCGTTGGCCGCACTCAGACCACTCAGCAATCCTCCAGTGGACGCCAGACCTCCGGGCACCTGCGTGAAGATGGCCGGAATGAGTGTGGCTGCCGCGACACCGTGCCTCAGACGCGAGTACAGGTTCGCCAGAACACCAACAGTAAGCGCGCCAAGGGCATTGGCGACCTGCGGTGCGGCGCTGAAGCGCAAGCTACTAAAGTAGTTGACAATATAGCCGGCGAAGGCGACCACGAGCATGACAGGCATCTGGCGCCACTTTGCCTGATACAGGACACTGATGCAGAGGACGAAGAGGGGCACGAAGATGAAGGTGTAGTAAGTGGGGATCGAGTTGGTGCAGCTTGTCGTGGAGACGGCGTTTTCGTCGAACATGCCGTAGAGGACGGCACCGATGGTAATACCGAAGCCGAGGAAGAGGGAGTAGATGATGGCGTAGACGATGCGGATCGAACCGGGAACGATGGCGCGGGACTGGAGCTCGAGGGCGGAACACACTGGGCCATCAGCGGCTTGTCCTAGGTTTTTGGTGCCCGTAGGCAAGTAGCATCCCCAACACGTACGCGAGAAGCGCAGAGGAAAAGGAGGCACAGCTCGGGTGGAACATCACGATGGGGCAGGTAGCGCGATGAGGTCACTTACAAACTAGGTATCCAGGTAGAAGCATGACGATGCCTCCCTGGGCCAAGGCTGAGAAGCAGAAGAGCTCGCCGCCCTTGATACTGCCGAAGGCTCGTGCCAGGAAACTTACCAGAACGGTAGCCGTCACCTCGAGAACGTTGCTGTATAGCTTCGAGTTGGCGGCCACGATGAGTTGCAGAAAGCCGACGAGGCAGCCGAAGAAGAAGCAGAGCGGGAGACCGATCATGCGAGCGCCGAACGAGAAGGGGGCAGCCGTGGCGCTGGTCAGGCCAAAGACAAGCACTCGGATCCAGGCGTGGAACTTGTCCTTGGCCTTGATGAGGGTGTCCAACCGCTGAATGCCCTCGTCGACGCTAACGACATCGTGGATAACTTCCTTATAGACGTGGTGCGCGTCTCTGAGCTTTCCGAGGTCGATACCCTGGGCTACGCGGACGATGCGGACTTCGGTGGTATGGGTGGACCGATCGTCGAAAGAGATAATCATGCATCCTGGGAGATACAGGAAATGGCCATCAATCTCAAGAACCTTGGCCGTTGTGCTGAGGTACTCCTCGAGACGATGCGTTGGTGCACCAAAGAGCATCAAAGCCTTGCAGAGTGTGATGATATACTCCTGTCTGGAGAGTGTCTCGGCGATGTGGACAGTGATCTTGGCCTCCTCCTCTTGTCTGGCTAGGTACGCAGCGATGGAGTTGCTGGCAGTTCGCTTATGCTTCGGCCGCGTCTTCTTGCCAGCCGCCTTGCCATTCTTGGGTGACTCGTCGGTCTTCCCTTGCGTATTAGGGTTGGCGAGGCGGGCCGAAGCTTCGATGAGGTTGACGAGGGTCTCCTGGGAGCGGTTTGCCTCGTACCACTTCTTCTTCTTGGGCGTTGTGGGGGTCGCAGTGCCCGAGTTGGAGCCAGGTGTGCCAGCTCCCGGCAGCGGTCCACCAAAGGAGAAAGAGGTGACGGAGCTGCGATTGGTCTGCCCGGACGACTGGTACTGATTGCCTGATTCCGCAGGCTTGTACAGCTTTAGAAGCTGTGAAAGAACGCTGCCGCGATACTCCGTGGGTGCAGGCACAGAGTAAACACCATCGTATTGACCATCGTTGATCTCCTGTAGGAGGTGCTCGGTGACCTTGTGGATGTCTGCTTCCTGGGCGTTGGATGGGCCGGCGACGCTCTCGGGTTTCTCGGCGAGGCGCCAGGTGTGGGCTCTCACAATTTTGTAAGCCTCGTCGTTCAGGGCGGCATGGTGCTCGTGAGCTTTCTTCTCAGCCTCGGCTGAATCGCCATTGAGTGGCTGGCGGGAATGGAGATCTTGGAGAGCAATGTATCCTCCGGCTCCCTCCCCTCCCCCGAGGTCGTACTCGCTTGCGGTGGTGGTAGTAGCGGACTCAAGAGAGTCTCGGTTCTCGCGAGTCGGCGAGCCGAAGTGAACATTTTCGGCCATTTGCCGGGCTCGTTCTTGAGCCGCTGCCGCGGCAGACTTGGCCTCTTGGCGTTCATTCTCATCCGGCGGATGGGGTTCCTCTTTGGCAAATGTAGCCACTGTAGGAATGGAACTGCCGGAACCACCTCGTAGAATAGATGGTCTGGTAGGCTGTGCCGGAGCTAGCTTGGGTGTAGTTGGGACTGCTGGTGGTGATGTAGGAGGCTTGGTCGCGGCCGCGTTGCTGTTAAATCTGACGCGGCCTTTTTCTTTTCTAAGGGCGGCTGCAGCTGCGGCCTCGGAAGGCATGCTTGTCCCTGCCGTGTCGGAGCCGGATGTTGGCTCGGAAGCGGATTCCACCGGCTCAGGTGCTGCCGTGGAGGCCGAGCCGATGCCACCGGGCTCAGGACCAGGGTCATCATCGGGAGAGGCCTGTGAAATTCCCGCCATTGCATCGATGGTCAGAAAACGAGCGAGTATCTTCTAACTTGGCAGCGGAGCAGGATGGAGCCAACAGAGGAAGTAGAAAAGCAAGATACAAAAGCACAATATATTACCAAAGAAAAATTCTGACCTTGTGGGAGGCACAAGTGGATCGTGGGGAAAAGTATGGGGGAAGACCCCTTTCTTATAAGTAGAACCGGACCGGCGGTTCACGACGTCGGCAACTTGTCAACCGGACCCTCCGGTAACCTGAAAAGGTTCTCATACCGGAAATACTTTTTCGTATCCATCAAACTCCACTTGGGCCGAAACCGCTCCACGAGAAGCAGCAGATCGAATTTCCATGAACGTGCTAGCACACCATGTTTTGGCGCAAGTTCGTTAGGGCCCGACTTGCTATTACCTAACAAAATCGGGATGCCTGCCGTCATTCGCCAGGGGACTCCCTGTGAGTCCCTGCGCGGCCTTGGCTTGCGGATGGTATGCAATATGGAACTATGCACATGTCGTCATGGGGTTTCCCTTTTCTCTTTGACGCGTCTTTCGGATGATGTGCTGGCCTTCGGAAATGGTGATGAACCGCCATATCGGTCGAGATGACACAATATCACGGAGCTGTCTATGAGGTTGCAAGAAAACTAGTGCCGTAGGATGGCCTTAGGGCCAACCCGAAGATCCTGCATAAGACTCGAGAGTTCCCCTCGATGGTGTGGTTCCCACTCGGAAGCACCCGATTCGCTGCAGCTTGCTGTCATCCGAGCTCGGCCAACCAGAGATCTTGTTTGTGTCTCTGCTGCCGTAAATATCTGTTCCGTCAGGGGCTTAACTCAAGGGTCTTCCCATCACTCCATGCCCAGTTCTACCGCCTCATTGAGAACCATATGTTCGATTTCGGCGCTATGTTTGGTTTGCGCGGTCCGCTGGGAGCGCGGTCTGGACTCTCGAAATGCCGGGAGGCTTAGGTCATCAGTGGCAACCCCTTTCAGAGAACAGGAACTTGGACCTCAGTCGCCTGAGTCATGTAGCTGGTCCCCACGTGCCTGGACCGACCGGTAAGGGTTTCCACCACACGTGAGCAACGGAAATTTTGTATCATGATGCTAGCGAAATGATGAACAAGTTTTTTCTTCCCTTGAAGGAGCTGAGAAAAAGGGGGACGTGTTTTTGCCTGGCCAAGATATGAGGATACTTCATCCCAAGACGAGGTGTCCGGACTGAATGATTCATGCAGCCACGCCATAATTGCTCAGACCGGTAGAAAATTGTTCAAGTACGTGCGAAGGCATGTTCAGAATTGGGAATCAAGGGAGGCGGTTAAGTTAGTGTTTTATGACGGACTTTGACTTGCTCCGATGGTCCTTTCTAGTTAAATCGGTGTTGACTAAAGTTGTTGGGAAATTGCGACAAGTCGAGGAACCCTTGCATAGAACCGGAGCTGTCTGGAAAGAATTCTCCAATAAACCTTTCAAGCAAGGCACGGAAAATGAGCCGAAATGCGTTGAACCAGAATCTGAGTGCGATTGGAACTCAATTATACGTTCGAACAAGATCAGTTGTCGGCGATGATCACGGGTGTCTCAACGCTCAACAGTGTTAGAGCTTACAAAGAACCGAGGACGGGAGGCTAAAGTCATTCGGTGTAGATATGAGAAATTTGATCGAGGCAGAGGCGTGCCTGAGTTTGGGATCCCATCATCATGCTCTTACAGGATTGGCGAAACTTCAAATTTGGTAATGTAGCTGCGCTCTCAATCACAAGCGATGAGCCCGTACAGCTGCTGGTCTTATCATAACTCGACCTGTCTCAGTCTAGCGGTGAATTTAAATTGCCAAGGACGTTGGCCTCGAGACAAAACGCGCAGCAGTCTGCTGTGAAATCCCGAGCGCCGAAGGCCTCATTCGCGTCAGGAATAGCACCGTGAAGTGGCCAAAGAAATCAATTGCGCCTTCTTTTCATTGTCTACCGTAATCCTGATTCCTTGGACTATCACAAGAGTGGACTGCGTATTGGAGCCCGATGTATTGCGGCTCCTAAAATATTTTACGACATGCATTTCCTGTCAAACCACTTGATTTTCTTGTCACTCGTTCACAGATAGCGCAGCCGTGGAAACCCGGGGCTACTAATACACGCTGAACGGCGCTTAGCTGGGCAAGACATGGGGCTGGAGGATCCCGGAATCGGAGCTCGGAGTACAGGCACGAAATGAGGACTTGGTACTCTGCACATTTCACGGGGTTCACTCTATCTTGTATACGATGGGTGGCCGATCATCAGGTGCTTGTTGAGGTTGTACTATTCTTGATAACGACCTTCGAGAACGAGTTACGCTTAACCACCATCATGTACTAGTCCCGATAGAAACATTGCGAGCGAACTGTGTGTCATATCGATGAGGAAGAATCGAAACTGAATGATTTTCAGTTGTATGGTAGGCTTTGGTGCCTGTTCGAGTACTAATTACTTCAAGGGAGTAAGACTATCTTGAAAACAGAGTTGAACATATCGTTCTGAATGACCGGAATGCGCCGACGAGTTGATAAAAAGAAATCAAGAAATAAGCAAAAAGGAAATAGCAGAAAAAACAGTGCCTTTGTAACTGTCATCTGTCCAAGATCCTAGTCATACGTCAAACATACTCAAGCAGTAAAACATATCCTCCACATCAAGTCTCTTGCTGCTACCAGCTGGTGGCAGTTCTCAGTCCCGGAGGAATCTCAACTGGCCGCCCAAATATAGCTGGAGTTTCTTGGGGAGGTATTGCTTGGTTCATTATGAAAGAGGGGTCCGTGGTTGCGCGGTGGACGATTTCTTCAAGCTTTTTGTACATAGTGTCTGCGGTGACGCGATCTTCCACTTGGATCAAGAGCAAGTGCTTGGTGATTAGATTGACCAGGGCTCCTAGCGCTGTGTCACCTGCACAACGGGGATCACTTCGAAGAACTGCAAATGCTTCGATTACCGCAGGATGGATCACCGCAATGTCTCCCTGAAGCGAGTAAAAGTTTGAAGTTCTCTGAGCTGACGTCCCTTCCTCCCTGGATTCGGCAAAGCTGTTGACGGCATTGACCCCGTAGACCATCCAGATGACGAATTCGAGATATATGCATGCCATTGACCAAATGTCGTATCTCCGAGGTCTGGGCTTGTTGGTCTTGATGATGGCTTCTGGTGGCTCGTATGACGGTGTAGTAGCTCTGGTGAGGGTACTCATAGATCTCATGTATGTCGCGGCTTTGTGTACCTTGGAAATTCCAACATCTGCGACGACAAGATTACCCAGCCCGCCGTTAGGGAAATGGAGGATATTTCCGGGCTTGAGATCGCCATGACGGAAATTGATGTCATGCAGCTTCCGAAGGGCACCACTGATTCCAAGCATCTGTTGCAGAGACCACAGCATGTACTCCTTATTTGACGTATGTAACATCCAGAACTCCTGGAGGTTTCCCCCTTCTGCCCATGGGAAAGCTATGAAGTAAGACTTGTCTCGCTTGCAGAAGAACAAGTATCGAATGAGATGTCTGTCTTTGATACTTTGCGTCTTGAGCAGGTTCTCCTTTTCCTGATCGAACAAGGTAAAGCCATCAGAGTTATGAAATATCTTGACTGCAATCACCTTGTCCGTGTTTTGCGCCTTTGCATATCGATCATCAGTACCTGAATCATGTACTGTTGGAAAATATTCGGACTTACCCCAGAGCCGGTTTGGTGAGCCGCATGCAGCTCGCTCTTGAAGACAACGTTGCTGTGTTCACCTCGAAGTTCGGTTGCCCTCAAGAATGGCAGTGGGCATTTCGGATCCACTTGAAAGACTGTGGATGTCCCTGTGACATCCAGTGTTGGAGCAAGGAAGAGCCACTGCTTTTCCAGAAACATATCAACCTTGGCTTCATTTTTCCAGTCTTTGAGCGCCCTGACTTCCAGTTTTCGCTTAGATTCCAAAGTACCACTGTGTCTGTCATGAGCTGGCCTAGCAAGCGGTAGATCGTCGTCGGTAAGGCCATCGTCGACCAGCTTTCGAATTGCGTGGGGCTCTCCGATCATCACAAGGATTGCAAAAATTCGTCTTGCGGTCATCGAGATTTTGCTTGGAAGGCTATCCGAAAACAACCTACTTATAAGGCCTCTCGGGAGCTCATTCTGAACGGCCTCCTTGGTGACGAGATCATTCAGTTTGCTGACTGGCAAGAATTCCTGGCTTACGACAGAAGAATACTGAAGAGAGTCTCTCAAATTCGAAAATAGAGCTTGAGAAGCCATCGCTCGTTGTGATGCTTCTTCTGGACGTCAGGCTTAGGGATCGCAGTCAGAAACGACTGGGGTTAAAGGCTGGATTCAACAGCACGGCCCACCGACAATCGCGGGGGTCTTATGAAACCCTGAGCATAAATCATGACCAGTGATGGTAAGGGATAGAACAGGATGTAAAATGAGGCGACCATGAAGGCAGCCACATGAGCGCCCGCCAGGCTGAAGTAAGTGTCAGCGAAAGTGCGGAGGGGACTCCAATGCTTTTCCGGCCCTTTGCTTCGAGACCATCACGCTCCAGTGACATGGCGTTGACACAGCCCATGTACACGCTGTGACTCTGCACGTAGACGAATGGTCTAAGAGACACCTGAAGTCTTGTTGGAAGCTGCTTCGCTGATCCATACTTAGTCTTATAGGTAGTCGGGGATGCCCGGAATCAGTTGGCGCCCCTTTCATGTGTGCGGCAGACTGGAGACCACCACCAAGGCATCGTGATCCAATGACAAACTCTCATCATGGCACCCTCATCGAAGCGGAATGATAAGCTGCTCGTCAGAGCCTGATTTGCCGTTGGAGAAAGTCTGCAGGCTCTGTTAAGAGATAAGATGCACTTACCCCGCCTCCTTGGCTGTGCCGGCGCACGGCCTTGGCCGGACTCACGTCATCGCAGTACATGCATGTCAGGGGTTTAGCTGCTATGCTCACAGCCTGATCCTAAAAGAGAACTTCACCACTGGGCTGTCTTGCTCCTGCCAATATCAGCAGGCACTCCGAAATTTTGGTAGATATGGGAATTCTCGTTCACTAGTGTGGCACACACCAAGGTTCATAACGGTCTTTTTCGCAACTCCTTGTAATATCAAGCCTAAATCAAGGTGGCATTCGAGTTCACCAAACTATGACCTGCTCGAACGAGGTTGGAACTTGGAAAGTGTTAGCTTGAGCTCTCGGCCAATGCTGACAGCTTCCTGATTTGGCTCTACGCAGCCATCACACTATTGGCAATGTGCGTATCGGTTAAAGGCTGCAGTCTTCATGCGGAGTCTGGAGAATTTGGTTCTTTCTCGACTCCGAGCCTGATCTAGCATGGTCGATGCGGCAAGCGTGCGAACCACGCGCGCCAGTTTTCGTGGCATGCAGAGGTTGAGTATCATCGTGTCGTTGGTTGGAATGTATACGTTATGTATGGGAAGTCGAACTTCGGACTTGGTTCCAGGCGAAAGGGTGTACACCAAAAGGCGACCAGAACCAATAAAGTAGTCATGGAGGGTGCGGTACCGAGCAAAGGAGGGGAATACCGTAATTTGCTATGAAAATGGCAAATATCAACTAGTAAGCCTATCAATTCGTATCTGCATAAGTACGTTGCTGCATGCTCTGGATAAGTCCAATCGCGCAAGATTCAACTTCACCTGCATCTATAATGTGGAGGCTATGCCCGTCGCTAAAGTATTCATGAAATGCGAGGCTTACCATTGCTGTGTGGGAGTCATTGGTTATCATCACGTGTGAGTAGGACCCATTGGCATGCCAAGATGCAGATACTGGCGACATAAAGCTGGATCTGTAGCCTGAGAAGGGAGTAGCACATGAGCACAATTGTCGAGTCGAAAAAGCTCATAAGCAGCCTCTTCAGAAAGCTCGAGTAGTAGACGCACAGTACAAAAACAAGGACCTCGAGCATTCGCCTGTCTCGATATCGCGCCGCGTGTCTTCAATCACCATATATGCCAGGAGAACATCGAGTATACCGTCTCAGTTGTGGAAGAAGTCGTCCTTTGCCAGTCTTCGGAGAGGTAGCGACAGTAGCCATCACAGCAGCGAGATGACCGACCTTCAGCGCCAATTAATCTCGGAACAGCTTCCTGCAGGAACATGCGAAGGCAATAAATTTCTTCCATACTCCGTTCTGGAACAGAAGATAAGTACTCAATTGGTCCAAAACACCCTAAGTCGTCGAGGGGCCAAGTTGCCAGAAACGACTTCAAAGATCGCCTCCTTTGTCTGCGGAGAGCCCGGAGCAAGGAGAGTTTTTGCGATTCTTGCCTGTCTTGGCCACCCGAGACGGATTGAACTATTCTACGAGCACAATTTTGACGACTCTATTCTGCCTCTCTATATCGACCAAGACGACAATGTGAGGACCCGATCCGCCGAAACCAGACACCTCAGGATCACGGAGAAGGTTTTTGCGGACGACTTTTGGGAGGAAGGTGCTTCACCATGGTTGTTTTGTCAAAGCCAGTGGCAATTTCTTGGCCCAGTCTTCAACGAACATCAATTCAGATATTCGTTTTGCACGGAACACCGCATGCCGTTCTTAGAGCAACTTGGTGGCCAGAAAGAAAGTCATTTCAGCACGGTGGGAAAGTGGTCTATTCATCAATCTCATTTTGAGAAGAGCTCAAGACTTGTAAGTGCACATAAACCGGCCACGAAGGCATTGCTGTGGAATTCATGGATACGACACTCATATGATACAGCGCCTATCAGTGGACACACACGGACATCCTATTGTAGCAGTGAAAGAACTGAAGAATGTCGATATGAATGACGAAGAGTACAAGCGCGCAGCCGAGGCCGAGGCACAAGTTCTACAGAGGATCCGTGAAATGGAGCATCCGCACCTCATCGAGGCGATCGCTTACTACAAAAAGGGTGACCGATACTTCATTATTTTCCCATGGGCCGGAGGTGGCAATCTCCGAGACTACTGGGGAAAGGAGCCTCCCCGTAAGCTTGATGCGGATTTTGTTAGCTGGGCTCTTGGCCAGCTTTGCGGCCTGGCTAGTGCGATGAACGAGCTTCATTCGACGACAGAGGACTCCTCATGTCGGCACGGGGACCTGAAGCCAGAAAACATCCTTTGCTTCGAGAACACCAGAAGCTCCGACTCAACTTCTCAGCCATTTTTCGTCATTGCGGATGTTGGTCTGGCTAAAGTTCACACCTTAGTGACGGAGATGCGTAATGAAGCTACACGCACGATGAACGGAACGGTTATGTACGAGCCACCTGAAGCTGTACTGCTGCTAACTAAGAAACAACCGCGATCGCGACGTTATGACGTTTGGTCCATCGGCTGTATCTATTTCGAATTCCTGATTTGGCTTCTGTACGGAAAGGCCGAACTGCTTCGCTTTAGCGAGGACATCACTCATCCAGTGAACAGAACACGGCAATTCTTCGATGTACATGGATTTGGAGTGACTGGAGCGGCCAGTATCAAATCCGGCGTTCAGAAGTGGATGGATTGGATCAGAAGGGACCCGAGATGCCCACCGAATACTGCAATTCGAAGGTTACTGGAGCTCATTTGCACACGATTGTTAGTCACAGAGGTAAGCAGGCCGAGATCTGGAAGTGCCAGTGTCCATAGCAGCGCCACTTTAGTGCATGCGACGGATGGCCCAGATAACCCGACCATTACGCGATCGGACACCAACAGCAGCTTTACCGAAACATCCGCCGACGGCCTTCGTTATCGAGCGACTTCTAGTGAAATGCATGAAACGCTGGCTGGCATCATAAGAGACGCTTCAGGAAAAACGCCGGCTATTGCTTGGATGAACTGGCAGGCTAATTCTCCAGGAGGGCCCGGACAATACGGAGATACCTTGAGTGTTTCCCAATTAGGTATAAGGGATCGACGCGGCGTTAATGCATGAGGTGAAGAGTAACTTTCCTAGGATCTCGGTCTCCTCCAATAACCAATTCGCTGGTAGACATCAACGCCGGACTAGCAGGTGCAGGTGATAGTGGCCATTCCAACGATGTAAAATTCCCGTATTCCACCTTATGCAATAATGATGCTGACATCAACAGTACGTACGTTTGCCCGAAGTCGTCTAAGTCTGCGCGATCTTGGTTAACCACTTCCTTGCATGGCATAGATGGTACTGATTATGCTTTAACAACCTTTAAATGTTGATATCAAGAGCTAACAACTCATACAGTTTGTATGTTTTCAGCCACCAGCAAAATATGACCTTTGCTAATAGTCACTGATGCAACAGACGGTATGTCTTGGCACTCAAGGTTGAAATATCTACCTACAAATCTGAAGTCTGGTGACCTGGCTTTTATATCCTGACAATGCAACTCTGTCTAGCCGGTAAGCTTCTTGCGATTTCGAGAAGCTCCAAATTCTAACCAGTAATTGCTTCTTAGCTTGATGATGAGTGGGAGTGTAGCCCTGATGTCAACACAGCACAAGCGCTGTCGAAGGAGATCGAAATTTCTCGTCAGCTTCCACTGAGAAATACGACTAGCACCCTTTGTTTTCGATGCAAAGACCTCCAACAGCGGCTCTGGTCACAAAGATTCTCTTTTTCTGATAACCTCGGAACACTGGCAAAAGATTTGGAAGTCTGTGACCTCTGTCGTCTCCTGTTCTTTTCACTTGAATCCATGATATCCAAGAGCTATGGGGAGATTCGGTTCGAAAAGTTCAACAGCTATTTGACATCAAGTGTGAAGCCTGGACGGCCAGTTGCAGTCTTGTACAGCTTGCCAGGTAAGAATGACATCAGTTCCGTCCATTTATCTCGCGCTGACTTTGTATGTCAGGAAAGCCCTCTCTTGGTGCACAGATGGGGATGCCAGTGCTTCCGGCTGCCGGAAGTCAAGCACATATCGCAGCATTATCGACGTGGATAAGGGTCTGCGACGGTACGCATGACTGTATCCGAGTATCCGACACCACCTCTCTTCCAACCAGAGTCATTGACGTCGGATCCAAGGGAGCCGAACATTGCCGCTTGCTTTGTGCAGACCGTGGGCAAACGAAATCAGGAAAATATCTTGCCTTATCGCATCGATGGGGGTCTCCGAACCAACACAGGAAATTTTGCACCTTGAAAGAAAATCTTGAAAGCTTCAAAGAGGAAATCAAGTTGACGGAGCTCCCCCAAACATTCCAAGATGCTATCAACATCACACGAAACCTCGGTATTGGATACCTTTGGATCGATTCGCTCTGCATCGTTCAGGATGACCCTGAAGACTGGAAGATGGAGTCTCTTCTCATGGAACAGGTGTACAGCTCAGCCTACGTAACTCTCGCAGCTAGCTGCGCAAGCGGTACCGAGGACGGCTTCTTGAAACCTCGGCCACGGCGACAATGTGTTACGTTAGCATCCGACAGGGGCTCCTACTACATCTGCGAATCTATCGATGACTTTGGGCGTGATGTAGAACACGGGGAGTTGAACAAGCGGGCTTGGATTCTTCAAGAACGAGCTCTATCCCGTCGCACAATCTATTTCTCGGAAAAGCAGACGTACTGGGAATGTGGAAGAGGCGTAAGGTGTGAAACGATGACGAAAATGAGAAAGTGAGTCTGGGCGGGTCTGCCAATGCTTTCAGCTGGACTCGTTTGACTGACTTTTCGATGTAACAGCCGGAAAGCCTCGTTCCTGGGAGATTCGGACTTTCCGCACTCCATCGACACCTACGTTCGTGGAATGAAGATTGAGCTTTACCAAGATCTCTACCAGAAGTATTCAGGGCTAGCACTTAGCTCCATTGGTGATAGGCCAGTTGCCATCCGCGGGCTTGAAGCACGTCTCATCCGCACTTTCGGAACTGTCGGTTCTCATGGAGTTTTCGATATTTTTTTCCATCGATGTCTGCTGTGGAAAAAGGCCAACCATTCTCTGGATCGGATTGACTCGGAACTGCTCAGAGGGGTTCATGTTCCATCATGGTCGTGGATGGCTTATGCCGGGGAGATCAAATACTTGAATGTTCCCTTCAACAAGTATTCTTGGGATGCGGACATCATCTCCCCGTTTAGTAATTGGTCTTCCCAAAGTATGAAAGAGAGAAGCGAGAACGAGGCGGCATGTGAAATCAAGGCCCCTGTATGGGACTTTCGGGACGCTGGTAGCCTCAAGCTGGAGCTCGACAATCCAGATAGAGGGCTCTCGAACCTCAAATGTGTCATTGTGGCCAGGAAAAAGGACTTACAAGGCGACCCTCAACAGTCACACTATGTAATAGTTGTGCACTCCGTCGCCATTGATGGGCTCTGCGGCGTGTATGAGAGAGTTGGCGTTGCGGAGGTCAGAGGAGAGCAGATTGCATTCAAAGAGGGAAGTCAGAGTGGTATTCTCAAGTGATCTTAGGATATAGCATCTAATAGCAACATGTCTTCTATCTTTCAGCACATGGCTCAAGTTGTGGCTCTCCCAAGCCGGGCCTTGATGCTTTGTTTCTGTTGACTGATCGTAACAACGGCGATGCTACTTGCAATCTTCGATCCTGTCACGTTGAATGCAGACATGCAAGCCAAAGCCGTAAAATTTCAAACAGTGACACATGGCCTTAGTTTGAAAGATTGCATTGATATACGCTAGACACCCGTGGTTGTGAACTTTGCAGGAGGGAAAGTTAAAAAGGTGGAAGAAAATCATAAAAAATAGTCTAACGAGACAGTGGGAGTATCCACCAATACTGTGTATTAATACCGTGTAACCGATATCGAGAACCGCCCGAGCGATTAGCAGAGGTAGAATCAAGAAAACAAATACGCTAGACACGTCATAGGTTGTGAGATAATGTTGATATGATTAACTCCCGAATCAGACCTACGAGAGACTCGCTGATGATATGATATGTACTGAAGCTACTCCCTTCCTTTTTATATCGCATAAGGTACTATGGAGTTCGCTTTTCCAGGCAGGCGAAAGAAGTAGGTCATGATGATACCACGCCGAGTAGAGGACCGCATCATCCATGCCTTGATAAGAGTTTCCCTTGAGCTAGTTCTCAGTTGGCATCGCTAAATCTACCTGCGCTGAAATTTGATCTCAGCAGTGAATCATCCACCCTCCCACGCATCCATGTATTCATCCCGTATACCCCCACGAAAGCAATTCGCAAGCCTATATACCCCCCTCCAATCCCATTCCTGTCACCAGAACAGCAGGCGCCATCCTAGGTCGGTTGGTCAGGTCAAACTGTCTGGGTGGTGGAACGGTTAATGGTCGACAATCAAATTTACGCCAACCAGCCTACTCGACGACAGGCTTAGCGAAGGTACCCGAGTTCGAATCCCAGCATGAGCAACATGATAATCGCCAAGAGATGTAGCCACACCGGTGGTGAACTCTTTTTTTCTCGTCTTCACCTAATTATCTGTTGATGACAGGCACAAGCATATTCGCAAGAGCTGCCCATTGCCGTTCTGACTATCGCGATGTCGGCTACCCTACCTTGGGAGAAGATGGCGATGGAGGAAGCCGTCCTCGCCATTTATGTTCACGATACTATGATTTGGGAAAGAAGGATAGGTGGCAAATCTAAATGACCCGTCAGGGGAGCCTTGTTCTGTATCCAATCCCACAGTTGTCTTCCTTCGCGCAGGTTATTCGAAGAATGCGGCTGCCGTTGAAACCATCTTGGTATTGAAAACACGGTATGGCAAGAGGGACGCTCGGCTATGCATTCTACGTTAATGCTCATCCCCCAGATATTGGATCGCCGTCTTTGAATAGCTTGTTGCCCTCTTCGTCCAAGCCGAGGGCCGTAGTCCTCACCGCTCGTTCCTGCCATTGCCATCGCACAGTCCAGACACTCCAAGTCCCAGTCCAGACTTTCCAAAAGCAGGAACTGCCCCGTATGCACTTTGATCCCTGAAAGTTCGTATCCTACAATCTGACCACCGCTCTGACGATTTGCTCCTCCGCCTCGAGCAGTCCAAAGCCTCCTCGATCCTGCTTTGGCTTCGCACCACGTCAGGGAACACCTGAGCTGTTTCCTGAGCACGGCATCACTCGGGAATCTCATCCCCCAGATCCAAATAGTGTTGAGCCATTTCATGATCCCCTGTGTCCAAATACTGTTGGGCAATTTGATGATTTTCCAGCTCAGTGGCGCGTGTGATGAATTCTACCACACCCGGCGATTCTCTAACTTCGTCTATTTTCGTCGTGGCTTCAAGAATTGGCAATAGTATTGATCCCAGCCATTTGGGTAACCGTTTTTTGGTGCCAGATATCTCTGTCCACCTCGAGAAGATTGGAATGATACCGCACCGCCCACGTTCCTCTTCGTACTTGGTCAAGGCTCCTTTCTTGATCAAGCATTCCACAGCAGTTTGCAGTGATGATTGCGCAGAGTTGGTCAGGTCTGCTGGCCATCTGGGAGCATCTGTTGCAAAAACGTTGCGACAAAACCGCTCCCACAGCCCCATACCGGCATCATCGCGGCTGGTGAGAATGTTCTTGTAGTCAAGCAGACGGCTGTATACGTCAGCATCTAGAGTACAAAAGCTGGCGGGATGGGTGGCGAATGTGGGACCAAATAGGGCCCTGTCATTGAAAACCTGGAAGATTGTTTCCGCCGGAGACATTCCTTGGGCATTGAGGATGGTCTCGAAATCCAAGTTGAGAAGAATATCGATCAGAGGAATTGTAGCCGACACGTTGAGGTAGTGCAGGGCATTCCGAGATTCTCCATCGACTTCGAAGGGGTCCGCGCCGAAGTCAATCAAGCTGCGGAGTAGGTCCGCCGAGCCACATTCGACAGCCAGGAGAACAAGAGATTCCGGGCTTTTGAGGTAGGCGAGATCTGGCCTGCAGATTTTAAGCATGTGAATCGCCCCTCTCAAAGCAGCGGGCGTTATTTTTTGCCCTTTCCTCATGGAGCTGAAGGGATAGAGGACGGCTTCGGCAATGGGGGTCTGGCCGTCATTCATTACAGCCCTCAGGTTGTGGTCTTTGTGCTTGTCGTACTCTTGAAGGCAGTCCAGTAGCTCGATGTCTGAATTGGCGGCTGCGAAGTGCCAAACGTTACGTCCACTTTCATCGGTGTCTGTGGTTCTTGCTCCATGGTCCAAAAGAAGCCTAAAAACTTCGGGCGACTCTGACAACATCAGGGGTGTCTGGTCTTTGTGGTTGCGAACATGGACATTGACATCGTCTCCCGATGTCAAGATAGCAGCCAATAGAGCTATTTCGTCAGTCTCGGCCGCATAATGTAGGATTGTGGTTCCATCTCGAGGCTCGTCCATAGCAAATTCATCTTCTGATGATGCGATCGATATTGCTCTCTGAGGCGCCATTAATGCATTTGGGTTCCAACGAGGATCCAAGATAAGCCTTCTCACAATTGCCGTCTCCCCATCTTGGACTGCTTCTCGGACAAGTTCAAAGTACAAGGTGTCGGAGACGTCAACAGGTCGAGACCTGGCAATACTAGAAGGACGAGCCAAATCGAAATGGTCCAGGATCTCATAGATACCTATGGCCAATAGTGATATATCATTGTAGCTGTCGTATTCGGGAATGGCTCTGTCAAGGATCGCGGGAAGCATTCCCTCCAAAAACGAACGCGTCGGAGGCTTAAGAGGCGATGGCCAGTATTGTAGAAGAGAATCTTTGCCATGGAAGAGCTGTATGAATCTCAGATCAAGGCTAATGCCCAACTTGAGAAGTTGAAGTAGGATCTTTGGAGCACGGATCAACTGACAAATGAGGAATGCCAATGTTGCCAGTGAGAATGTTTCGTCTTGGCAAGGGCCAGCCGTTTCCACAGTACACGAAGCACCTGAATCCAGAAGGACCCTTATAGTCTCCTCTTGAGAGTCGGTAGGTTTGCAGTCAGACACTAGTTTTGAGGGGTCTCCAGAGCGCCCTAACAGGGCCGTTGGACCAAGCAATGCGCAGTAAAGAGGGGTGCCCATAGAGCTTGGCTTATTGACGTCCACTCCCCATGATAGGAGTTGCTCGCAGAGCCGTGGGAGGCCCAATGATGCAGCAACGTGGAAAGGAGTGACTGAATCGTCCTCGAGTCTCGACATCAACAGGTTCAGAGGTGTCATCGAGAGGGCACCGGAGCTAAGGTTGAACTGCTCCGGCCATTCCTGCCTTGCGTATTCCAATAGCCATTGAAGAAAGTGCGACGACTTCCTTGAGTGAAAAAGCACATGGAGGGGTGTCTTGTAGTCGGTGTATCGCTGGCGGGCCAAATCAGGGAGAAGCTTTGCTGCCGCACCATATTCGGGGTGCTTGATATCTCTCTCAGCGACATATTGCCGGTGTATGAAGCATTCAGTGAATTTTTTGTCAAACTCAGCATTTAGAAGTATGGCAATACACCTGTCGCTATCGATCTCTGTGGGTTTTGGTGTGGTTTCCACTGTATGATCCAGGTGTTGGCTGAGAATGTCTTTGCGTTGACCTTCCGTCGACAAGCGCACGAGCAAGGCAGCCCAAGAGTCGCAACGGACAAGAGAATCGAGCTGGCACTGAATTCGGTAGATACTCGAGGTAAATGCTGAAAGAGAAGGGGCCTCGCTTCTTGGTTCTGCCGAGCTTGCTGACCACTCAAGGCTGGGGTTATCAAGAAGATCGCTCAAGTAGTCAAACAGGGTGTGGTCTGGGCACACAGGCGAAGTGCCTTCTTCTGCGAAGTCTTCGAACAATAACCAAAGGCTATGGAGAGTACCAAGAAGTTTTCTGACAGCTACGCGTGCCTCGTCGTTGACGCCGCGGTCACGCAGTAGATGGTACACTGATCGAGCTTTGGATCTAGCCTCTGCGAGAGCCTGTCCAAGCCGACGGCTGAGAGGCATCGTAGCGGGTGTTGTTGTATGGTACGCATACGACAGGTGTTCTTCGCCTTTTCTGAAACTCGGGTGGAGAAGAGCAGGTGATGATGATGATGATTGAGTTGCGGCTGTCGTTGTAGGTGTAACGTCGAATCTCGGTGTCACGGCGTGTCGCAAGCTCTGCAGGCGGGTCCGTTGCCGCCCAGCCAATGCTGTTGCCTCCAGCGCCGTTGAAGTCCGTTTTAGCGATTTAGCGCCCGTAAGGGAAGTCTCTATAGCGGCCGCCGCTGGGCCATCGGGCGAGCTTGCTTAGTCATGCATGCCGCTTACATAATTCATCATGACAATGAGATCACAAATCTGGAACCCTCGCGCCGTGCACCTTTTTTCCAACCACGATGGGTATTTTTTGGTCCAGCTACGGGAGATGAACCTCAACAGCGCTGCCTTTCATCTGAGATTCCTGCGGCCGGAATACACACGTTCTCAGTAGTCAAAGATAACACTTTGGATAGAGGTCATGCTCAACGAGCCTCGAGTGCGATTCCGCTAGAGCTTCTGTCGGCAGGGGCGCATAGTGCCTCAACCTCTCAGCCGATACCCACTTTCCGGGAGCCCGTGTCTGTTCTCGCTTACTTGAGCCTTGGTGTCCAGTGATGAAGCTCTTCTCTGAGGAAAGAATAATAGAGGCCCCTGCGCATATGGAGCTTGGTTGTGAGGCTAAGGAAACGAACCACATCTTGTAATCGAACTTTGATTATGACGGGAGAATTGAGCTGACGATGAGTTCATTGAGTTTCGCCGGAAAGCTTCGCGAAACAGGACTATCTGAGTGTGTCTCTGGCCTTTGAGTCGTCTGTAGCATCTTGCCTATTCCTCATCCTCATCGTGGCCTAGCTGTGATTTCACTCAGGCGAATGCTATGTAATTTTAGCACTTCCAGCGGCTTCAAGCTAGCTGGAATAGTCGTCGTTGACTGGTGCATTTCTTAGTTTGATTGGGATTGGCCGGACCGGAAGCCTGAGCATCTGGCCAACATCTGGGGTTCTTGTGAGATCCCGTGGCTAAGGCTTGAAGCAGCCTGCCGGAAGTTACTCAACCTTCGCTCTCTCAATATAGAGCCGGTGTATTTGCACGTGCAGACTGATTATCTATCATGTGTCATGGTGATATGAAATGTTTACCTCTCAAAAAAATAGGCATGCTGCAATTGGAAGAGAGGAGAGATTCGACATAACTACGCCTTTAACTTGATCCAAATCCTCGCCTGTCTAGGATCAGTCACAGGCTTGATTGACCTATGCTCATGCAGCGTCTAATCTGAGAGCTAATTAGTCGAGGCTGAGAGCCTGGCTCAACTTTGCTTTCTTTTCTCACACGGGTGTCAGCCACCACGTTATTACCCCCAGAATGTCGCTGGTTCCCGCGTGGTTTCCCCACAGTGTCAACGGCTCTCATGCGGATGGATGGCAGTAGACGGTGAGCTGTTCATCGGTCACGTCCTTTTGGCAACTGAACACTGGGGTATGGCAGGAGGATGAGCTTGCCGCACGAAGCTCGGGCATGTAATGACAGGACCTGATATCATCAGTGTCCTCCAGGTTCACCGTTCGATAGCTGAGCAGCAAGTCAGCTGGTGGATGAGGATTGTTGGATGATGGGAGAAATTTGGTTCTGCCGCTGGGGCTTGATGACCTGAATGTCTGAGGCGCACACGATGAGCGTTGGCGGTACGTACTTACTTCTGGAGCAACGGTACGTACTCGACCAAGGAGCTCGGGCACTGTGCACCACGTCCCTTCCAACTCACCTCTCCACCTCAGCTTTCCTCCCACTTCTCAAGTTCTCTGCATCTCTCTACCGAGTAATTCCAGCTCGCACATCACACGACGAGTCGTAGCTGGGGAGCACAATCAGCCAGTTTGGTCACACAGACCACAGTCTCTTTCGTCCGAACTCGTTCCCGCCTTCTCGCAGCCCGCCTATCCATGCAAGGACCGTCTGATCATCCTGGCGCCCGGACTAGACGATGGAATGCCGCCAAACTCTGACCAAGCATAGACCTCTTTGTGTCTCTCCAACTTCTCTTTCGTCCTCCTACGCGTGTCGTTTGTGACGACTCATCAACTCATCGATCGCTCTTCACCTGAAAACGGCTCGATGTTGACCATTGAGAGCCTCCCGCAAGGACGGATACCTGATACACCTAGTCGTGAGCTAGACGCACAGTCGGTTTTTACTGCCCGCAGTTCTTCTCCCGCCCCTCCTCTTCATGGTCCCCGCCAGCGCCATTAGCTGCGATGGTCACCGGGCCACACCGGTAAACACGAGAAGCATTCGCTGGTGTGGCGACGAGATCACGGATACCGTTGGTCTGCCGCTCAAGGATCATGCCGCGGGGCACACCAACGACGGTCTATCAACCGAGCCAGTACCAGGCTCTAAAGAGCGACATGTTCTATTCGATCTGCGACATTCACGTCAATGGTATCCGAGACCTTCATTTATACTCAAACGACAATACGGAAGTCCCTCTATCTCTCCCGCCTGCGCGGCTTCCTCAAATGCCGTGTTGGCGTACGGGCATGGACACTATCAATCAAGGCCCCAATAGCGACTGCAGGGCCAACGTCCTCTTCGCCCTGCTTCCTCTGTCGCCTTCTGCTGACCGCCGCTTTCTGCATGCCAACATTTCTTGCCGTCGTGTACCTACTCACGCTACTCTGCCAAAAGCAGCATGCGACATCCAACCGCCGCCACCGGCCAAAGCGTCGCAACGGCGTTGTGCCCCTTCATGAACCCCCGACAAGGACAGGCGTCCCAACCAGGCGGTCTGGGAGGGACCCAAAATAGGCCTGTGCCACTCCGTCGTCACGCAATGGCGGGAGATCGTCTACCATGTGGACCAAGATTCAGCCAACATTTCCTGGCCAACCTTTGCATCTTTGGTTGTTCCTTATGCCTTCGCCGCGCTCCTCCTCATCGTCGACGCCAGACTTCGGATGGCATGGTGGCATCCTCACCCAACCCCCGTCCATCTTAGCTCCGAAACAGTGCTGTTAGGCGAGGTAGAATCGCCGTGTGAAGGAGCTTCTCGACGCCGCCACAATCAAGTCGCCAACCGACTTTGACGCACGGTCTCATTGCTTTTTTTACACTCACATGCAGTTTGCTCCTGGGTGACCCCTGATGGTCAAGCCTGGAACAACAGACCAGCAGCTAGCCCAGTCCTAGTCAACGAGGTCGGAAGGCCAATATCGGCAACTCATTCATGGAATAGCTGGCAGGCATTGATGGCAGTGATCGACGATGCGCACCTGCAAACGCAAGCAAAGTCGCATGTCGGGCCTCAACGTTGCTCTGCGCCATGGGATAATGGACCAAGGAGAACGCTCGGCAGACGCAGCTCATTATGTGTGTTTGTCTCCGAAGCCCCAGGCTCTAGCAAGCCAGGCTTTCCCCCACAAGTTCGTGGCGTCGAGCTAAGACATCTTACTGCCTACGGCGTTTGACAAGCCTGGCACAACACCAAAGAGACTGTCCCAGTGCGAGTCAGGGTCCGTCCACCGGCGCGTTTGCTATAAGCACCGGAGGTCGGCCGTCTTTTCCATCTCCAGAGAAACCCCTCCAACTTGTGGTGACATGTGTTATCGATGTCAGTCACTTTGTCTCTTTGCATCACATAACATGCGGCCGTAGTCGTTGCTAACACTCGGATATTCTTTTCTAAAGTTACTACTTTGTTCCTTGTAATAGACGCCTTCCGTCATATTCCTACGTCCGGCCGAGCCTGCCAGAGGGCTATCACTTATCACGCTCCTTTCTCGACACTCATTTTTCCTTTTCAGACCGAACTACAAACATGGCCTCTTCCATGTCTCGAAGGTCACCCGTGACACCGCCATACGATGATGACTACAACCAAAGCCCAAAGGGTCTACGGGGGCCGGGATTGAGAAGCAGTCCATCGTCGGCGTGTCTGCCCGTCCCCACCATGAGGTTCTCTCCGCCCGCGACGCCCCGAAGCTCACGACCGAATAAGATGTCCTTGCGCCTGAGGAGCAATTCTGGCCTGTCATTACACACAAACGAAGACGCCTTCCGTCGATACACCGACTACAATCCCGATGGGTCCCCGAGATCCCCGACCTTTGGACCCGGTATATGGCCCAGTCTCGACAGCGTCTCAACAAGTCTGCGCCGAAGCTTTGGACCACCAGTCATGGAGATCGAACCAGAGACTTTGTCTATACCAGACTTTCTTGGCCGAGAGGCCTTTCAAATGGTTCTGGCCAATGCTTCCGTCTCTCAACGTTTCTTCCATTTCGCCCAAAATCACGGCTGCGGTTCGGACATCGAATTCCTTCTGAGGACCCAGGAATACGCCAAATCATTAGCACTGTTTGGAAAACAAGCGGCATCAATGCCGACACCAGCAAATCTACCTTCAACTGTCTCCAAGTCACTGAATGCCGATATGAAGCAGTTGACAAATTCTGTTCTCCCAGGCCTCGAATCGATGTTTGCTGAATCTACACGATGCGTCGAACAACGAGTTGTCCGGTCTATCTATCCAGAATTTGTGAAGCATCAGCTCGCCATCTCTACTTCGGCGGCTCTATCCGGCACTCGCATCTTCAAATATCCTGGTCTTGCCGAGTCATTCTGCTTGACGGACGCCTTGAGCCCAGACTACCCCATCATCGCCGCATCAGATGCTTTCGTTTCTGTTACTGGGTATCCAAAAGTCGAGGCTCTCTCAAGTAACTGCCGTATCTTACAAGGGTCACTTACGAACCAGGACACCGTCAAACGCATCCGGGATACTGTCGCGCGAGAGGAGGAGTCGTTGGAGCTCGTCCTCAACTACCGGAGAGACGGCACCCCGTATTGGAATCTTCTATTCACCTGTCCGCTGACGGACTCTTCCGGCAAGCTACGATATTACCTCGGAGGGCAGATTAACGTTTCGGAGAACGTTGGTGGCTACAAAGACCTTCTCCGGATTCTCAACTTTGGGCCGGCCCTAGATGAGGTCAAGGACGAGACCTCGGGTCGGGAGTCCCGAGTCAGTCGCCGCATGAGCCGTACGAGCAGCCGAGACAGAAAACAGGAACGGCGGACAAGTCTCCGCAATAGGGATAGTCTACACAACAAAGGGCCCAAGAAAAGCCTCTTCCAACCATTCCGAAAGCATACGACGCACAACAGCAACAATCAGGAAAACACGTCACCGTCGCAGGGCGTTGGCCTTGGCTTGGAGCAGTTGCTAACGGTTTCGAGCTCGGAAGAGCACCTTTCGGCACCCACTCAGCTGGACTCTGTTTACTCTGGGTACAGCCGATTCATTGTTTTGCAAAACACGGACGGGCCTTCCGCCTTCCCGCCAAGGTCATCGTCTCTGCCTGCAGACCCTAACAAGAGAAAGGCCGCCCAGCTCAGTGTTGCCTTTTGTTCAGCCGCCGCGTTGGAGGCGCTCGGCCTCGGCCTTTTCGCCGATAGCATTACGCACCGAGACATCTTCACCGTCCTTTCCGACCTCGCGGACTCGCCATCGATTACGAAGAGCTTCAAGAATACGGTGCGCGAACGGGTGATTCAAAACGGAAAGACGGCTACGCTAGACATCATGCTCGGCGGTAACTACCTCGCACGGAAGGGCAGTCTCATTGGCCTGGGCGGGCGTTCATCCAAAGACGATTCAGACGGCAGCACGAAGAAACATGGGCGACCTGTCAGCAGGTCGGGTTTTGCCAGTCTTGTGAGCGAGGCAGGCAAGATGGAGAAGCTCACCAGCCAATGGACACCATTGAAGAACGCGGAGGAAAAGGTTGAGTGGATAGTTGTTATCATCACACCGATAAAATAACGCGACGCTCCCTAACGGGATGTCCCGTTACCTATTACATATGACGTAACACTGTAAATTATAATGTGTATGGGATGAAGAAGGGTAAAAAGGGAGTCTGGGTGGATTGAGGAGAGGAGACTAGACAGATACCTGGGATGTACGATTCCCGAATGAATGAGACATCAACCTTCATCAAACTTTGTCGTCCGATGTCTTTTTCTGAAAGCGAAACTGCCATGAGAAGTGACTTAATAACCTGTTGGTATCGATTTGATGTACGAGACTCCGAGGAAGGACCCTCGAGAGGACAGATACGAGCATCATTGACAAGTTCGAAGATCCAGTCGATCGTCCAAACTTGATATAAAACCAGCATCAATGATGTACTTTTGGGAAATAAGCCGCCATTCATAGCCAACATTGGAAGTGTCTGACACAGACAACTCATCATCGGGCAGCCATACACTACATATACTCACCCATCATGACCCTCCAGAAGATGGCTCCAGTTTTTCTCATGAACAACAAGCACGCCATCTCGATCATAGGGAAACCCCCTCCCCCCGCCCCCTCTTAAAGTGACACGAACCCTTCATCAACGTTGCAGATTGCGGGGGACGGGAAGGAAAATAAAAAACAAGATCTATTTAGCACATGGCTAGGAGGGGAATGTAAGAAGATCCGGGGAAAGAAGGAGTAACGAACGGGTAAGAGATCTCAGATCTCGGTTACCTGCGGGTGAGTAAGAGAACGATTAGTAGATAGAGGCCGTGGAGAGGTAGTCTGTCGTCCCAAAAGGGCAAAAAAAGGGGGCACAAGAGGAGGGAAGAGGGAGGGGCCACTCGGGAGAGCCGTCGTGAGCCGCCGTGAACTTTTGGCGGGCAAGACGGGATCTACGAGGGACGGACTCCCGCGGTTCTCCAGATCCACGTGTATAGACTAGTATACGACTACATGTGCGTTATACGGGGAAATGGAACGTTGTGTCTTGTTTAGCTGCTTCCGAGTACCTTGTTTCCGAAGGATCTCATGTAGTCTGTCAGATGGGTATGAAGAATAGCTGAGGACATGATAGGCTCTCAATGGTCTGGCTACAACCCGGTGCCTTCGAAAGTCCCCTTCACGTGTTTCTATGGTCTAATGCAGTTTATGCACAGAAGTACAAATGCTCACCCGGATGAACAGTGAACCTACTTGAGACTCGAAAGGCCACGAACAGGCAAACGTGGCCGCGTCTCCATGGTCCCCGGTGACGGGAAGAAGACACGAGGAATGGAGACGGCCGGTTGCGGGCTTCGAGAATGAAGCGGATTACGGCGAAATGGGCCGTTCTATGCAGTATGCAGACTATGCAGCGCAGAGCGGAGTACGTAGAAAAGGGGAAGGACTCATATCCGTGGACGCAAGAGTCAAAAAGCAAGACGCCAGGAGAAACCCCGTTGGCGAACAAATTTGCGTAAAAGATTGACTGCATGCGCCGGCCCCGGGCATGCGGGCTGCGGCATCGGCTTGCGTTGCGTGGATCGTGAGGAACCACGCGGGGAAATAGGGCCGAAAATCTTTCCAGACTTTTCTTGGGTTTTTGATAGGGGACCTGCAAAAGAGGATGGGCAATGGGCAGATTGGGGGACTTGCGCTCGTGGAGTTGCGAATAACATGAATTGACCACTCCACAAACCAACTGGGACGTCAACATTAGTAAAACCGGTGCCAAGTGGATATAATCACGTAAATATTAGCCAACGTGTGGGACTTTTTTGATGGGTTGAGATGGTACCGGATGGGTAATGCGCGCTTGAAGATTTTTTTGGTACGAGGCGCGTTCCGGGCAGATTTTCCTGTTCTTTGTGGTCATTTTTTGGTACGGTGACTCTGCGTCTTTTGGGTTTTTGGGGGTGGCCGATCAGCCCATTGACTTTTTTTTCTTCTTCTTGAGCTTGGGGAGTTGGCGGTGGAAGAAAGCTTGGTATCGAATGATGGACTTTTTTTTTAGCTGCCGTAGCGGGACTCAAGTTACCCTCATGACTTTGTGACTAGAGTGAGACGCGAACACTCAGTATACGGATGAGACATCAGCTTGAACATACCGAAGAGACGGGCATCACCGGCGAAGAATCAACGGCGGAAGGGTTTCCGTAGATCCAGAGCCGGGCAGGGGTGCGGTGTTCCAAACTTTCAACGTCCAGGCACAAAGTCCCCCAAGTCGCCACAATCCCGAGTGGGCCGGAGGTGCGGGCCCCGAGTCATTCTGCTGGGAGAGGTGCCGCTGCAAGAGTTCACAACTTCTCACACCCCCGTGGGCCGTCTGACGGCCCTCTGGCCCTGCGCGGTTCGCCATTGCGGACGCGCCGAGATCGCCTCGGCAGATGTCTCGTATGACCAATTCGCCCTGCGCGGGTTCCAGTGAGGTTGACGAGGCCGATCGCGGCGTGGTCTGGGTGGATTATATCAAGAAATCTGGTCCCCCCCAAGGATAGAATGACTCTGAGTCTTGAATGAGAGAGATTTTCTACCGTTTCCCTCTCTTCGTCTCTCACCTGAACGTCCGTCGTGGTTCTCTCCATTCCTGAACCACTTCTCAACTTCATCCTGCTTCTTCTTCACGATCTGTGACCAGATCACGCAGGACGACGGACGGACTTACTGACGGCTTCAACGCGTCAGATACAGCCAGCAGTAACCAGCATTACACACCTGCGTGTGTATAGAGACAGCATGGGCAACGCCGCAGAAGTCACCAACAGCCCCGAGATGACGGAGGCTCAGAACCAGGCCAAGAGGGATGTCGGCGATCGTGAGGAGGCCGCGCCGGCCTACGTGCCCGCGACGGCGGAGGAGCACAACAGTGTCCTCACGGGAGAGGACGGTGAACTGATCGACTACAAGACTCTCACCTGGTGGTACGTCTACATATCCTTCAACGCCGCCACGTCTGTCCGCTTGCTAACCCTCACACTTTCAGGCAAGGCGGCATCGTCCTCATCGCCGAGACCGTGTCCCTGGGCATTCTCTCGCTGCCCTCCGTTCTGGCGACTGTCGGTCTCGTCCCCGGCATTGTCCTCATCCTCGTCATGAGCTTCCTGTCGACGTACTCAGGTCTCGTCCTCGCTGAGTTCCGCAACGAGTACCCCTTTGTGCAAAACTTTGGTGACGCCGTCGAGGTCATTGGCAAGTCCATTGGCATGGGCGCCGTCTTCCAGGAGGTCTTTGGCTGGGCGCAGGTTATCTTTCAGGTCTTCGTCATGGGCAGCCACTTGTTGACCTGGACCATCTGCCTCAACACCCTGACCAACTCGTCTACCTGCACCATCGTGTGGGCCGTCGTCGGTTTGGCTGTTTTCGCTGTGCTCAACTTCCCGAGAACGCTCAAGTACACCAGTTACATGTCCATGGCTTGTGAGTTTACCCGCCGCTTAGAGGATTTGCTATCGCGAACTTTGACTTACCAAGAATCGCAGCATGCTTGTCCATCACTCTAGCCGTCCTCATGACCCTCGGTGACGTCGCCGTCTCCCGCCCCATCGGCTCCGGCAGCATCGAAGTCGCCCGCCAGCTTGGCTTCACCGGCGCTTTCCTTGCCGTGACCAACATCGCCATCGCTTTCTCGAGTCACTCCTGCTTCTTCAGCGTCATCGGCGAGTTCAAGAAGCCCGAGGACTGGCCCAAGGCCCTGGCCCTCCTCCAGATCGCGGACACGACGCTCTACCTGCTCGCCGCCATCGTCATCTACGTCTTTGTCGGCCCGGACGTCCCCTCGCCCGCCCTCTCCGCTGCCGGCTCCAAGACGATGCGTAAGGCCATCTGGGGCATCGCCATCCCGACCATCGTCATCGCTGGTGTCATCTACGGCCACGTTGCCGCAAAGTACATCTTCTCGCGCCTGTTCCGCAACACGAAGCACATGATTCGCCGTACGAAGCTCTCCGGCATCGCATGGATCGGCATTGTCGTCGGCATCTGGGCCCTGTCCATGGTCATTGCCGAGTCTATCCCTGTGTTCAACTCGCTGCTCGGCCTCATCTGCGCACTGTTCGCCTCGTGGTTCTCGTACGGTCTTCCCGGCATCTTCTGGCTGTGGATGCACTACGGCAACTGGTTCAAGGACGGAAAGCAGACGTGCAAGTTCGTGGCCAATGTTATCCTGTTCCTCACGGGCTTCCTCATCTGCGTGCTCGGTCTGTGGGCGTCTATCGAGTCGATTGCGAATGAGAAGGGCACCAAGCCGTGGACGTGTGCTTCCAACGCCGCGCGATGAGAAGTAGGCATTGTTATTAGTTATCGCAACATCTAATGAATATAATATGTTGATTATGGACGTTTGACCCAAACTCCGTCAGCGCTTCACCGTGAGAATATCGTGACAATGCCGGATGCACAACCACGGAGAACGCCTCCGAAGCGTTAGACCATCGCAGGCAAGTATGGAGTGAGTCCCAGCGGTGATCAACGCCACTTGTCGTCACGGTTCCAGACAACCTGACTCGCATCATTGCCGGAATGAAATGATGTTCCCATCGTCGTCGACGACCTGACCAAAACGAAATTGCTGGAGAGATCATCACGTGAGTGGATTTTTCAGCCGGCGCTCAATAAGCCCGACCGCCGACATCCGTCTCCACCTTTCTTATCTGCTTACCTCATCTCATCGATGATGTTGGCCACTATCTCAGTTGACTCACTCACTCACTCATTATGGAACTACGCTTCAATCGAACCAATTCTTGTCCAGACATTGCAAGACTCATTTAAAAATGGCAGTGGCAGAATCGACTCGAGCCCAAGTAGTCGGGGCATTAGCTTGTCAAAAGAACTCATATCTTCGCACTCTAGAAGCAGAGGTTATCTCATGTGAAAAGAGACCCCCACCCCCACCAACCAAGAAGTCCAGCAAGGACAAATCTGCGGGACCAGTCGCCAACAGCAGCACCGATGAGGTGTGGTTGATAGAATTCGCCGACTCCGTCCTCTTCCCTGAAGGTACCGCATGACTTCATTGAATGAATTGGAACTTGAGACTTACACAGCTGCGCTTTAGGCGGCGGACAACCGTCTGATCATGGATCAATCACTCCCCTCTCAAGCACCGATACAACCGCCATCCCGATACAATTTGTCGAACGCGTTGGGCTACGATGCGTCTATCACTCTCCCAAACCCCTAGATCCTGGTGAGAAGGTACGACAAGAAGTCGATTTCCAGCGCCGATGGGACCATATGCAGCAGCATACGGGTCAACATCTCTTATCCGCCGTCATGAACACCCATGACAACCTCAATACTCTCGGCTGGGGCATGGGAAAGACTGGAGCGATGAACTATGTCGATATCCCGCGGAAACCTTCAGATACGGAACTTCAAGCCATTCAGGCCAGGTGTAACGAAATCATCCGCGCCAGCTTTCCAATTACAGTCGAGACCCCAGAGGATGCCAAGGTCCATGAGATGCCCGAGGATTATGATCAGAGCAAAGGAGTCGTTCGTGTCATCCGCATCGGTGACATTGACCGCAATACGTATGCAGCCCCCATCCACCATGCCAGGTCGTTCTTGATAGTGTCTTGATGCTGACACAAAAGCTGCAGATGCTGCGGCACTCACCTATCCCAAACGTCTCACATCTCACTCATCCTCGTCCATCACGGCGAACCAGTACACGGGAAGAACTACCGTCTCTACTTTTCCGTCGGTGATCGAGCCATCGACCTCGCGACAGCCTCCCTCGGCGCAATGAGTTCCCTCTCAAAGCTGCTGTCGTGCAAGAACACGTCCGACGAAATAGTCCAGACCGTGAAGACCGTGCAGAGCTCCGCGGCGGATCTCAAGAAGAGGGAAAAGAAGCTGCTCGCTGATATTGCCGAGTTTGAAGCAGATGCTGCAAAGGTCAAGTTGAAATCCACGAAAAGCGTCTGGGTTCATCGTGCGGATGGCAACGCGGACTTTGTGAAGTGGGTTACCGTTAACATCAAGGACGCTGTGATGGCTTGTGGTGGAGTTGCTGTCTTGGCTACGGGAGATGACGGTAACAGCGGACAGATTTCCGTTCTCGGTGAGAAGGTTGCTGTTGAGGCGCTGGTTCCAAAGATCAAGGACGTTGTGACGGGGGTGAAGGGTGGCGGTGGTGGGGAGAAGTGGCAGGGAAAGGTCACAGCATGGGAAAAGGGCAACTTGAAAGCTCTGAAGGAGGTGGTAGAAAGTTTTAGAATATAATTCTATCTTCGATTTCGCCCACAAAACATTTGGCCTTTCTCTGTCGACCAATTTCACACGGTTTTACTCACCACCCCGATCCCCGAATCCAAACATCCACGATCTCGGTCTTGTTAGACTTGCTCGAGTCGACTACAAGGTACCAGCCATACAGAGCACCGGTAACACACGCGTGGTTCGGATAGATACTGACAGACTGACCAACCTCGAGCGGGATATGCGGCAGATCAGAGTTCGCTCCAGCGTCAGCCTCCCACGAGAGAATAGCGTGTTCCTGACTGATCCTATCCACGATAAGCCTCCGTTCTCCCGCAGTCTCAAACTCCGGCTGGCGCCCGACGACGCCCCAGCCCGGATAAGAAGGGCAGGGCTCCCTCCCGAGACCCAGCACGCCAACAGCGACGAGAGCCTCTGGCCTCTCCCGCTCGCCATCATTGTAGACGCTGCAAACTTCCGCTACAACGGAAATAGCGACCTCATCCTCATGGCTCCCTAGTGCAGTCCGCGAACGGGTGGACATTTGCTGCATGTCGAGGAAAGCATATACCCCAGCATGAAGTTCGAGTGTCGTCTTCACCGTCGGTGACCCATCTTGGACTTTGCTGATAGCCGTCCGAAGACGCGTTTCGCCGGATCCGCTGGCCGCCGTGGCGCCCGTCAGGTTCTCAATGGCCGTGACCTGAGGGGACGCGCCGACACTAATGGTGATTTCTCTCGAGGTGTTAGCCGCCAGGAGACTTTCGTTGGCATGGAGGGCTTCCAGACAGCCTTCGATCTCTCCAGCGAGATTGTGCATGGCCTGGTCGGCGGTGTCATCCTTGTAGCTGAGACTGCTGTGTGAGTATAGTCCCACCAAGGTCGCTTTGCCTTCCGCGTCGAGCTGTACAAGCTGCTCTAGCAGGCCGCCCTTGTTGAGCGCCGTGGCGGGGAGTCCTGCCCTGTGATATCCCGTGTCTACTTTGAGGTAGACGCCTACCGGGAGACCGCTTAGATCATGGAGCCGATGGATTGAGCCTAGCTGGGAAGGGTGGTCGACAAGGACCGTCAGTCCGTCCTTGCCGAGTTTTTGGCTTAAGATGCCGAGGCGCTCAATCTGGGAACCGAGAAGGGGAACGCCATAGAGGACGTTGACGTGGCGACCGGCGTCTTTGTACTCTTTGAAGGTTGGGAGGAGATGCCTAATTTCTGCTACGGTTGATACGATGCAGTTGATCCGTGTAGCCTTCTCGCCTGCCTGGAGCTTTGTAACTTCTTTGGTCTGGCCCGATGGTTAATGTCCCGTTCCCAAGACCCATCTTTGATACAACTTCATTTTTGAATCACTTACCTTGTGAGTCTTAACATGGAATCGAAATCCGACTCCTAAATCACCGACGGCTTCCAACATGGACCGGCAGTGCGTTCTCGCCTTGGCCGCGTCCAATACTACTGCCGGCTTCGGAACGTCATTCACATCCTTGCCGACGTAGAACTCCCTTAGAGTCTCGGCGGAGGGAGCGATTCGCTGCGGAATGGCCATCTCAACTGGAAGACCGATTTTCTGAAAAATCCGTGTTCAAAAGGTATGCAGAGGTGGTGTTGAGTTGCGGACATACTCATGTCCGCTTTTCGCGGTTGTCACTGAGGTTTAAATAAGCTTAGGTCAGATTCGGGCCGCGCTTAAATGATCAAGCGACGAGGGACACGCCACACAGTTCGGGTACGGAGGTCAAATCTCGCTGCCATAATTGGTTCTTGAATTAAATGACTCACAGCCTGAGTTACGATTTTCTAAGCATGTTCATGCGGCGCAATGTTGGCCGGATTTCGTTATGGTAGGGCTATGATTGACCTTGCAGACGGCTTGTCCTATTGTCCTTAGTATTTTGAGCACCTACAGACATTGGTTCAGTATTCAACTGTTGACATTCGGTTACAAATGGCTACCTCACAAACGCACTCGTCGCTACATAATTACCTAATGGCCTCTGCTTACACTATTTTACTGAAGATTATCAGACAAGTATGCTGCTATGGAAAAGATCTCTTCACTTTTAGGTATTCATTTGAATAACCACGTATGGCTTTTCCAAGACAGAGGTCTACAACAGCGCAGCCAATTCTTGTGTGTAAATCGTACTTGCCTTGTGTACAACGATAACATGTTGAGTTCGGTGCGGGGAAGGGCGAGAAATAGACGATTAGCGATATATATATCTTCTCGAGACCACCTTTGCCTAGAGAGGTATTGGAATTAGCGTGATTGACTGGTGGCTGCTGCAAGGTACTCGCTGATGGATTTTCCCACCACGGCGTGCAGGCTGAAGATACCTTAAACTTCATTGGGACTTCCGTAAATCTAGGGACCAAGTGGAAAAAGTATCTAACCAGCGAATTTGAGCCAGGGGTCATCGTCTTAGCCAATCCTGAACCTGCAAGATGACGCTTAGAAGTGTTGCTACTAAGCTGGTGCCTAGCACAGCCCTACCAGAACTGAATGATTGACTGCCCGCGAAAGCAACATAGCTCGCCTCAATCTGATATACTTGGAACCTGGAGCTTATATATAAATTTTTTTCTTCTCACGAGACTCTTCCCGCGTGCAGGTTCAATCATTTCGGTTACTGTTTGTTCTTGAGAACACTACTGCACTACAAGATGTCAACCTATCCCTACCGCCCCCTAAGTCTCCCCAATGAAACCCGCATACTCACTGTCCAACCCGGCAACCTCGACGACAAAATCATATGCAGTATTTCACATCTGAACCTCGACTCACCAGACGAGCCCTATGAGGCCTTAAGCTACTGTTGGAGCAAGAGCATTGACGCCGTCAAAGAAATCGACCCCGACACTGACATCCCTTGGGCCATTCACGGCCTGGATGACTACGGCAACACGATTTCCGAGTCTGGCACGTCCAAATGGAAGGACCTCTGCGACCACCCCTACTACGGAGAGCAGTACATACGCCTAGGTGGCCGCATGCCCGACCACCCCATCGAATGCGACGGCGTAGAGATTGTCGTCGGTGGTGAACTCTTCCGCGCGCTGCGTAGAATGCGAAGCAAAGACGGCGGAGAGCCGCTTCGAATCTGGGTTGACGCGCTGTGCATTAATCAGCAAGATCTCAAGGAACGGAACGAGCATGTCAAAGTCATGGGACGGGTGTATGCTGGCGCCCTGAGAACGCGAGTGTGGCTAGGGGAGTCGACGGAGATGGATTTTCACGCAGTCCGTACGCTGTATGCGATCTCGGAAATATTTGATGATATTTTTGTTCATCGCAAGGTTGTTGATTTGGCGAGCGCGACAATGCATGAGATTCAGTGGCACTTTCACAATAATGCGGACACAAATCGGCTTGAATGGGGGCTCTTGGCTGATTTGCTCAACCGCTCATGGGTGAGTGTTTGCATTCCATCACAACTATGTCTCTTTTCTTGCTGATAAGGATCTAGTTCAAACGTACCTGGATCATCCAGGAAGTTGTCAACTCCCGCGAGGTTATAGTTCATCTGGGAACTATTCAGGTACCCTGGCACTTCCTGGCTATCGTCATCGACGCTATGTCAGAATTCAAACTGCAAAGCATGATTAGCGAATGTAAAGGTTTCAAAGCCATTGGTTTCATGGAACAGCTCCGGAAAGAACGTGTCGACAAAGCGGCGACAGGCACCAGCACTCCGCTTCTTACTTTGCTGGAAGAGTTGAGAGACTTCCAAGCTACAATCCCTAGTGACAAAATTTACGGTGTGCTTGGCCTCATCGATCAGAGGGGGGCCTATGTTGTCGACTACGCTCAGACTCCCGGACAGGTGTTTACTGACTTCGCGATCAAGAGCATCAGGGATGGATCGCTGGATATCCTCACGCATTGCGTTGACTCGTCGAAGCCGACAAGTTTGAAGCTTCCGTCTTGGGTGCCTGACTGGACTCGTCCAGGCTGGACTGAGCCGCTTCGCATTCGAGGGCTAGAGGCCTCCGCTGCTGGTGATAGCAAGCCGAGCCTACACATCGACGAGGACGCTGGCGTCTTGCATATCAAGGGCAGGATCGTCGATGTGGTAGCCCAGGTAGAATCCAAGCGGCAGATACCTGTGCCTAATCAGCAGGGCTCATTGGGAGGCATGGGCGAAAACAAAGAAGTTGGAAAGGGCAGCGTAGGAAATGGAGCCGACACTAGCGGCTCAAATGCGATCAAAATGGCAAAGTATGGCGGCGCTATACTCAAACACGAGAGGGAAAACGAGAAGGAGGCGGGCGTGGGAGGTAGCATAGCTGGCCACGATACCGAAAGGTCCGGGAGCCCTATCAACGACGCCGAATACAGACTCAACGAGACAATGGAAAAGATGGCGAAACATTCAGAAGAATGGTACCGCAGCCTAATCGACGTCGCCTTCCCAGACAAAACGGCCACCCCGGAAACGTGGGAGAACCTCTGGCGGACCTTCATGTGCAACCGCACGCGGGACAATAATGAGAGACCTGGCGAGGATTGCGCAACTGGTTTTGAGGTACACTACAAGACCGCCTTAGAACCGGGTAAGGGACTCGCTCGGGTTCTGCAGGAGCGGACTGACCACCAGATCGAGTCTCACGGGTTGGCGCCGCAGGATGGGGTGGCGCATTACATGAAGGAGAAGGAGGCTGCAGAGAGATTCATTGGGGCGCATACAAAGTGGACTTACAATCGAAGGTTCTTCCGCTCGAAGGGGGGCAGGTTTGGATGGGCTGTTGATGGAGTAAAGGAGGGCGACTTGGTTGTTGTGCTGTATGGGTGTGACTATCCCATCATCATCCGTGAAGGTGAGCAGAAGAAATCACGGATTATCGGCGATTGTTATATCCATGGGCTGATGGATGGTGAGGCTATGGAGGAGAGTCTTGCGTTTGCGGAAACCGAGTTTGAGATTGTGTAGAGTTGAACATCACGAAGAGCTAGTTCATGCTACATCTATTTCAACAAATACTTCAGTCGCTTTGGGCAGACCATGCTCAGAAAGCCAACAACTCTCTTTTGAACTCCAAAATCATACCCTAGGAGGACAAGACAACCTCTTTCGCCGTAGCCTTGATGTCGCGAGAACTAAAGCCAACGCGTAACTCAATCGGCCCCTCAGGGATGACCCACGTTTGCGACGCTACATCCCAATAGCTCAGATCACGACGCAGTAACTCAAATTCGACAGTGCTAGACTCCTTTGACTCCAAAATGACTTTCTCAAAACCACGCAAGACTTGAAGGGGGGTGCCCTCTGGAACTGAGTCCTGTGGCAAGGCAACGTATAACTGGGGCACTGTGGCGCCAGCGACGGCACCGGTGTTTTTGACACGGGCGGTGACAACAAGGATAGTCTCCCAGAGTTCTGGGTTGCCTCCAGGAGCATTCGACGTTAAGGGATTCGGGATGGCGGCGACGTTCTTTGCGATCTGCTTGACCTTCAGAGATGCATCCAAGTCGAACGTGGTGTAGCTGAGGCCGAAGCCGAATTCATAACGAGGTTTGACATTCTGGGCGTCGAGTTGGCGATAGTCGATGAGAAGGCCCTCTGTGAAATCAGCTTGCCATGCTGTGGGAGACGTTATTTCTGCTTCGGTGAGATTGACGATGGGGATATCGGTGTCTTTGGCATCGAAAGCAATAGAGTAAGGCAGCTTTCCAGAGGGATTGACGTCTCCCCAAAGCACATCAACGATTGAATTTCCCGACTCCTGTCCTGGCAAGTGAGCAGCCAAGATGGCCGTAACGTTTGGATTGTCCGCCCACGGCAAGGTATTGATACCAGCCGAATGCGTAACGACAATGGTGTTTGGACACCTCCGAGCGACGTTCTCGACAGCCAGCGTCGAGTTCCAGTCGGCTTCGTGACTCGTCCTATCATAAGCCTCTGACGCGAACGTGTTCAGAAAAACGAGACAAACTTCAGGAATAGGGTACAAGCTGCTAAAGTCGCCGGCAGCCAGAACCTTGTTGTCTAGTATGTACTGAACGCGAGCGCCTGTTGTGCGCGCCTTGGCCTTGATTGCCTCGAGTGGGGAGACGAGGTAGGTATGTCTCCCAGTGCCTGAGCCGCCTCCTACGGAGAGCGTGCCGATTTCAAATCCGGCACCGAAGACCAAACCATCGGCCGGGTCGGCGGCGTCGTTGCCAAAAACGCCAATGTTCGTGGGCTTCCTAAGGGGAAGTGTCCCATTGAGGTTTTTGAGGAGGACTGTTGCTTCGGCACCGAGCTTGCGGATCAACTTGCCGTGGTCTCGCTGGACATCGCGGCTTGGTGGTGGCTGGAAGGGGAGCAAGTCTAGAAGGTTTGACTGAGCTGCAATTGTAAAGACGATGGATGGGTCGACGGTGGGATAATCGGAGCTATCCTGGTCGAAAAGATAATATTGTGTCATGATCAGCCGGATCATCTCATCAAGACGATCCTCTGTGACTGAACCATTCTTGATCATATCAGTGATGTTGGGACCCCAGTATGTCTCGCCAGAGACGATCTGGGCATGGCCAATGGGACCAGGCATGTTCATATCCAACCCGTTGTTGATGGACTCGGCTCCGGAATGCGTTGCGAACCAGTCGGACATGACATATCCCTTGAAGGCCAGCTCCGTCTTGAGGATGTCATTCAGTAAGCCCGAATTCTCGCAAGCATAGGTTTGGTTGAGTCTGTTGTAGCTGCACATAACGCTAGCAACCCCGGCACGGACAGAGTCTGCAAAAGGCCACAAGTACAACTCATGCAGGGTGCGATCGTCGATATTGGACGAAATTGCTGCGATTTCTGTGCCGTTTGCGAGCCACGAGTTTGTTCGTTGAGTTTCCTGTTCATTTCCAATGAAGTGCTTCGCGCAAGCTTGAACTCCTGCTGATTGCATTCCTTGAATAGTGAGTTGCATCGCAATTCCCGTGAGGTAGGGATCAACTGAGAATCCTTCCCAATTGCGGCCTCCCAGTGGTTGGCGTCCAAGTGGACCAGCGACCGGGCTGTGTGGCTTATTAGCATGCTGTTGACCTAACGTTCAAGGAATTCAAGACTCACCCAAGTCCGACATGGACGCCTTTATCATGAAACTCCTCGCCGAGCGCCTTGCCGCGCTGGTAAATGTGCTCCTTATCCCAGCTCGCGGCTGTGGTGAGGCCGGCGGGGAAGACGCTGACGAGATCGGCGCGGTCCAGCGCCGTGGGGCCGTCGAGCAAGCAGAGTCCGGGGAACCCGACGCGCTCGATCGGTACAATGTTGCCAATGCAACCGCCGGCCTCAAGCCCGAGCTGGCCAGTGACCATCAGCGTCTTTTCGGTGAGGTTGAGTTGGGCCACAAAGGCCGTCGCCTTGGAGGCGGCCGCATCCCAATTCCGGACTGGGGAGGCTGGTGAGATCCGAGAGGCCGGAGAAGCAGCTGCTGGCGCCGCTGGCTGTGCTGGTTGACGGGCTAGCCAGCTGCCGGCGTCGAATAGCCTGCTGGCAGAGTAGGCCGAGATTAGGATGAGGCCCGTGAGGTACAACGCGAACGCGCCTGTAGTCCATGGTTTCGTACATCTTTGCAGCGGGGGAAAGAGGGCGGCAAGTCTGGTTGGCCGTTTGGTAGTAGGGTGTTGTTGGCTAGCGTAGGCTGCTTCCTTGGATTCTTTGGTAGTGTGAAGAAATTGAGTCTCATCGGGCATGATTTCGTCGGTCAAGAAGCTGCAGGGCTGGCCATTCAAATGGAGAGAGATCTTCTCATCTTCTGCAGCTCGGGGATGCGAAGCATTGATGCACGTTGGCTCCCGGGCCCCCGAGTCCATGATGGCGGGATCGATTTTGTCCATTGTCGTTCGTCACTTCAGCGAAGGAAAAGTGCACAGCCTTGTCGATGTCGAGCGATGCTTTAACACATGGCAGGGCGAGAGCACATCCGGGCGTGGGTTGGTTGATGTGACCGGGTTCAGGTTTCAAGAATCCGGGGTAGAAGCAGAGAGGGCTCGCACAAACATTCTATGCCTTTGAGCTCGATTCTCCGAGGCCGTTGGTAAGAGTTGGGGGCATGTGTTGAACAAGGCGTGTTCGAGAGTAGAGGTCGTGATGGAAGGTTTCCGGATGGAATGGATGTTTTAGGAAACGGAGAGTAGAAAAGGGCACCCACTGGGAGAAGTAAAGCAGAGACAGACGCCTCTCCCTCGGCCGGCGGTCAGGGTCATTGCGTGACACTCAGCTTTGCCTCTTTCGGGCTCCCGTTGGGTGACACGGGTGAGGAGCTTTCCCCCTTGATAGGCGCGGGGGACTTGTGCCTGGTTCCTGGTGCGACTCTAGCCCTGCAAGGTCTGGGGAAGGGCCACATGGCGCGCCCTCCGGAGCTGGGAACCATCGCGGAGTTTCGGATCCGGATCCGAAGGGAGAACCTGGCACCATGGGTCTTTTACGACGTCATGGTGGTCTGGCGGTCTGATTTTACGCGTATGTATTGCCGTGCTCTTTGCTCGTTGACGTTCTGCAGGATCCAGATTACAAGTATTACCAAGTTGTGTTTTTCTACTCTGCTTAACAAAGGCTTTGTGCCGGCGTAGGCCGAAGAAGAAAAACAGCGGGTCAAGGATTACGACGATCGCCTTCTCGGATGCTATTCGCCCGATGACAGGTGGTTAGGAAACCAACCCTCAACACTCACAGTAAACCGTTCTTGATGGATGTCAAAAAAGACAACTGCCTCGTTTCTCAAGCTCAGCAGGTCACTTCTTTTTCCACTGCTTACTCTATCTGCAGGTCGCAATTCGATTGCGAACGTTATTTGACGCGAGATGTCCCCGCACTGTCATTGCAATTCGCGCCAAACACCGAGGCCCCCGTCGATAAGAGAACTCTTGGAAATGACTCACCCACGACTCCACCACTGAGCTCCATAACATGAAAACTCTGAAAAATCTTTATCAACAACCAAATGGTCGGTTAGCTCAGTTGGTTAGAGCGTGGTACTAATATTTCACCAGAAATGTTGAGTAATGCCAAGGCCGGGAGTTCAAGCCTCCCACTGATCATTCCGTTTTGCTCCTTCATGTAAAGACACTACGCAGCCTATATTTTTGATTTAAAGATAATAAAATGGTCCGGCGGATGAATTTGGTTGTCACTACTATGCTTTCATTAGATCGCCACACGAGGTTGAAAGACCTACTTGACCAGCGAATTGCTCAATCTTCCATTGGGCGATCTGATCTAAGTAGGAGGCACAGTCAAGCGCATTCAGAGTGATACGATCTTTGGTGAAATGGACTCAGTCCATGCGAGATGCAAGATCGTCATCTGATGGCTACCGGCCGTTTGCAGATCTGTTTCCACGTTGCGAATCGAAGGCCGTTGGATCTTCTAGATCACGAAGGAACATCTTGAACCTACGTAAAGTGAGCTACGAACGCAGGTGAAGTCTGATCAAAGCCATTTCTACGGTGTGTCTTTTCAATTTCAACCGTCCAAGGTGGTCAGTTAGACATGCCCTGAGCCATTCCCGTATTCTTATCGTGAAAACAATGGTTTTTTTGTATCACAGTCTTCTGCAGTTAGCATCTTAGAAACAGCTGGTCTCAAACACCCTCGCAAGCTCAGAAGCAATGAGTTGAGATGAACTTGACAACCAGCGAAGCCTCGAGACGTAGGTCACCTCGCGCTCAGGACGTCCAGACATTGCGCCCCGGGAAAACAGGTCGACTCAGTGTGAGACCAAGGCTCAACGGTCGTGCATGCCGAACGGCCTAGTGTCATTGGGCCGCACTGATGGTAGATGGACGAGATCACTTGGTCGATGCAGCTGTGACGTTTATCCTATGCCGCCAAGAGACGAACGTGTTTCTTTACTTGGTCGGCGTGGGCAGACAAGACAGAATGGTCGTCGGCAGGACGCCGTTTGTTTCTTTTCAGCTCGGGGATGTCTGTCTGCGCGAGTGTTGTTTCACTACACTGACAAACCGACGTCTTTCGTTCACGACGGGTAAGCCGTTGCCGCTGAGTGGTTCGAGCCCGAGCACTATCCAAGCGTTCACGGCCTGCTGCGGAAAGCCAACGATCAGGACCCCAAAAGAGGTATGGCAGGTTGCTGGTGTCTTCGGGGACCACACGGGCGGCAACTGTGGAAAAAGCTGATGCGACGATGACCTGATCATCCCATGATCACGGTCTTGGCCTGAATTCCTACCACTACGCCTGAGCATGTTTGTTCATGCTGACGGGTTTCGTAAATAAAGGCCGGCAACCCTCTTCGCGACCCGTTCGTCTCGCAAAGATCATCATGGGGTCTGCTCTGGTTGTTGCACAAACTTGCACGAACAGCACGACGGCCTTTGCTTAGAGAAAAGAGGCGATATGTCTAGGATTGTGACATTCAGTCGCGCAAGTCTGTTTGCCCTCGTGCGAAATTTCGGTCACCGAAGGATTTGCTAAAATTAAGGTACTATTGTGCTATTTCGTGGCCGCATCGTAAGTGAATGCGGATGTCGCTGAGGTCGCTCATTCATTGGATTATCGCTCATATTTTGTAATATGACTAGCATAATGACGGAAGCTGGCTTACTCATGAAATGATAGAGATTATACGCAGCCAGTCTCCAGATGAGAACTCATTCGTTGGTCAATTGAATAGTTGCATTCCCACCACCCTACCCTCTCAGCCCTTATCCTTATCCCTCGATTCTCGAGTCTTCTTTAGAAGAACCTTTTCTCCGACTCATTATGTCACGGAGTTCAGCAGATTTTCGCAGTGCTCCCGCAAAATGGAGAATCAAAACATAGCACTACAATCACGTACAACACGCTTATTGTGCTTCTCTAAATCATTATGCCGCTTACCTTGGGAACTGTTGGCTGAACATTCCTTGCTGATTTGCTACTGGCATACAATCGTGGGGTTGTGCATGGAGTGTATGAAGTGGCTCTAGCAGATTTGCACGACGGTCATGAGAATTTAACAGTTATTACCAAGCCCAGGCTCAGTAAATGTTATGGGAAGGGAAACTGCCTTGCCTCATTTCTGCCAAAAGAATCAGAGAAATTAGTACTCGAAAGACGTTACCTCATTAGATTTTTATTTTACCATGAGGTTGGTATGCTCAACCTCATTGCGCAATTTGCCATCGTAGCCACTTTCATTTTTGTGCATATGCCACTTCTAACTAAAAGTATTTCGTGACTCTTTAATTTCCGGGCTGCTGGGACCTTAGTTGTGTTTCTTGCAATCAGTTTGGTCATTGAAGACTTACAATATGTGGTGTATGAAGTTAATGAAATTATAATCACAGCATGGGTGGATGTTCCGTCCGCGGTAAATTGAAGGCTGAGTACATCATCTGCGCACCGCTTGAAAGAGGCACGATGTTTTGTTATGTCACCGGGATGTGACATCCTGTTACCATGGCAATATTAAGATACATGTACTCAAGTGTGACTGTGCTGTCTCAGTATTCTACCCAATCCGTCATGGTCGCGATCGGCCCAAGATGGTTCACCCATGCAAGAATGCGGCTCGAAACGACCTATCAGAAGCTGCAACATAGCTCCTTAGAGCTAGTATCGACCACATCCGTCAGCAGCGAGCAGCATGAAGAGGAATGCAACGATACCAATTATCACATGCAGAAGTGGCACATGAAAATCGAGACGGATTATGGCCTGAGCACCTCGATGGTCTGAGGTATTTGAACGGGCTCAGTGACGTCACGATGAACAGCGCATGTTCGGAATTGTCTTAGCTCGCGTAGCTCAAGATAGCATGATATATGCCGCCGCAAACCAGGTGTTTTCTAATCTGATTGTTCTGACTGGTTCATGCTACTCTCATAAACCTGACTCAGAGGCACTGTGACCATGGCCACTCTCGAAGATCACAACTACACGAAGATGGAGAAGCCGCAAAGGCCGCAGAAGCCGGCTAAAAAACAGACTGACAAGCTCGGAGAACCGGTGATTTGGTCCATTCCGGAGGTCCCGGTAACGCAGCAGCGAAAACCTTTCTTCCAACCGGAGCAGGATCAGAAGCTGTCGCACACAGGTATGATTGGGACATCACGACATATTGTGAGGGCAAGACACTGATGACTGGCAGGTACTCCTAGGGCCAATATTGCTGCGACATACGAGAAGCCGAACGGCACAACGGAACATGGCTGGGCGCAAAGGCATCGTCATCAGACAGTGCTGCAACAGCATTGCGAGTTCTTCGATAGTGTAATGATTCCCCTCCCTCGCGGTTGAACAGAAAAAGCTGAACGAGAATATTAGGACAAAGATGGAGTGATCTACCCCCATGATACATTCTGGGGATTCTACGCATTGGGATTCGGAGTCATCCTCTCAGTTCTTTCGGTCTTCATCATCCATGGCAACTTCTCTTACCCGACAGTGAGCGGGTATCTGCCGGATCCTCTCTTCCGCATCTTCCTCGACAGAGTTCACAAGGACAAGCACGGTAGTGACACTAACACGTACGATACCGAGGGTCGATTCAACCCGCAGAAGTTTGAGGATATTTTTTCCAAGTACGCCGAGGGAAGAGACTACATGACAATCTGGGACGTTTTCGCGATGCTGAAGGGCCAAAGGCTCGTTGCTGATCCAATTGGTTGGGGCGGTGCATTCTTTGAGTGTGAGTCCGCTCCTGGCACTTGGCATGGACGCTTGCATGTGATACTCGATACTGACCAACAAGCAGGGTTTGCAACGTACCTTATGCTTTGGCCAGCAGACGGTAGGATGACAAAGGAAGATATCCGTGGAATCTACGACGGCAGCCTTTTCTACACCATTGCTGCTCGTAGAGCTCAGAAGTAAAGCGGCTTATGTGGGTGTTAGAATTATCCCGCAGCGAATGAAAGCACTTTTCATAGCCATGACAACTTGGCTAGAGGACAAGCATGGTGAAGGGCGGAAAATGGTCATGGCACAATTTTTTAAAGGCCTGACAATTAGGTTGGCCGGGGCGAAGACCGAGTTTTAGGTAGAAAGATTAGCCGTCGGTCGATCATAAGATCAGACTTGGAATGTCCGTCTCATGACTTGTGTGGGACAACCAGGAGATCCATTATGCGCTGCTATCAACCGATCGTCCGTTCCTCTTACTGCATGTATTCTATGAGAAGCCGGTACACCTGAGGACTTGGATGTGAATTGAAGAAATTGCGGCTATTGTGAACCATTTCCTCTGCATTCGGTGTCAAATCAAGACGATGCACACTTGGATTCCTTCACATCAAAATGATGGCCAAGTTTAGAAAATCCATCGCGTCATTGGACCCCCATCACGAGTCGCATATCTTCATGTTTCCCGTCCGTGACACGCTACGTAAGAGGGTGGCCTTTCTGGTAGGTCATAAAATCATCAATTATAATCTGAGTCGGTATCTAAAATCTGTTTTACGTCTGGTATAAAGCCCAACCTTGAACCCGTTAACCCCTGTTCCCAATTCATAAAAGTGTCGTTAATAGATTGATTGCGAAGGAATTTCTGCCACCTGTGTCGGATCCTTCACGTAAGGATCGACCGGGTAGAACTCCATAATGATGTACCACTGGATCAGACTGGCAATCAAGAACCCGAGTCCGCTCATAAGAAACAGTGACGCAATTGCCACAGTCGCAGTCTTTGCGAGCAAAGTCACAACGCCGATAGCCAAAAATCCACTTGCGCCAACCAAATTCCAAAATCCGTTTTGCCAACTAGCGTCAAGCAGCTTCGGGACGTACCACTTGTCCTGGGACAAGAAGATCATGAGTAGGCCGGCAAGCACGAAAAGGCTGCCGCCAATAAGTTGAGGTGCAGATACGAAGATGATGGAGGCGTCGGGGTGTGTGAGGTCGAGGACGCCAGGTAGGATAGCGATCGCGGCGATGGTGAAGAAGGAGCCGGCGAGTAGTTGGAGGATACCGGCGCGGAAAGCTGAGCTTGGCCAGAAGATGTTGCGAAATTCGTACCAGCTGGGCCACCAGACCCATTCTTCGCTGCCCAGAAGCGCTGGCTTGTAAGCATCGGGGGCATCTTTCTTCGGGTCCAGAGTGCCTCTATCGACGTTGAATGCAGCAAGCAGACCCATGAAGGCGCTGAGAGCGAGCAAAGCGCTGCCTAGGGTAACGGTGACCTGTACTCCTGTGTCGCGTCCAGGAAAGTCAAGCTTAGGGTCGAGAAGATGAATGAGGCTGAAAATCCCGTTCAGGGAGAGGCAGATCCCGGCTCCGATGAAGACCATGGTGACAAGCCATCCCATATCGCGATAGGGGTAAATGGTGAGCATTGCACCCAGTCTTGAGAAACCTTTCCGCGTTCCACTCGATGTCGTTGAGAAGACATCGGGATCCCGTTCTGGCTTCGCCTCTCTCTCAGCATCACAGGCTGCCTTGTACGCTGCGTAATCAACATGGTTGAATGTGCGTTTCCAAACAGCAGATGCGAACCTCTCGTCGGCTGATCTTTCTGAAGGGGGATATCCGATGGAGCTGAGCGAAGGGTATGGCGACGCCCAAGACTCGCGCACCTCAATGACCGTGGTAGGCGGTCTGAGGTACGAGACCCGACGAGGGTTGAAGGTGTTCATGTTGAATTATTGAGTGTGGTGATCGTGATCAGGGTCCCTTATCCCATGGTTGCTTGGCACGACCTTGAAATAGCTGGAGGGTCACGCTCGGGACGAACAACAGAGCAAAAGTACGGGAGCACGATGAGTCTTATTTACGCCTCGTTTTCCTTCTCCTGGAGCGTCATGATCCCTCACCATCTTCTAGCTTCGGCCGTGCCTTGCAGAGCCCAACCCCTCTGGCGGTCTGAGCATTGATGGTTAGCCCACGTCGTTTCAGTGCGTGCGTATTGGAGGGAAGAGACGACATACGGGGAGACATCCAAAGCTTCTGTCCTTCGTACGCCTCGAATACAAGGGGGTGCCAAGCTGCAAAGTGCTGGCGAGAGTGCTGAGCTGGAAGGCTTCAAGACACTGATCTCGATGTCGCTCTCGGCATGCACGGGGCACAACAATTCAGACGACGTACGTCCCCGCGTCCATTCAAGACGGGCTGTACTTGCCTTTCACCATCGAGTAGGCCGAATTTACAGCGGCTTTCCTGAGACACGCATTGCCTTGAGTCCGGTTGATAAGCTGTCGTCCAGAAGTTTAGGACAGTCATTGATGGGGGATGGCCGTCGGCGGGGATTGGCCGCGAGCGGCGAACTCTGTCCGGGGGTGAAACAAACCTTGAACCCCCCCTTCCCTTTCTCGACTTGCCTCTGGAACACACAAACACTCTCTCTTCCAACTTTCACTCATTTCTCTCTGTACCTGGTCCGTGAAGTCACGCCAGGACAGACGCAGCAGGGCCGGAGGGCACCATCTGCAAGGAGGTCCCCGAGGACTACGACCACACTGGCCTAGGTTACAACTTCCAGCTTCTCGGTTCAGCGGTAATATCAGCTGTATCTGGTTGCAGTTTAGCTGTTTACTGACCATTACACCGCTGGCGTATAACCGCGGACCCGTTACCGGCACTACGCCGTTTAACCTTTCGGCCGTCGCCTCGCTCCCGAGACCCTCTCATGAAGAGTCATTAAGGTGCATGTAATACGACGGTATTTTATTACATCATCGGATACGCTGGACTCGAATCCACTTCGATTAATGATTGATCTCCATTATGGGAGCTTCATGGGAGTTACAAACTGGCGCAATTTTGACTCTCATCGCCGAGACAAACGTTGGGCAGCCCTGAAGCTGCGCGTCATCTCAAATTCCCGCCCTCCTTATCCGAACCGCAACTTTGGCTTTACTGCGATGCCTTCCTCGCTCTTGTACCTAGAGCAGAAAATAAGTCCCTCTCTGCAATATCAGCAAACTCACCATCATTCCCACCTGAGAAGGCCCAGCCGCCCTTACCAAGGGCAACCTAGTTTGTTTCCAGCTGTGAACATGTCACTCTCCGGCAAGTCAAAGCTTTGCGGCTACAAGTGGGATTTTGTTTTGGTGTTCGGACATTTTCTACTAGCTTCTCCTCCACACGGATCCCTGCTGCGCCTAGTCCAGGTCGGCCAACACCAACCGGCGCGCGCGCGGGCTACGCACGGCACGAACTCGGGTTTGTGCTTTGAACCACACCTTCCCTCCCCGATTCAATGCAATAAACGGGCGTTGGGCCAACTTTCAGCCTGGGAGTGAGGGAGGGGAGCAGCAGTTGTGTCTGATCTTTTCCATTCATGCCTTCGCAATCGCTGTCGGCTGGATCCGCGAGCCTCCAAGATGGCAGGTAGGCAGCCCAATTGAAGGTCAGGGAAATGGCTAGCCGGTGCCGAAAGACTAAGCCAGTCTAAACACAGGGGCAACTCTCTTATCTCGGCTCCGGGTGATCAACAAAGGCAAAATGATACCAGAGGCCATGAAGTCGTACCCAGAGGGTAGCGAGATGTTCGGAGACCAAGAGGCAAGTTAGACAAGGTAGATTAGTCATGGAGCACAGTGGCACGAACAACTTATAGTGGCTGTGTGCAGGCGTTTGCAAATCTGCTGCGAACTTGCGCTTGGAGGATTATTTATGGAAAGCCAAGAACCAAGCGCCAAGCGCTGCCAAGTAGCGACAAGCCCCCATTCGCAATGCTTGGTGTGGTGAGGCTCATCCGTGGTAGTGTTCGTGAGATATCTGCAGCTCATAGCACGCGCCAAGAGCATAGCCAAGGCGGGTAGACAGCCTTGGCGGTGATGAAAAGCCACAACAGGTCAATAGATGGTGTCGGTGATGGGCTGGTGGTCCTCGTAGACCGAGTTGAACATACATTTGTTGAGACCAAAGGCACCTCAAGAAGGGTGTCGTATCCACCTCTCGGGCTCCTGACCTGGCAGCCCTACTGATAGTGCTCAGAAACTGATTCATCTCCACAGGGATCATCGTAGGGCAGGCGGAAGTTTATGGGATGGCGATGTGCCACTCATTTTGCGATGAGTACGCCAGTGCACGCAAGCGGATAAACGGAATGTAACATTGAGCCCCTGGCTTAGAGTGTTCGAAAGAAGAACAAATACTTTTCCTTCAGGGTCGCGGTCTAAAGATTAGAATCAAGCTCAAAAGAAGATTTAACTAAATCTTTTGAATTTTAAGATTATTCATTAAGGCTATCACGATTTAGATTCTCGGCGGTGGTCTCCCGAAAAACAAGCTGGCTAGCCAGTTTCCAGAGCCCCAATCAGGTCCCAAGTTGGGCTTCTCGAGAGTTCAAGCTTCTGATGAATCGGAAAGTGGAGAGATTTCAACGGCATTGACCGTTGGTCTGGTAAGCTTTTGCTGAAAAAGTCAAGTTTGTCTGTGCATGAGCAGACATCCCAATTCGGACGACCTGACAAGCGACAGACAAGCCCAGCCTGGTTTTGAGAGTTCAGCTTGACTCGAGTATGGCTCGCTTAGTTCCTTTTTGTTGGATACGACAACATTCATCCACTACTTCACGGGGTAAACTTGGCCTCAGAGGATATATACACCTCAACTATACGTTGCAGCTGGCGTGTCTGGGGTTCCGGCAAGTACAGTTGGAAAGAAATCTTCTTGTGATTGTTTCAATAGACGTCATCAGTGGCCTTTATTTATGCTATCAAGGCTAGTTTACTACTTCTTGAAGATGTTAGGCTAGCTGGGGCGGGATATCTCCGGCTTGTTTGTGATTCGAGACTCTTTCTTCTTCCACTTGTTGCAACAATGGGTCGAACAGTGATGGCGGGTGGTGACACAGACATCGGACCCTGTTGCAATCAAGTACGAGGTCTCGACTCAAACTTAATGGAGATGTCCAAAGTAAGGTAACCGCCCAGCGGCTAAACGGAACATTATGTTCACGTTTACGGCCCGTCTGTCTCCGTAGGCAGCAAAGAAAGTTGCCGTTTGTTCGTCTGAGCTTCGCTTCGCCGTCTTCGTCCAAAGGGGTAATTGTGGGGCCTTGGTGAGGCTTCAACTCCACCATTGACTTCACCTTTGCGCAGGTTGAGTACGATCACAAGATACACGAAGAAGAAAGGTGAAATGAGTGAGAAAGTAGGACTCAACACTCAGTGGGACGCGCATCATATAGATATTCCATGATGCCGGTGCCGCACCTGCCAGACGTGTAAAATCTATCTCTGGGTTGCTAGTTGGGAGGTGAAGCCGGCCCTGGGAGTCAAAACAACCACACCCGGTTTCTCCAAGAAGCAATCCCTCCTTTTCTCAACTCGATTCTACCCGTTCCTTCCATCCTCACAATCCTTCCCACCAAAATCATACTGAGTCTTTCCCGCGAAATAGCAAAAAGCTTCTGTCAGCTCATCATTATCAACTGCACAACACGCGACACTGGTTGGCTCTGCACGAATCCTGTACACTAAGAAGTATCATACGCGACGCGAAGCATTCACCGGCAGGTCTGAGGTCCTTTGCGACTGCATATGAGAGATGGACCGCCAGGTCCCCAACAACAAGCGACAGCGGGAGGCCGCAATGGGAGACTGGCCCAAGATGCCGGGGCAGTTCCCAGGAGCTAGATCTTTCCCTCCTCTGGTATTTAATGAGACCTATTGTTCGAGCGGCGTGATACTTACGACTTGTTGTTCTAGGTACAGACGAGCAATGTCCAGTGGCCTGATGTCCGATTGGCAGAGAACACATCGATGGCCCCAGCATCTCCTACCGCCAACCCCGAAGTCGAAGAGTTTCGCAAATGGCGCAGTGGAATTGACAAGTCCCTGGCCGATATCCATCTTAAGCTCGACTACCTGCTTTCCGAGACCCAGGAATTCCGCGCGATGGAGGCGCACTACAAGAACCTCCAGGAGAGCACACCCATGGGCACTAATCTGTCCAATTCTTGCCACCGACTTGATCTCCATCAGCAAACAATTGTTGAGACTGTGCAGAAGTTGGATACCACAATGAAGCAGGTTGACGACCTCACGCGTGAAGTCACTCACTTGAGGGACGGCTCTGAGGTCACTGTGTCGTTTAGATCGTCGGGTCGCAAGTGAGTCCTTGGAAGAATATCTCTAGCAGATTGATGCTAACAGTTTGGCAGGCAGTAGATGGTGACATTCATGGCAGATTTTCGCACAACATTCGGAGCAGATTGCATTTCACAGTTCTGCGTTCTGCCAACGTTAATTGGTGGGTATAGCGAGATGCATTGCTTTGTTTACGGTCACGACAACATCTTTTACACAAGGGAGTTGGCGTTTCTTGGATCACTTCAGGGAAGAATACGGGAGTGATGAACGAAGAAAGGAAGGAGAAATCATTGTGGTACTGGGATGGCATTTCTTTGACGAACAGACACGTAGATGAGCGCTTGCTGTTTCTACAAAGCTCATGATGCGATTCTTTGGATCGCTCTCATGGCAATTAAGACATAGACCTCGTAATAGAGTGGCTTGCTACGGACTGCTGGGAGTCTAGCAATATTTCAGTGCTGAAATGGGGCCAAGAGGTCAGTTCTGTTGTCTGCGACGTTGCTCAAGGTTGATGTGAATCCGTGCTGCTTGATGTCCTCCAATGCATGAGAAGATTCGCAGTCTTCTTTCGCCTGTACCTGCCGTTGTTTCCCTGAAGCAGTTTCCAAAACTGCTCTGATATCAGGTCTCTTCCCGTCGAGTGGTGACCTCCAAGCTATGTGGTCATCAGGACGGATGAGAACCGCGTCTCTACCCCACACCTTCCTAGCATGCATCTCTCCAGGCAAATGAATCTTCGTCAGCGGAATATTGAGCACTCCAGCTGCTGCATCGAATTCTTGACTCCAGGTCCCAGCTTGTGTGAAGTCAATGATTGAAAATCCTACTCCAAACAGGTCGAAAATACTGGTTTTGCCATCCCGAAGATAGATATGAGGAGCACGCCCACCAGGCCATGAGGATGGCACAAATTTTCGCGGATCCCATGAAGGCTCCTGTTCTCCTTCTCCAGCTTCGTTCTGGAGGATGATAGGCGATGCGTTGTACCGATATCCCATCTCGATTCCGTGGTCCTTGTTCTCACCTTGGTGGGTCTCGGTATGTGCCTTTATGCGGTTAAACAGAAGTCTACGCTCCTCACTATTGAAAAGGACATCTGGGCCTACGTCGACCACCCACTTGACGTACGTCTGGTGAACTTGAAAATGTTGACCAGATCGTTCGATGTTGCAAATTGCAACCGGTTTTCGTTCGACTTCGTAGGAGCGGAGCAGTTCTTGCCCTCCCCAGCCATTGAGAACAGCCGATAGTTTCCATCCTAAATCAAAGACGTCGCCAACAGCTGTGTTCATGCCGTATCCACCAGTGGGAATGTTTTGATGAGCTGCATCGCCGGCTAGGAACACTCTGAAACTTTCCGAAGCAAAACGTTCGGCAATGGCGATGTTTGGGCGCCACGAGCTGCAAACGAGGATTTCGTCCACCTTGATAGGATAAGGAGCCAAAGACCCGCCCAGCCCTCGGTATATGGACTCTGTTGGATCAAGGGATTTCCAATCAGTGTCGAGAGATATGGGAAGATGGATCGTCCATGTATCAATTTCGTCTTGAGATATTATGACGCTGCCGCTGGTGAAGAAGATGTGCCAGAATTGACCTTGCTTGTGTAATGCGGTGAGATCTCGCGACTTGAAGTGAATGAGATACATCGCAGAAGGTCTGTACAATATCACATTAGAGACTCACAGTTGCTAGTCGTGGACAGAAAACCATGCTCACTCACACAGGACCACCAATCATCTTGATGTCAAGTTGTCGACGGACGCTACTGCCAGCGCCATCACAGCCGACCAGATACTGACTGGTGACCATGTGCCGCTCTCCAGTGACGACGTTGACGAGTTCCGATTTCACCCCGTCGGAGGTTTCCGTACAACTTTCGAATTTGAGGCCGAAGTGATCTTCAACTAGCTCTTCGGACTCTATGCGACGCTTTAGCCAGGCTTCAAAAATAGCCTGACTACAGCGCTGGTATGGCTCCCTTGGCATGGAGCCATCATTGCAAGCATGGATACGCTGGCGCCATTCGTCTGGCGAAGGAAGATCCTGCTTTCTCGTGAGAAACATAAAGCCATTGACCTAGCAGGGGTATATAAGCATACCCATTTGCTAATGAGCTCTCCATGCTCTGAGAGGCCCGTACTGAAGAGGACGTTGAAAGAGTAATGCTGTGGGACGCCTTGAGTCCGCAAGTCATCGGAAATCCCGAGTCTTCTTAGCAGCTCCATGCTTCTACAATTAGTGATATCCATTTTTGGCCATTTGGTTGAATCTAGGTTTCGTTCAGCTATCAAGTTTTGAACACCATTCTTCGCCAATTGCAGTGCCAGAAGCAACCCAGCGGGACCAGCGCCAACGACCAAGACTGGTACGTGGTGCTCAATCACCTGCTGATCCATCAGTCACAAAAACGTCGAACCAGGCAGTTGAGAAACAAGATTCGACGTACAAGTGTCGAGCCCATGGCTAATGCGATCAAATAATTCGATTCCGACTAGCAAATCCAGAGTTGAAAGTCACATATCTCCGAATGAAGATAATGTTTCCCTCAGATGACTTTGGGCTTTTTGTACATTAGCACCTCGATCGGGCCAGAATATTGTCGAGCGCTCTCACTGTGCCGGTGTCCACCGCGGTGATCTTCATCCGGCCGAACTCTTGTCCAAGGTCCTTCACTTGGCCGCACGTGCCTAGCCAATGTGCCCCGGACGGACGGCAATTCGGAACGCCGTGGTTGACCGTCCCCACACAGATACTGAGTTCTTAGTACGGAGCACCTAGAGTGGCCATCTAAGAAACTTTAAAGCTCAGAGGTGTTCAGCAATTATGTCGACATATTCCCGTATAACGGCAGTTCCAGTCAGCAGCTGCATGCTATCAATATCATTCCATATTGAGGTGTCGTGCAGGGTTGCAGATGCTGAGAGAATTAAAGGAGAAGACCGGAGCATCACAGATGGCTGAAATCGAATAACTTGTTTGAATGTGTAATAGGTCCAAGGTACTCCGTGGATAATACATGCAAAAGAGGGTCGATTTTGATTACTCCATGAGGAATGCGTTGCCGATCTAGCTCCCGTTGAAGCGGCCTGAGCCCAAGTAGCCCCTGCATCACATCCCGTAAACCCCGGACGGCCCCTCACTTGGAATCTGGGGTAGCCAGCGGGGCACATCCCCAAGCTGCTTGAACTTGCTTCATTCATACATCGTCATATTCATCGTCGTCATCTAACGTCGATTACACCCACTACATTCCGCCCAAACCCTTACGTTTCCCAGGGTTATTCTCGTCCTGACTGCATACGACTTGCAACCCTAGAGTCACGAACGTCTCCTCCAGCATCGTTGCACAGGCTTGATCCAAATGGAGATCGAAGCAAGTATCGCCGGCTTGGGATCGACAAAAGATGGCCGAGTCTCAAAAGAGAGCCATATCATTGCAGCTATTCCCCCAGAGAGGGGATTTCGCGCTTGTATCGAGTGCCGACGGTAAGTGGCCGCCTACAGAGTATCAAATGAAGTCAAAGTCACATCACTGTTTCTCCTACTCTTCCAGGCTTGATCGTACTGACCCATTCCAACGCAGCAAGAAGACAAGGTGTATGGAAGGGCTTCTGAAATTCCCTGCGTTTCTATCCACGTCACTGACCTTGGAACTGTAGGCGACATGCGGCAACCCATCTGCGGTCTTTGTCGGAGAACAGGGGGGTCTTGTACCTTCCCGACAAAAAGGAAAGCCCCCGAATTTCGAAAACGGCCAGCAAAGCAGAAGGAATTAAACGTGATAGACCCTCAAAGGCTTGGTTAGACCCAATTCCATCCCGAATGCGTCAATTGTGGTCTATACTAAGCCTCTGCCAGAACATCTTGTCAGCCTTCTTGAATCCAGACTCGACGAAACTCCAAAAAGCCAAAGCTCAACAGGCGAAACTCCAGGAAGAGAGCAAGGCAACACTCAATCAATTGCTACGAGCCCTAGTTACTCCGGATCAGTTGGGACTTGTCGAGAAGATGCGGAGCAGGACGCCATATTGGCCTCAAGCTGTACTTCCGCCAACTCAACAAGCCATTGTCTCGAGCCCAGAGCTGATCGAAAAGTCGAAGTCGAAGCTGAAAGTACTGTAGAAAGCACAAAAAGCTACTTATATCGGACCGAGATACCTGTTGAAGTGGCAACAGAGCTCGTCAATTTGTACTTCGACAAAATCCAAGCATGGCTGCCATTGCTTCATCGACCAAACTTCTTCGCCAAGTACATATTTGATGGTAGTTTCCAAGAAGACAGGTTACTTGAGGTATCGCTGGAAGAGGGTCTTCTGTTACATGGTATCTTTGCTCTCGCCGCACGACACTCAAATAATGAGTACTTCAAGGGATTATCACCACCGAATCGTGGGGATAATTTCGCTGAATGGGCGATTCGATATTACGGAAAACTGCGATCGTCCGATAGCGAAACAACGTTGGAATATTTACAGGGGTGTATACTGTTGGCCTTTTATCTCTACACGGCCAGGCCAAGTCATCAAGCATGGATACTCACCGGGGTATGTGTTCGCTTAGCCTACGACCTAGAACTCTGCTGTATGGACGAAGAAGACGGCGGCGATGAGACAGCGTCCACAAAGTGGTCGGCAGAAGAGGAGCGTAGGAGAGCATTCTGGCTTGTATGGGAGATCGATACGTTTGCTTCAATCCTCTCAATGAGGCCGCGAGGACTCAACAGCCAAAGGATCATTGTGCGTCTCCCGGTCAGCGATGAGGCATGGTTTTCCGAAAGCCCCTGCGAGTCACCGGTTATTCCTCCTAATCCAACACAGATTTGGAGAGTCTTGCTCAACTCCCCGAACAAAGACGAGCGAGCATGGTTCCTCGTGGCCAACTATCTGATGGCTTTGGCGTACGAGGCAGCTTCAGACCAGCAGAGGTCTCAGCGAGAATATACCGATCTCGCTAGCTCAATTACTTACTTCTCTCTTGCAGTTTCTCAGAGATACGGACTGGAAACTAACCCACCTGTATTCACTGCCAGGACTTTTGCGAACGCCAATTGGATTATTGGCATGCATCTAATGTTGGGAAATACTCAAGCGTGTTTACACGTTCTGACAGCAACACCGGCGTCGGGTGCTGCGAAGTTCGGAGATGACTATTCGAGAATCCTCAACCGTTGGCACCCCGAGTTCATCGCCTTCAGTCACCCATTCTTCGCCGGAACACTTCTTTCTGACCGCACCTACCCATCAACGTCTTCGTCGCGGTCGTTAAGTTCACCGTGTAACCAAGAGCTTTCAGCCTTAATTCTTTCCCACTTTGCTACTTTCTGGAAGCTAGGTTCTGTGCTGCTGGGTGAGTACATCTGTTCCTATACCAAGACCATTCATTCAGTCTAATGATGCCGATTATCGCAGACCTGATGACTTCCAAGTCAATAGACTATGAGAGAAACCTCGAGAAACAATGCTCGTTGAGGAAATACTGCAAGATTTACTTTTCTCACTTGAATCTACACAATGAGTCACTCAGAGCCACAAACCAAACTCGATCGGGTATGCGACAGTCTGGTATTGGATTTGTCTATGACGGAGCGTCTGAGCCACACGACAGTTACCAATCTCCGGGGGAACTTCTTGACATCGAATTGGGTTTGGATGAAAATGTGGGCGAGGCACCACAGCTTCTCGCAAATACTTCTGAGGAGTTATATAGCTGGTGCTCCCCTGGGCAGATGGAATATCTATGCGGTGAAAGTTCTGGGTTCAACTGCTTCGAGTCGAACCTCTGAGCTTGGCGTATGCACTATAGCTACCCTAAAACTGCCTACTCTTCCCATTTGGTCAGATTTCCTGGGTGGCTCGCAGTTTACTGAATGCCCTGATCGACCTTTGTCCGCCAATCTTAGGTAGTGATAGAAATGACGCCAAAAAGTGACCCTGCGATGTTCCAGACATCTCTTTCGTGTCCCATTCTTTTTGCGCGTCAAAAGACGATCCGATTCGCGAGTCTCCCCAGTCCAGAGATCCCTACTTCTACCAAGTCACCGTCCTTGAGGAAGGCGCCTCGAAAGTAACCGACCCCAGAGGGAGTGCCTGTCATGATCACTGTTCCCCTCCGCAAAGTCGTGCCTCGAGAGAGGTGGACAATGATCTGGGCTACCGACCAAATCATGTCACTTGTATTCGTCTCTTGCACCACGTCCCCATTGACAATTGTCGTGAGATGAAGCTTTTGGGGATCTGGCACCGACTCGGTTGACCAGATTGCGGGGCCCACAGGTGCAAAACCGTCAAATGATTTCGCATAACAAAATTGTCCACCAGAAGCATCTGGCATTTGAAAGTTCCTTGCAGACACGTCGTTCCCAGCTGTGTATCCCAATACGTAATTTAGAGCCTGGTCTTCCTTGACGTCTTTGGCATCGCGGCCGATGATGACCACGAGCTCTCCTTCGTAGTCCAGTTGGATCTGAGCGTCTGAATGCACTTTGATATCGTCCAAAGGCCCCGCCAAAGCATCGCTAGGCTTCGTAAAAATAACGGGAAAGGTTGGCACCTTCAACTAGACGTTGCGCCGATATATAAGCAAGTCTTTCTCAGGTCGGGAACACCACATCGTGTGAGAGCCAAGAGTAAGACTTGGGCATTTTGCATACCTTTGCTTCCTCTGCATGTTGCTTGTAATTGAGCCCTACACAGATAATGATGGGACAGGCCTCAATGGGGCATAAAAGCTGCGTCTTCATTGTGAGCAAATGCCGAATCGGGCAAGGTGCACGAAGTACCTTCGTAGTTTTGACCTTTCGACCAGTTGATTTTAGACCTAGCCATGGGCTACCATCCAGCTCCAAGACATCGAAGCCCTTGTCATCACTAGAGTCGATCATATCACCATAGTGAGTTTTCCCATCTTCCTCAAAACGAACAAGTCGATTGAAAGACATGGTCAACAGTGAGTCGCCAAGAGCAATCCGGTGAGCATATGGAAGAAGAATACCTAGCCTGTAGCAATGAATCGAAAGAGCAACCAAGTAAAGAATCGGGTGAGGATCTCTCATTCCGGAATCCGTAGATAGCGAAAGGAAGAGCCGTCAAATAGAGTTAGTTGCTTGGCAGCAGGAGCCCGCGTCTTCCGGCAGATGCAGGTCAAATAGCCAGGCGGCATTCGCGGTAAAGCCGTTCGAGGCCGCGGCGCATCATCGGTCAATAAGTGCGCGAAATCCCGTTGGGAAATCTAGTGCATTGCGCTACATATACCAGCAGCCGTTTTGTGTACCCAAGAGCCTGCACGTAATCTGATTCACTGTCCGTTAACCATCCAGCTCATCATTAGTTGCGTGTCGCATCCATGGCTTCATCAGCACAGAAGATTAGGGTCATTCGTCTGGCCTCAGTGCTGTATCAGCACGTCGACGTCGAAAAAGCAGCCCAATTCCTTAAAGACTTTGGCCTTCAAGAGGTGGCTCGGCAGGACGGACGTGTCTACTTTGCCGGTTTCGGTGTTGACCCGTACGTCTATGCAGTTGAAAGATCTCCCGGCTCACGCCGCGCATTTATTGGCGCAACCTGGGTCGTGGAGAACGAGAGTGACCTTGAAGTCGCTGCAAATCACCCTGACGCTACTGCCATTCAGGGCGAGAAAGGCCCTGGAGGTGGTAAAAGAGTAGACATTGTCGACCCAAATGGATACTATGTTGGATTCATTCACGGCCAAGTCCCAAGAAGCGATGTTGATAATGTGGACAAAAGCCGGATTGCTGACAACGGGAGTCCCCCCACCAATCTGGTTGACGAAAAACCAAGAAAAGGTCGTTTCAAACGCTTCAATTACGGGCCTAGTCCAATTCACAAGCTGGGGCATTATGGATTCATGGTCCCCAAGGACACGTACGAGAAAACGCTGAAGTGGTACACTGGCCTTATGAACCTAGTGCCTACTGACGCGGTTTTCGACCCTCAGACAAACAAAGACACGACTTGCTTCATGCACATCGATAGAGGCAGCACTTTCACTGACCACCATGTAAGTGGCAAAGCCGTGTAATCTTTGGTGCATCTATTGATCATGGACACAGAGCTTTTTCCTCGGCGCCCATCCGTTTAGTCAAACGCCTTTTGTTCATCACGCTAGCTTCGAGGTTAATGATATGGATACTCAAGCTCTCGGCCACGAGTGGCTTTTGAAGAAGGGTTACACCAACTGCTGGGGAATTGGACGGCATGTCTTGGGCAGCCAACTATTTGACTACTGGTAAGCATCAGCGCGTTCCCCAAGACTCCAATGAACATATGCCGAGCAGTGGAATAACTTGATATCCGCCATACATAGGTTTGATACCTCGGGGAACATTCTTGAACATTATTGCGATGGAGACCTGGTGAATGAGGACACTGAAGCTACCCGGTCTCCCGAAGCACCAGATTCACTGCATGTTTGGGGCCCAAACGTTCCCCTCGGGTTTGTGACTGGCAGAATTGAGGATGCAGGGAAACTCGTAATGCCATCAGCGACTTGAAGTCTCAACTGACGCAGTGCATGTGGGCATGCAGTAAGCGTGCTTATGTTACGAGGGTTCGACTAAGCTGATGCAGCGATGCGAGACGCCACATGCAGTGATATGTAGTTTGATTCGATGGTAAATTCAAGAGTCTACTGGGGCGTCTTCAAGGATTCTACTTAGCATGAAACTCACGTCCATGGAGAAACTGGCGACAAGGTTTCCCAGCCTATGCACAATTTTTCTCAAGGGCTGTCTTTGATCAGGCGAACAAACGCTCCAGTCTTTCCGGTCGCTGGTTGTAGAACGTGGAATAAGAGCTCACAAAAGTATGCAAAATACCGCCAACTTGAAGCTTTCGCGTGGCATTTTTCTTCAAAGTCTTGATGCTTACCTCTATGCCGGCAACGAGGTAGTAGTTACTGCCATTATGTGACACATGGGTGTGCGATGTGGTAGCTTTTTTTCTTACAAATCTCCAGGGAGAGTTCGTGGTCGAACAGGTTTCTTGGCAGATTTGCAGGATATCCAACGCCTTTCCTCGAAATCTGCAAGGATGAAGCTTTGAAGAATGCGGGTGATGGTCATGGGGTCAGTCATGTTACGGTTAGCTATCACATCGGCAAAGCTCGGTCAATGGCGGCAAACCCATCGTTCCGAGCTCATGTTGACATCGGTCAGCATTGCCCCTTTTGGCAAGTCGTTTCCATCAGCTCTACGAATCACTATGACGAGGAATTGGTTCTGCTGGAACCGTCCTATATATGCGTGCTCGGGATTGCAGCACAGCTCCTTCTATTCACGCATTTCAATCGCACCTCTTGAATGAAAACCGATACCTAACATACACGTAGGCTTGCTGGAATCGAAATGAAGGTGGTCATTATTGGTGCCGGAATCGGTGGTCTGGTTTGTGCCATATCCTGTCGTCGGGAAGGCCTCGAAGTCGTAGTTCTCGAACAAGCTGCTGCTCTACAGCCTGTAAGTGTCATCCTGATGCATCTTGAAGCTGAAGACTTGGGGTGACCGCTGACAGCGTGGGTTCGATAGATCGGCGCAGGAATACAAATACCTCCTAACGCCGCCCGAATCCTTCGCAAGCTCGGCCTCATACCTCAACTGCTAGACAAGGCTACTTTGGTCGATACAATTGACTACCTTCGATATAAAGATGGCAAGGTTCTGTATCAGATGGAAGGCGGCGAGAAGATGAAGAAATCCTATGGCGATGTTTGGATGTCAGTTATTACCTTCAACCTTAGCGCTCGACATGAGGTGCGTTGCTAATGAAGCTAATTCTAACCCTCTCTTAGGGTTATTGCTCGACCACACTACCACAGCGTATTATGGAGCGCGGCCAAGGAGGCTGGCGTAGAGTTACGACTTGGTGCGGAGACAGTGGCAATTGATTTCGAGGACTCAAGTGTGCGCCTTGTGACTGGCGAAATCGTAGGGGGTGATATTGTCGTTGGTGCTGATGGTCAGTTGTCCCCACACTTCAAGTTGCTATTTCTTGACATTTATCCGAGACTGGTGAAAGATGTCTTTACTAATACCGTGGAGGTCTCTGGTCAAAGTCGAGGGATCAGATTCTTGGCCGACCCTCGCCTCCGTCTGAGACGGGAGACCTTGCATATCGAGCCACCTTGACTCTGCAGCAGATGAAGGATTTCAAAGACCCTCGGATAGACGACTTGATCGAGCATAAGACAGTCAAATGCTGGATGGGCCCGAACAAGCATTGTGTTCTGTATCCCATCGGCGGTGGGCAAGTATTCAACCTCGTCATTTTATGCCCAGATGACATTCCCAAAGATATGAGACAGGCGCCTGGGGATGTGGAGGAGATGCGAGCTTTGTTTGTCGGCTGGGACGAAAGGTCCGATCAAAATTCTCTTACACTGGAGTATTGTTACTGACCCGATCGACGTAGGCTGACGAAAATGCTGTCGTGTGTTCCGTCCGTTCTTAAATGGAAGCTGTGTCACCACGAAGAATTGCGATCGTGGAGGAAGGTAATCATCCCACGGAACAAGTATCTGCAAGTGATCACTGATTTCAACAGGGCCCCGTAGCCTTGCTTGGCGATGCATGCCATCCAACACTGCCATATCAAGCGCAGGGCGCAGCAATGGCGGTAGAAGATGGCGCTGTTCTGGGAAAGCTGCTTGGGCAGTTGATGAGCTCAGGTTTATATCATGATGGGGCCAGAGACACTGTAGAGGGAATGTTGGAGATCTACGAGAACTTACGAAAGGCTAGGACCACAATCAACGTTCAGGGAGCAAGGTCAAATCAGCGTGCATATCATTTGCCAGACGGCCCTATTCAGGAGTCTAGGGATGCTTGGCTAAGGTCTCAACCTAGAGGAGCTTCACCCGACGGTTTCACTCTTGCTGACACGGCTTACCTCGAAGTTATTCTGGGATTTGATGCCTTGGAGGAAAGTGTTGATGCTTTTGAAAATTGGAAAGCTGGCCAGTCACAAACCTTGCCGAGATACAATTTGTAGTGATTTGTAAAGACGAGCTGAAGCATGTATCTTAAGATTTCGTTCTTCCAGCCTTCAACAGTACAGGAGTAGAGGCATCCTATGGTAGAGTGAACATTAAGTGCCCCGTGGAGAAAATTCACTATTATTGCAAATACATTAAAGGCAGCGCAGACACGGGAGCTATGGCCGACACGCCCAGTTGTGCCCTCCCTTCCAACAAGGAGTGGGGGAGATTCGACACGCTATAGTCCTGAAGGTTGGAAGCACTGGAGATACACGCATTTCAATACACTGTCCCATCTGGGGCCCAAAGGTTGCAAATTACCATCCATGTGAAGACAACTCGGCATGCGCGGTCAAAGCAGAAGTGCCGTCTCGGCCTATGACGGGGAGCTGATTCATGCCATGACCAAATTTGCCCATGAGATCGGGTGTCGCGCGGGGACTGAGCCGCATCTGCTCCCGGACTTGGCCGTTCCCACAGTCTTCCTCGATTTCCGACTCTGTAGGGTGAATATTCAAAAGAATGAATATAGCTTTTAGGTGGACAGCGGCCATCTGCAACAGATTCGAGACTCCCATTCAGGGGATATTTATTCTCCGTATAAGGTACTTGTTATAGCAGAGTCTTTTGCCCTGAACTTGCCCTCGGCTTATACCCTATCAAATATGCTGACTCGTAGCTAAGTGTTGCAACTCGAGTATGGATCGTCTATGCTTGATCGTCGAGGCTGGCCTCGCCTGTCAGGGGTTTCTTTGCTTATCCACTGCATTATGTATTCTATCCCTTTGGGTCTACTTTCCAAGTGACTTGTCGCCTGCATTGAATCACTTCTTTGCCAAGCATACCGACATGTGGAAGTTTTGATGTGGCCAGAGGACGAGCCCGCGAGACGCACTTGGCATTGCACGAAAATTATGGGCAACACGTGCGCCTCAGGCCCAGTGTCGATGTCAGTATATTAATGGCTGATAAGTGAGGCTATTGCTGATCAATAACCGCTGGGTCGTCACACGTTGAGTATTATTAAGGTTTCAAAGAACCTGAATCTAACAAGAAACACGACACCATACCAAAGCGTGACTTATTATAAGGGTTCTATAATTTACTACTATCCTAACCGGCTGACTGGGTCATTAAGTTTACAGACCCGGAGGAATTGTTCCTGTATCCAGACGACTCTGTCCCTATGCAGCCCACGACAGATAAGCTCTCCACCTTCCTTCGACAGCACTTTAATCAGGCTGTTCAAGTGAAGCAGTGCGTGCGAAGGGCCTTGAATAAGTACATGTCGCTTATAATCATAGAGACTCATTGCCTGATCCCCTGTGACATACTGCATACGTGTAGCTTCGTCAAAGTCTCGGTCGTGGTAGTTGGGGATTCTGATCGCTGGGTCCGCTAAGTCGTGCAAGCCTCTGTGATTTTGGCGGTTACCCAGGTAAAACGGCATGGACCGGCAGATGGAGTCCACCAACTTCCTGCCGTGATTGGGATCTGGGAAACTAGAATCTTCGGTGGCAATCAAGATAGTTTGCTGCAGCGCCTCTGGGGGCGCTTTCGCGAGCAAATAGAACTTCATCCGCAAGACCATGAGCCGGCAAACGCGCCATACATTCCAGATTGTGGCAATCTGGACGGTCGGGTATATATCGCAGAACCCGAAGTAACCAAAGGTGCCTTCTTCGGGTCTTTTACAAGGCTGCCATGTGGCCGGCACTAGCTGAACCCAATCCAAGAGCTGTGCGTCAACGGATGAAGCGTCCTGCCACCAAGTCGCGAGAGTCAGACCATCTAGGTTATTCTTGACCAGCTCGCACATAAAGGTGGATAGTCTCTTTTGCAAATCGGCAATCGAGAGCCCGATCAGGTCCAAGACTGCATTCGGGTTGGCTGGCAAAGAATGGTCCCACCCTGCATCGAACCAAGCATCCAGGCCCAAGGTGTCGTCTGGTTGCGTTTCCATATATGTCGACACATCACAGTGCCGCAGGTAGCTCCTCAAGTATGCGCGGCAACCCGAGTCCGGGACGCTCCCAGCGCCATCTTCGAGCAATGCACGAGCCCCTTCCTGGTGGGCGCGCATGGTATGCTGGTGCGTCGACCGAGCAGCGAGGCTCTCGTAGAAATGCATCAAGATAGCGCTGAGTACGATACTGTCCTTTGACCGCTCGAGGGGATCATTGAGAGCTGCTCGTAGGCGACTCAACGCCCTGGCAAATGGAAGATGAGGCGTTCGATAAGTGTTTGTTGGGATTTTCCACATGCTCCAGAGCTTCGTTGACACGGCAGTCAGGACGGTCGAGAGGACAGAATCCGGATGCTCCTTGGATACGACAGGGAGAAGAGGCTCCAAGAAACCCTGGGTTGAGTGAAAACTGCGTCCTAAGCCCGCGATCGAGGTGAGAAAGAAGCAGACAGCAAATGATTCGTCGCCGGTAGAAATTGTTGCTGGTATGACAGCCTGCATTGTCCATTCTGACGCTGTCGACATGCGAGGGCTCCTGAACCGTGATGTCGGCGTAAGGAGCCTTGCACTAGTGCTCTGGTCCTTGAACCGAATATCGCCTGTCTTTTTCTGTGATTCGTAACCTCCACACACCCTTCGCAGCCGGAGGCATTCACGACAGCTTGGCCTGTCCTCGTCGCATTTAACACGTCGTTTGCGACATGTCAAGCAGCCCTTTGAGGCGCCATGATTGACCATGTCTGCTGCGCGATGATCGAAAGGACTGATGTCGCTTCTAGTTGAGAGTTGCCACGCGGCCGGTTCTTTTTGCGATTCGTCGCATCCAGAGACTGAGTTATAAATACCGTCATGCGGAAATTAGATAGCGTTGCGAACGAATTATAGATCGTTGAGTTTGAGTCCAGGTATCCTCACCGGCCAGGCTTGTGTGCAGTGTTGGCGATGGGAGATGCGAAAGCCGTGGGGTGACTAGCACTAGAGAGTGGCACAGCATTAGAAGGCGACCAATCGCAAAGAAATTGCCTTATCCGTCCTAGTCGCTGCGTCATTCACAATAGCCTCATGGTTCCCGGAAGTGCGCAATTAGGAAAATACCAATCGCAAAGAGGCTCGGTGCATGGCTGGTGCATAGTGTAGGTGTAAACCGGTTGTGCGTTGCTCTCGCTGGAATAGATTGCGAGAACAAGCGAATGAAGATAAAAGGCAGTGCATCGCCCAGAATATTATAGCATGATCAATACCATCACCAGCAACTCTACCCATTTTCCTTTACTCTACACTTACTTCTGAGTGCCTTTCAAAATGAAGTCAACTTCACTATTCAGTGCTGTTCTCCTGGGGTCAACAGTAGCTTCAAGCACCATTCTTTCCCGCGACTCTGGGCCATCGTTCTCGCCAAAGGAGCTAGAAGATCCCATCATCCTCTTGAGCGAGGATGAAAGCTTCCATTTTGAGCTGCTCTTCACCCTCGGAAACACCATTTTCGGGGCTGGCGACGTCAACGACGTCTTGGCCGCAGCGAAAGACATCAAGGCCGGGAACTTCACCAGCTGGCTTGAGACCTTCCATGCGTTGGCTGAATACACCAAAAAGCAAGCCGAGGATGCGGACAATGCGTACGATCCATTGAACGTCCGGGAAGCCTGGTTTGCTGCGTCGAGCTACTACCGTCAGGCCGACTTTTACAACCATGCGAACTGGACGGACCCACGTATCAATAGCTTCTGGCTCGAGCAACGCGCTGCGTTCGATAAGGCGCTTGCTACACTGCCCGTTCCTGGCGTACGTATCCAGATTCCGACTGACAACTTCACCATTGAAGCAATCTGGTACACATCCGCAGCCAACGGGGTCAAACGGCCGACCTTGGTTATCGGCAACGGATATGATGCTAGCCAGGAGGATTCCTACCACTCATTCGTCGTACCAGCCTTGGCCCGTGGCTGGAATGTTATGACCTACGAAGGGCCAGGGCAGCCCACTGTTCGCCGCAATGATGACATTGGTTTCATCCCTGATTGGGAGAAGGTTCTCACGCCAGTGATAGATGAGTTGATGAATCACAAAGGCTGCTTCGTCGATGAAGACCGGCTGGTTCTTGTTGGCATTTCAATGGGTGGATATCTAGCCGCTCGTGCCGCTGCGTTTGAGCCTCGGATCAAGGCTCTTATTCTCAATGGCGGCGTGTGGGATGTCTACGAGGGATACACCAGTCAGCTGACCCCGGACATAAAGGAACTTCTCACTGCGGGCAAGCAAGAGGAATTTGACGAGGCTGCCTTGCCGCTCTTGGATAGCCCACAAGTGCCTACAACGATGCGCTGGGGTCTAGGACACGGATTGTGGTGCTTCAAACAGCATTCCCCGTACATGTGGCTCGAATCGCTCAAGCAGTACACTCTTCATGACGTGGTTGAGAAGATCAATGTACCCGTCCTTGTCGTCGATTCCGAGTTCGAGGGGTTCTTCGCTGGCCAGCCGGAGGTTGTTAAGGACGCACTCGGCGATAAGGCAACTTATAAGTTCTTTAACAGAACAGCTGGATATCACGTCCAAGTCGGAGCTGGACAGGAGTGGAATAGATACCAGTTTGCATGGCTAAATAAGACACTAGGGTAAGCAGGATTAGCTTTGGTATACTATGACCTGGCCTAGAGGTTATTCCTTAAGATTGAAGGTTTCATATTACTATTGTTATTTATTAGAAAATAACTTTTGTATGTCATTTTGTAACCTTGGATAAGGTGATTGAAATATATGTTTGATCGCCAAAAAAAAAAAAAAAAAAGAAACAGGCGATTTATCTCTCCCTGTCTAATGAAAAGGAAGCCAGCAGTTGCCATATCTCAGTGCGGTAGTCAAGGAGACTTTCCGTTTCCGCCCGCCTCTGGGGTTTCTCCTGGAGCAGGTCGTCATAGACGGAGGGCTTCAGTTACCAGACAGGCCTTTTCTTCCATCCGGTAATAGTTGGCGCCAACGCATGAGTTGTACATCGCCATCTAGTGTTTGGCGAGGATTTGGAATCGTTCGACTTCGAAAGGTGGCTCTAGAGATTCGACGAGTCCGAGGATGACTTCGATATCAGAAGGTCTCGTATGATCAGTGCGTCTCTCACTTTCGGTATTGGGCCGCGGACCTGCATCGGTGCATGTGAAAACATCAGTTTCCTTGAGATCTACAAGACTATTCCAACACTTCTATTCATGCATGAGATACATTCTTTAGGACTCGACACTTGGCTGCCCCATTACTGCGTATAATTGTCGTTGATACTGAGTGGACTGAGTTTCAGTTGGACGGCAATGCCAGGACCTTGAAAACCTGGAACTCGCTCTTTTCCAGGCAGTCAACCCTCAGGGTTAAGTTAAGAAACGTTCGCGGGCAGGATATTGATTGAATCAATCCGATACAGCGGTGTCCGTTGCAATCATTGCGTGGAGACGTCTAGCTTAAGTTGGTGGCGGCATGAGCACAACTAAGATCGCCTCAAGAGCCAAATCGATGCCCCAACCAAGGGAACAAGAAAGACTCCAACCTTGAGAGCAGTCTTCTTCCACGACGCTATCATGTCCTTCATTACCATGACCTGGAACTCTGCTGCTTCGTTGACCCTGGGATACGGAACATCTGGAATGTCGTGACCAAGGAAAGGGCAAATTTTGTCCCATCCAAGTCCTTCCTCGAGCTTGATCACCAGTAGCTTATCCGCTGGAATAAGTTTCTTGACCATCGTGTTGCTAGGGTAAAGTCAGCAAGGTGCCCAAAAATAACCCCATCCATTTTCGCACTCACTGTCTCTCATAGACCTTGACGGCCTCGCGCTGAGCTTTCTGTTTGTCAGGCCCTAGGTACCCCCCATAGAGAACGTAGACAAAGCTGTAGGTCAATTTGCTGATGTAGTACGTATACGAGTCAAACAATCCGACCAAGCGAATCATAGGCGACAGCCAGAACTCGCCCAGTGGCTGGAAAGTCTTGGCCACGGACTTCCTCCACGCCTCAGGATCACGCTCCGTGAGGACAAACTTGGCGTCTGGGTAGGCTGCAACAAGGTCCTCGAGGAACCATGCGGGAATGTCGGTGATGGCATCAAAATCGCCCAAGAACTTGTCAAAATCCTCAAGGGTAAAAGGTCTGCCGATCCCTTGGGAGCTCGCGCGGACTGCGTCGTTCATCATGCGCACGTGGGGTACGCCATTCTTGAAGACTTCAAGCTGATGGTAGGGCTTGTAGCCGAGGATCTTGAGTGCGTAGTAGAACCCCAATGTGGCGTTTCTGTTACGATCTCATTTAGCCCCGTCGTTTTATAGCGATGGATCTCGTTGAACATGGAATTTCTCGCATTCAAAGATGGCACTCACCGACCAAAGCTCAACAAGATGACTTTCATCGGTCGTGGGTTTGGGTGCACCGGCTGGCGGTCGATGTATCGTGACATGATCTTGCAACGTCAACTACAGGTACCTTGAGGTCGTTCCTTACAAAAGTTTGCTTGGGAGCTATGAGAGTCAGGACACAAAGCGAGGGCAATCTGAGAGTCCTGCACGTGGTTTTATCCGGGCTACTACTCACCTTAGTCTGCGGATTCCAGGTGCCGCTGACGCCAAGCGCGTCAGCAAATGCGGTGTCCATCGTCAGCACTAAGACATGCATAGCCATCCCAAAACAATTTCTGAACCTATCGTGGAGTAGGAAGTCAGCTTGGGAACGGTATGAGCTAGGATTGAGGCCTTTTCCACAGACTGCAAATGGTCAGAGACGTCGGTATAAAGGATTGGCTTACATTCCGAGATGATAATCCTAATGTAGTTGGTTAATGGAGGAGCCCCGAATTCGACCACCACTTGCTGCAGACTGACGACCATGGACAGATTATTTTACTTACCCCACATGTACATCTATCTTGCTGTCCTCATCGGGTAGCACTTACGATCTGGCTACATACTCCAGTGAACAAAGCGGTCTCCGAAACCTATGACCTAAGGATGAGCAAGAGGGCAAGTGCTCGGAACAGGTTATGATCACACGAAATCTTCTAGTATTAGAGCGATGGCTCGTCTCAAGTCTCCCGTTACCCATGGTTTGCAGTCGGTCTGTTTCCGCCTTTCGGAGATGGCTTGGTATCCAAAGAGGGAAGTGGGCAACCTTGAGTGAGGAATTCTACCAGAGATGCCGACCTCGATGGTATAGGAGATAGACGGGAGTAACAATACATCACCGGCAACATTGGATGACGGGAAGAGATAGATACTTCCAGTCATTATACTTGTTCACATCTACAACCATTCCCAATCTAGTACCAAGAACAAACTTGTGCTCCAAGTAGGTGTATCATACGCTCGCAAACTTCATTTGACTTACACGCCTTGCAGTTCTTCAACAATGGATTCCAAAAACATCACAATCACCACATCATCGTACACAACGGGACCTGAAGTCGATCAAGCCGCGCAACCGCCGCCTCCCTGTGGGCTCAAAAGAAGCAATGCGATCCGCCACCGAGTCCACCCACGCCGGGACCCCGCCACTTCCGAGGCTTCGCTGAGACGATGGGTTAAGAGAATTGGCCATTGAACCGCCAGTGACTGAGAGACGTGTCGAGCAATTTTGGACGAATCGTCTTATCAACTCCCTGCCTTGAGATCACATAGCGTCTGTAAGGGTAGGGGTCTCAATGAGTGGCACCAGCCACCAGGTTCTGTCACGTATCATAGCAGCCAAAGTGAGCCTCCGATTCGGTATAAAAAGATGCTTTTCGCCGCCTGGAACTATGAAGGACAAGCAGGAATCATAACCACCAGCACTAGTGGTTGGAGGGCAGTGCCACCAACAGTAGTGATCGAATGGCAGCTGATACCTACATGTATAGGATAGGCATGTGAGCTGGGTAATTAATTCTCAACTTCATTCAACCGGTTTCTCTACCTCGTTAAAACAGACCGATCAGTCTTCAGAGTATATTCAATGACGAATACTATGACAACAGAGGACAGAAGTAGTTAGGGGATTATAGCTGCAGCAATCGACTTGGAAAAGTGAATCACATAGTTTCTATTACCGAGGGCATGTTGCCTTTTCCTAGGCATCAAACTTACTAAATGCTATAGTCACAAGCGACATGTGATGCATAGACCTTGATCGATCGGATAGAGGATATAAAAACAGGGAGCAAGATGTGTCATGTGAAGTGTGTACCTTTGCGTCGATTGCCTAGGGTAGTAAATGTGTTCGCGAGGTTAGTATAAATTACTACACATCGCTTGCTCAAGGTGAGAAATGTTCAGGCAGCAATGGCGTCCACAGCCACCAGCAGCAGGCATGGCACCCATAGCCACCAGCAGTAGCTGTCTAAGTCATGACAAGATGGCATGTGCCCGAAGGCCAAGCGCGGCGAGTACCATCAAGACTCAAAACCCACCCATAACAAACACCTCATCATACCATGTAAGGCGTTTCTCACGCAGTATTCCGTCTAAAATAACATCAGAACAGAAAGCAAAGTTAAGCGGCAGATTGTGTAGTTAAAGGTATGATCTGTATATAACTTTGCTTAAAGGCTATAGATATATCCCTCTTTTGGTCCTTGAAGTCGACCCAGTACTGTAGATGTGGACAAAAAAACTCACCTCTTACTTAGGTACTTGGTATGAGATTTCCAGTGAATGCGGCAACCGGCCGTAGCCATGTCCCTCTGACTAGTAGAGGCGCAGAGCCGGCATCGCAAAGCCCATCTCTTGCAGGCTCATTTCATACAGATAGAGACTGGAGAGAAACAGGCACTTGGAAGCTTCTGGTAGGTGACACGAATGCTCGAGGCTGGCTTGTAGCTTGATGATTATGGGGTTACTAAAGTGACCGAGGAGAAGACTATTTAAACGGGCTAATAGTCGCACCAAAGTTGAGGAGCAGCAGGGCATGAATCCAGGAGGACACGAACGCGAACAGTTATCCAGATCGTGAAGAGCAGGTGGCTCATGCTCGAGGGCGAGTGCGGCGCGGCGATAAGTGTTGAGGCTGACAAGTCCCAGGTTTCCATCGACATCCGAACTACTTTCTAAACATTGTCATGTTGTATCAGGCGGCTGCCCAGCATTATTCCGCACGTAACACTATCAAAATAGAGAATGATGATGAATAATACATTGAGCGGTTGTATTTCAATGGAGCTTAGTCGCCTGGTAATTGCATTTGCAATAATAAGAGTACCTCTATGCCTTAGGTTCGTGAGCATACCCCGTTTTGGGTCTTGGCTGTTGTCCTCGCCACGGGTGCGTGGGATGAAGCTTCCGGATCGACTAGCTACTACCGGGCTTATATAGCATGTGGCGACCTGCCCTGCTCAAGCATGTCCACGCAGAGGTGGCGTCTACCGAGTCTTATCGAATCTCTTGTCTCGAAGGGTAGGCAACTTAGGCTCCCAATAATCGGTCGACGAAGCACAGCCTGAAACACTCACGGATCTGTATAATTCATGTGTTCATTAAGAATCATACTGACACACAGCTATCTTGTTCAAGGATCAGAACTTCTCAGTCGGTTCAGGGCAAGCAAGACAAAAAGCCAGACAACCGATCCAACACAGGCTGCTGCTTCTCCTTGGACGCCGTCGTCTTGTCGTTGGAATCACCCACGCTCACGGATATGTAGCATCCCGCCGTACCGACAACCGTGTTCTCCTCGGGCAACCTCGCATCATCACCGCACGTGCTCACATCCGGACCGGACAGCAGTCCCGGGTTGATCCGGCTCAAGACCCACTTGAACTGGTCCGGGTCGTTGCACTCCGTGTCGCTGACCTTCGGGAAATTGACATTCAACCATGTCTTCTCCGGCAGGTACGGAGCGCCCCCGCTCACAATCTTATCCACCAGCCGCGTCGCGAGCTCGGCGTATACCGTGCTTCGCGCAGGCACAGGCTGCGTGTTCCACGCGAGAGTGCCATCCGAAGAGCCGGAGAAGGCGATGGCGGGAATGCCCTTCGTGCCTGAAGCATAGACAGCGGTACCGACAGTGCCCGAGAAAGGGACCTGGAGCCAGAGGTTGGAGCCGACGTTAGGGCCAGAGACGGCGAGTTCTACGGCGGCACCATTGAATTGCTCTGGAGCAAACTGCTCGATACCGTAGCGCATGGATGTTACCGGGTACGAGTTGACCCAGCGGAGGTCCTTGCGGGTCTCATTGAAGCCGACCGGTCCGCTGTTGGCTGCGCAGCTGTTGTACTGGCAAGCGCTAGTCCGCGGGCTCGGCTCAACGTCGAGGGAACCTGTGATGGATTAGCGTTAGAGAACGTCGCGTTTGTGAACGAACCATTGGATGAGTTTGATTATACATACTGGAGCCGGACTTGTTCTCAGCAGGTGCCGAGAGAAGGACGTCATGACCGGAGGCTTTCAGCGCATCGTTGAAAGAGCGAACGTAGAGCTCTGCCCACCCGTCGTCGTTGGACTGGACGATCCGCACGCCCTGGACGGCGAGAGCCTGTGCAAGCAACACAAATGTGGTGTCGGCGCGCATCGTGATGTGAAATGGGTACACGGAGCGACTCGTAGTCCTTGCCCGGGGGTGAGAGGGAGGTGCGGAGTGGATTGGAGAGCGAACGGCTTGCGGCGGTATGCGTGAGGATGCGGGATCAAAAGACCATGTTTCTAGTGATGGGTGTGGCAGTTGTCAACCTTAAGTAAAGAGGCAAATCAAGACTTCGTTGCCCAAGGCTCACCCCTGGGCCGCTCAGGAACATCTTGTGCGAACCACGTCTGACACGTGCCACTGGATCGCAGACGAAGAGGGGGAGGGAGACCTTTCAGGCTTCAGCTGTCCGTCTACCCCGGTTGCGATGTGAAGCTGGCCGACGGGAGCTGCAGGCGGCGAGATGATCATCGACCGCAATATCACCCTAACCCCCGCACACCAATGGCTGTCAAATGCGCCGATGCGCCCCTGAATCAGTGAAACCTGCCCCAAAGAGGCAAAGGGCCAACCGAGACAGCCGAAGCTTGTTTACCATCGCCCCAGTATAGCAGCAGCTCGTCAATCGCCCCTCCTTGTTGTAGGCCCATTCAGCCAGCCAGGAAGCGAGGAGACCTGTCGAAGTGCTTAAGCTCGAACACGTGGGCCTCTTGGCCGTTGGATCTTGACATTGCGCCGGCGACCGGTGCCGCAAAAGGGAGGCAGTGCCGATGGAGAATGCGACGCTAAACGGGAAGACTAGGACAAGGGTTCGTTAGTCACTCTTCCTCTAAAGAAGCTTGCATCGTCGTGCAGGGGCACATGTTCGTCGCTTCAACGTGCAGTCGAGTTAACCCCGCCATTGAGGCACCTCGGTCGTCAATTACTTCAATGCAGTCCTTGTATTTGATGGTCGTGGGGAGGTGCGGAAAGTCTAATTATTCATAGATTTGGTTGCGAATTTTGTGCATCAGGGTATGTGACCGTTGCTTGGAAACTGATTTCGTCCGAGGATCGGATATCGACCAGTACTTCCGAGGTGATATTACCATAGGTCTTCGATATGGTTCTATTTTGTGAATGTTTGACAATGCGTCATGAACCGGGAATCTCTTTCCTTCGGAACCTCAGGCTTTCTCAGAAGAGTAGTACTCGAGCGCAGTCGCAAGCAAAGGTTGGCAACTTTTAGAAACCGCGACACCCCCAAATAGCCAGCTCTCAGCTCGACAATCGGCCTGTGCTTGTCAGCTGGTCGATCGGGGCGAAGCCACAGCAAAGCCACTCTCCGTCTCGTCTCATCTTCCTCTGAGTGACGTAAAACTGGTACTGAGCCGAAGAGATGCTCGGCCAGAGCGAGGCGGTTTCCTGTATTGGTGTCTGCGTGTGGTGAGCCGGAGCTTGTAAACTCCAAGATCAAGGAAGACGCGGGCAGAAAGTGTAGGAATCTGAACTTTGCACTCCAAAAATGTTCAATGTTCGCAACGGTGCGGCAGATTCCCTGAATCGAGGATGGGTCACCGTATGTCGTCACATTTCGAAGTGGTGCAAGGCGGTTAAAATATCCCATCGACTGCTAGAAGTTTGTGCCGCAATTATATGCACTACAATACATGGTCTTGCTACAAGAAGGACACTGAGACTCTGTCTGCTATCACGCCAGGAAAGTCGCAGGCACCTCCGGACCTGTACGACATCTGTTAGCATAGGTTATATCTCTCGGGTACGGTTCTAACTCACCCCAGATGTGTAGATTATCCGGCGCTGCGGGAGTGTGGTGCGTCTTCTCCGTGTCATCGAGCAGGTCGCCATCAACGTAGTGCTCCATGATGAAGCCGGAGGGGTCGAACCTGTTCTCCTGTCAGCTTTCCATGCCGTCGCCCACGTATCGGAAAGCCTCTGTGGCTCCCATCGTTAACTCACCAATAATCAAAGATTTGACTTCCCATTATATGGCGGCCTACGCCCCAACAAAGCTTGTGACCCTGTTCTCTCAGCCAGTCGTGGCCCAGCACCTGGGTGTCAAAGTCGTGCGTTTCGAAAGAGGAATGGTGGACATGGAACTTGGGGCCCTCAAGGAAGAAGAAGCAGTGGTGGTCGACGAATTCCTTGCCACGTGCCAGACGGAAAAACACGGTAACGTTCTTGTCCTTATTGTCAGGGGCGTGGACGAGCTGCACATCATAGACGTCAGAATGGCTGTAATCTGGCTTCGCACAGCTTGAATACTCACCTCACTCGGGTACAGGTTGAAGTTGCTAGTGTAAAATTCGTACGCCTTGTCAAAGTTCGTCAGACATACGCCAAAGTGGCCTAGCTTGTGAACGGGTGCTGGACGCTTGGTGAAACGCTGCTTCTTGTTAACATCCCGATGCTTCTCTTCCGGCTGTTCTCTGATCAGCATGAGCTCCCTGAATGTCTTCATATGTTTATGCTCACGAAGTTGAACTTGAGATTCGGAAATCCCGGATCCCTCTTCTCAATTGGCGTCTGGTTGTACACCAGATGCAGCGGCCAGCCGTCGACGGGATCTTTGAACGTCACACATTTACCGCCGCCCGGCACGTCTTTGAGATCATGGATTTCTGTTGCGCTCGGCAATGTCTTGGACGCGTACTCGAGGTCTTCCAGAGACTCCACAACGAAAGCCGGACCTCCGAACTCGTCCTCCTCCGCCTCTTCGGCGCACAACACGAATGGCTCGGTACCATAGCCTCGGTAGAATGTCCTGTTCCCCTTGCGCTCGAGTTCGTAAAAGCCAAAGTCGTCGTAAAACTTACGAGCTTCTTCAATGTTCTTGTGCTTGTAGAAGACGTGCGCCAGGCTGACGAGCTGGATCTTCCGGTCGGGCATGGTGGGTGTAGCTTGTCGGTGCTGTGACTGTGAAGACCTGTGAAGAAAGGTTGACTGTTTGCGCGAAGCTTTGGCGTCGAGTATCGCTTGTGAAGCAAGCAGGGACACGGCCGTCTTATATTTAGACTTGGAGCTGACATCTCACCGGCGGAAATGCCGTTGGATGGGTGATTTGGCCATGTTTGTTCCCCCGCACTACCCCACTACAGTCCATCGGACGTCACGCACGCTCGGTACTTGCGCTGGAGGCGTCAGAGTCCGGCGTAAAAGGAGTTGTGGTGGCTGCAAGTCCCCTATTCTTAGGCGCTGTTATGGTGTAATCTCAGATGGCGCGGTGCCGAAACTCAGACGGCGGTTCGGGAGTCGTGGCGTTTGGAGAAAGTCCTGGGTTTCACTAGGATGTTTCTCAAGATAATCCTGACAAGCCGGACGCGCCAAGGCTGAAGCTGCCGCTCATCTCCTTAGTATCACCATAAATCGACTTGGAAATAAAACAAACCGCATCCTTTTCCTTCATTTCAAGTGCCGAATGAGCCTACCGGATGAGTCGTCACGTATCAGAGCTCCCTCGGCACCCGGTGAAGGATGGGCGACATACCGGTACGCTTTCTGACGGATGGCCATAGCTCTCGGGGCCAAAAAGTAGTCCCGAACGGATACAATGAACACATAAGGTTCCTATATTTTGCCGAGACTTAGCCACTCGCTGAACAAGCCAATGTTTGCTGGCTCGATTCGATTGTTCTCTTCCTATCATGAGGACGTGGGGTATTGCCATCGCGGGGTGCATCGTCGGCATGTTGCCGGCGGGGTACAGAAACCCGGAAGTCCGTAAATCCGCGGGTTTCTGCGTCAAGTTTCGCTGGACCGAGCAGGGGCGGCTGCCGGGAGTTGTGTCGACCGAACCTGCGTCGCCGGCCGCCTTTGTTGCAGGATGATGCCCGGCCGGCCCCGTCAAGATCGGTTCAAGACGTTTGGGAGTGGGCCAGCCGGCCGGACGAATCGCCAGTGTTCGAAGCTGTCGGAGCCGAAGTTCAAGCCGGCCCTCTTCCGAAAGAGGATACTAAGCTCCGACGCCAGTTAGCATAGGAGAGGAGACAAGGGTCCCATCGGAGCGCTACTTCTTCACCGCCCTGTTGAGTGTATCACAACCCTCTCCAAACGAAGCCCCAATCCACCACACAACGCAAGTCCCCTCCTTGGGCTCATGGGAGCGCCGCCTCCAGTATCCCCGCTTGAAAGCGGATTCCTCATCTGGCGTTGTGGCAGAGTGGTCTAATGCGCAAGACTAGAAATCTTGTTCCTTCGGGAGCGTCTGTTCGAATCAGGCCAACGTCGAGACATGCTTTTTGCCCGCTAGGATGGCGGTCGTGAGCTCACAGAACGCTCGTGTTTTGGTTGTTGAGCGAGGTAGACACCGTGGGCATGAGAGACGTCGATAGCAGATGTCGCAATCGAATGGAATTCCGGGATGCTTCTAAACGATCTATTGCTAACCATTCTTACGGGCAATGAGTAGAAGGAAGACAGGCGAGAAGAAAATGTTGATGGATGGGAATTGGAATCTCCATGATTCTTTCCTCCCAGTGCACCATTCCAATTTTTGCGCACTTTCCCAAAGGAAATCCCATAGTCTCAAGTACATAGGTACGTACATTGAGTGAGTGGGTCATGTGTGGATGAGCAGGCACCCGCCACAAATGCACAAGCCAGGTAAGTACGTACCCCTTCTCCCCACCATGGGTGGCCAGGACGTTCCGACGAAACCCAAGGTATCTCAAGCAGTCGCAATCGAAGGCACTTTGCCCCTCATTGCACTTTGAAGCTTGTCCGCCGCTTCCTTTGAACCCGCAACAATTTCTTACGCCTCCTGCTCTTCGTCTTTCTGAATGCTCCATAACTGCTACAGAGCTCACCAACCGCCCCTTCCCCACAGCCCTGATGCCGAAGAAACTCTCGAAGAATCCCCAAGGAGGGAGCACCACAAACCTCGGGACACCCTCGACCTCGACAACGAATTCCACCTCCCTCTCCCTTCCTCGAATTCTGACCGACGAGCTCCCCCTTCCGAAGCTCATTGTCTTCGACCTCGATTACACCCTCTGGCCCTTCTGGGTCGATACACACGTCTCCGGCCCGCTTAAAGCCAATGCGACACATTCGGCAGTCACAGACCGTCACGGCGAGTCCTTCGCCTTCTATCAGGACGTGCCGCGAATACTCTACACTCTGCCACTGGCAGGCATCAAAATCGCAGTCGCGTCACGGACGTCGGCACCCGATCTAGCACGGGACATGCTCAAGCTCCTGCACGTCCCGCCGCCGAGTGCCGAGGAAGGAGGGAGCGGCAAGAAGGAGAAGACAAAGAGGGCGCTCGAGTACTTTGATGCACCGTTGGAGATATACCCTAGCAGCAAGATAAAACATTTCGAGACCATATTCAAGAAAACAGGTATCCCATTTACGGATATGCTTTTCTTTGACGATGAGAGTCGAAATCGGGAGACGGAGAGCTTGGGCGTCACCATGCAGCTCGTGAGGGATGGTGTGACGTGGAACGAGATCGAAAAGGGTGTGGCGGAGTGGCGCAAGAGGAGGGGATACTCGGGATAGATGTTCCTTGTACGACTGGATGGCGGGCTGGGTTTGCACAAAAAGGCGTTTGTTGGGTTGGGTGATAAACTTTTGTTCCTGTTGCACTTGCACACGGATAGGATAGGTCCGATAGATTGGATGGGGAGACGGGATGATCCAAACCTAGATCAACCTTCTGTGCGTTTTTCCTAGGGTCGTTGGGTAGATGAGACGGTACAAAGTCGTGATACCAAATGCTTTATTATTAGATAGATGTCCGAAATGAATCGATAAAGATGTAACTCCAGCCAATGTTGCCTTGCCCCGCCAGACCTACTCCATCACCATCGGGGTATTAGATCAAATCATATCCAGATCACCAAGCAGATCGACCCTGCCATGCCAAATATGCAAACCCCAGTCTCGAAGTCTCATGTCCGTTTACCACTAGTCTATGCCAGTCCCGACGGCGGCGTCGATGTACTGCCCTCGACATGTTTCTCCGCGACCTGCTTATCGTCTGCAATGGAAAGCTTCTGTATGCCAGCCTCTGGCGCATCGTCAACCTTGACAGGCGCTTCGGTCTCCGTCTTGGCGGCAGCTTCTTCCGTCACGCTGCCTTCCTTAGTCGCAGGTGTTGCAATCGGTGTCGGCTCAGCAGCAGGGACCTCGGCCTTGGGCGGCCACGTCTTGGGTACGGAGCAGATCACCTCGTTCTGCTCGACGCCCTTGATGCTGCCAATTCCAATGCACTCAACACGGGCACCATCTTCGGTCTCGCGCCAGATAGCAGGGCGCGACGTGAAGCGGTCGTGACCGGGTGCCCACTCCACGATTCCCTCCCATGCGGAGTCGACGGTTGGCTGGTCGCCAAACTTGAACTCGAGCTCGCCTCCGTACTGCTTCGGGATGTTGCGGGGTTCGATGAACTGCTCGAGTGTCGGGCGAACCTCGTGGGGGCTGAGAATAAAGATCTTGGAGACTGTGATCGGGTCGAACCAACGCTTGATCCAGGCCCAGACTGTGGAGAAGAATGCAGGGGCACCGATGATGAAGATACCTGGTAATGATCTGTCAGTACGGTCAAAATGACGGCGATGGATGTCTGCTTACGATCGAGGGTCTCTGGGTAATGCGCCGTTGCGAGCTGACTAGCAGCCTGCATGTGTCCCTTCAGATTCCAAAACTGCTTCAAACTGACCCCAGAGATATCAACGATATTGGTGCTCAGGGTGATGGGAGCATCGCGGTGCTCGCGGTCCCTGAGCTGCGTCGACAGCGGCTGCGTGAAGCGGGTGAGGTTCTCGTACAGCGCAAATAGGCGCATCATGCCCGCGGGCGTCTTGCCATCGAACTTGGCCTTGCTAAAGGTCGATTCCTTGCCCAGCTTCTCATAAGTAGCGACCGTCTTGCTGTCAAGCTTCTGGACCTCAAAGAGGTAGATGGGAATGCCGCGACGGTCGCGGCGGCCAAGCCATTGCGGGTACAGGCGACGGGACTGCTCAAAGGCGTCGAGCTCGATGGTCTGGTAGAGGACGTCAATGTCGTTGGCGGCGCGCCAGGCTTCCGTGTCCTTGAACTGCGTGAGAGCATCTTCGGGGACCCATCTTCGTGCGCGAAGGTATCGGCTGCAAGATAAGGCGGAAAAAAGTCAGCAAAAATGACCTTCTGGTCTGCTTCCGGATGTTCCGGCGCAGTAGGTGACTGCGGCAGAAAAAGAGGATCTTGCTGAATAACTCACAGCAGAGTAGGGTCGTCGTGGGAAGCTGGCGGGCCTCGCTTGTACAGCCCCTTCTCCTCGAGTAACGTTCTGAAGGCGGCGAGCTGCGTCTCCTCGTGCTCGTTGAGGTGACCCAAGTGTCCATGAGGATACCCAACATCAGACACCGTCGAGGCGTGGGACTTGACCCTGGCCGCGGGGTCAGAAGCTGCGGTATCGGTCGTCATTGTATGTGTATAGTACTGTATGATCGGGTGTCCGTTTGGCAGACAGGAACAAGTGATGTGTTACAAAGAACGCAGTGCTCGTTGCATTCGCACTTTTTTTGATTTGAAGAACTTCTACTCGTCAGCGTAACGGTGCGAGGTCGCTCGGAGGAAGGGTCTAAAGCGTCAGCCCGGCATGACGGGCGGACAGCGGCATGGGGCGGGCACGCGGGACCCATCCATAACCCATCTGGATCCAGTGTGCCAATCCATTTCTCTTTGATGTGGTAATCGACCTGGGAGTGAGCGGGAGAATCTGGTGTGCGGCGTGCCTGGTGTGCATTGCAGCGCTCTCAACCAACCCCTGTGACCAATCCTTGTCACCTGTCAGCTTACCTTATCATCCGCCGCCTCCGGCTCCGTCAACCCGACGATCCCGGACGCCGGACGGACTTTTTTACCTGTACGTACAGGATACCTTACGTCATACGGTAAAAGCGTTCCACCTCGTACTTTTCGCATTTTCTGACCCTTCAGAATACCATTATTTCGACAACGGGACTGAACAACAGGCCTTGATTCCGCCGTCGTCTACCTACATTGATATGAAAGTACTGCAAAGGTCACTCAACAATTTCTCTCTCGCCGCCTTGCATCATGCAGGCGCCCCATCGGGCTGCTAGCCTAGGTTCTTAGTGCTCATCGCGTTGCTGCACCGCATCCTTTGGCGTGTCGCCAGCCAATGAGACGGAAGTGACAGGCCAAGGCCTGGGAGTCATGGTGGAGACGGAACTTCAAACAGACGACGGCTTTGCGGGAACCAAACATCCGTTGCGCTCACCATTGACCAAAGTCAGGTAGCAAACACCATGTTTTTGTGTTACCGGTGAATACAAGGTTGTCCTTTGTTCACTCGTCAGCTGTAAAACCACATTGCCCTCTGGATCTTCCCGATCGATACCGCCTCAGGTGTGATTTCTTGGTCAAGTTCATGCGCCTGGAGGATTGAACTTGCGATTGAAATTGCCAAAGTCTCTTTTCAACCAATTAGACGGGTCTGTGATGAATCCACTTCGCCTAATCTGGCAACCTCCTGAGATCAAGTCTCGGATTGACTCAGTGGTTTCCCGAGGATACGCGGATAGCATTTCAGGCTTGGTTTGATGGGTCAAGCAGGCTGCGAAGCCATGCGTCTTGCGGGCGGCTGTGTGTGTCTCGACCCTCTCCTAAATAACACAGCTTCACGTTTCCCTGCTCTTATTGTATGATTTCTTCTTCTTTCGGTGCTCATTCAACAGCTCCAGCGCCATCTTGTTCGCCGTTCGTATGACCGATAGGTGCCAATGGTGACAGCCAGAAGCAAATAATTCTCAGGACTCCATCGTCATAAAATGGGTATGTATATCACGCGCCAAGGAGCGACTGGCCTGTCATCGTGGCCTCTGGGCCTCGCTCACACTCTCGGCTTCATATGGGCTCTGCCAGACACGTCCATGAGACGTGTGGCCTGATGTCTGTAGATCTCTAGCGCGAGTCCCATTCTTGGATACCTGTACGAGCTCGTACATGATTCCAGTGCAGTGTGCCGGTGCATTCACGGCGACACGAACCCGATGAGCAGCGCTATATGCCATCGCGAGTTGGGTCAAGGGCTTGCCGTCTTGTTATTACAGGAAGTCCAGGCGATGATTCATGGAGCATCTTCTTGGTAGTCATTAACTTTCATTTTCTAGTGATGATGTAGCCGCCCTCAAAGCATTCTCAATAGCTGCCAGATGCCTGTACTAAGAGCAGGTACGTTTCTAAGTTTAGACCTTCGACAAGTGAAGCTCATATCAATCAGTCTCGAACGCCTCCATTCTGCCCTCTCATGTTTGTCCATCCTGCCAGCTGCATATTGCGTGTTGACGTATTGATAACTTCTAGCACTAAGGCTGGGGCTTCCTCAAGTGCCCATCTGTCGCGATGACTTCAATCATCCGTAGTCTCATCACCCTTCACCCGGTCCTCGGTTAGATAATCACTGAGGCCGTTGCCAGCTCGCACCCTCTGATTTACTGCGAGCCTCGTTCCTGTCTCTAACTTCCAATAGATAGCCGAGCTCTATTACATATCTTGATGCTCATGCTGTAACTTGTGGCCCTGCAACACCATTTGAGCCTAGCTTCCTGTAGGTCATCGTCGTTTGAAACCTCGGCCATGGAAATACTGTCGTATTTATCCGAAGTCATTTGAGGGCCAATTGTTCGAACAGCCTGTGTGCGTCACGCAATGGTGTCTCCGTTTGGAACTAGTTCATTTTGCAGAGATCGAACAGCCATTCCTGTGACTGTATGCCTTCTTCTCTATTGCATTTGCCCGCTGTGCACGTAGCGAGGGTGTGGAAAGACCACCATCTGAGGTGGTAGCCGTTGTCGACACAAAAGTCGTGTACGTTGACATTGTTAATATTGGGAGGGTAGTGGCTGTTTTCTAGCTGCAAACACTCCTGCCAGCACTCGGGCAGTTCGTGAAGCGGAAGTGGTATCCTCGGAAGACTATCTGGGTCCTTTGGGCCTCCGCCGGCGGCAACGAGAGGCAATACGGCAAGAAGAATAGTGGTGAACTTCATTTTGGCTGTTTTCCCAATGGTATTTTTGATAGAGTGAAGTATGATGGCTGATGTGGTATTGAGATGCGTGCTTGACGGGTTGCTGTTGTCTCACAAACGAAGGTGTTTTATGCGTGTGTGTGTGTGTGTGTGTGTGTAATAGACTGGCAGATTTCCAAGCCAGCATTGTGGGAAGAGGCTGGCGATTTATACCTATCGAGAACCTCTCTGAACTTGCCCGAGCCCTGAAGACGTGCCTGCATCTCCGAGTTTGCTTGGCGTACCGAGTTGTAATTGAACCTTGATCACCTCCAACCCTGAGAGGTAAGACCTTGGGCGTCAACACGGATGAAGATTCACGACTCAGATTGATCGAGTAACTGCAATGAAACGAGGGGCGGAGTGGTAGGCGAGGAGGGTTACTCTTTTCACTCTAGCACTTCAGGTGGCTGCGGGGCTAGTCATGAAGGCAACAACTCGAGAGGCGTTGCATTCAGTGCGGCATATTCTAGGATTAAGGATACCTAGATCATATTTGGTTGATGAAGTAGACTTTCGGGCATCTCCAGCAACATATTTTTCTTTTGACACATCTTCAGGAAGGAGGGGAACCGAATGGATGTGATTAAGCTCTAACAGTTGAATACTTAGTGGCTCTTCCATATCAGCATATTCAAAAAGTAAATGCGCAAAGTCCAATTCTCCATCGATAAAATACTGGGCACAGACTAAATGCTACTCTCATCCTCGGGTCCAGGATGATTCTCGCTGAGCTGGTCCTCTGCAGCACGAGTGCTTTCCACACTAGGTGACGAGACCGAAAAAGTCCTGAACATTCTATCGAGATCTTGAATAGCATCGGACATTGACTCCTTGTCAACCCACTCTCTGAATGTGGGCGACGGCAGGATCACCAGATCCCGGAAGTGCTTCAGTGCAATTTGGTTCGATAGAGCTACTCGGAGTGGTAGTAGAGATGGGTCCGGCTCTTTAAATATGAGCTCGAGCTCCCGCCTGCCATCTGCGGCGTCGTCAACAAAACTAGTGGTACTCACATCATCGTGCTCCTCCGCACGAGGATAGTCGATGATGCAGTTGATCTGAACAGTTCCGACGCTGAGCACAAATGATCGAAGAGTGGATCGTGGCCAGCGTAGGCAGCCACGCGACTCTAGGTATTCCATATAACCAAAGACCTTATTTGCGAAGGCGCCGGGTTCCTCAAAGTATTGAAAATTTCGGTATAACTTGCGGAGGAAAAACTGTATCGGTGTCCGCATACCCTCCCAAGTCCAAACACTCGACGGGTCGACGCCATGACGCAGAAGTAGATCCACCTTGGCCTCGAAAAGAGCCGGGATTTCCTCGTTCAGGGCATTGTGCCAGGCATGCCCAGCAAGCTGCGGTGTGAGTTCGCAGGCGACAGTTGCTCCGCACCCGAATAGGAAGTCCATCATTTCGATAGAGTGCCCGTCCGCAGTTGCAGCTTCGGCGAGGGCCATGTCGAGCTCTCTGGCGTATTTCGGATGTCGAAGCATCGGTTCCTTCTTCTCCTCCTCGTGTTCATCTCTCAGATAATGGGCCTCCGATATCTTCAATCCATACTGATCTGAATCCCGACCAAAATGGGATCTGAGTTTCTCTAAGATAATCTTCATCGCCTTTTTCTTATATATCCAGAACTCTTCTTCGGATGTGTAGGGCTCGAAATCTTTGTACCAGAACGTCATGTGATAGCGGCTTCTCGCTGCAAGTGCGAGAGACCCGAGTCCGGTTGCATCATGGACTTGAAGCCAGTCCCTGGTCTCACGATACTCTGAGCGATTTGGAACGTCGACACTGAATACAGGTTCAGCTCCATTACCGAGAAGGACATTGGCAGCTTTGAGGTGACCTCCCAGGAGGGCGTCGTGGAGGCAGCTGTCTAGGTAGTGTTGAGGCGCAACACAATCTGGCCTGATCTGACTTTTCAAAACCCGCAAAATTATATCGCTTTGGTCGTTCCGCACTAGTCCCAGGAGAACGGCGTGGTCCCGAACAGCTTTGCGGTACAAGAGCGGTGCGATATATACGGCAAGGCCGCGACAGGTGAGTCGGAGATGCCGAAGGCATGAGAAACTGAGGTCTGAACAAGCTGCGATTTGCAAGATAGTCTCAGGTGGTAGAGATTGAAAGCATGTCATCCTGACTCGAGAAAATCTGTTCAGTGTGTTATGCAGAGAAACGAACAATTGACTTGGTACGGAACAAGTTTTTCGCCCTCATGAGCGGCCATCATCGTAGAATCGGAGGTGGGCAGCTTTATCTACGGATTTGAGATGTTCAAACCAGACGCGGTACTCGGGAATGATCAAGTCTTTGATTTTGACTGTGTTCGCAACAAACAAAGAAGCTATTCACAGCGAAGTTCACCACAACCTGAATAGCTTCTTTGTCCGCCCGAGCCCGGACGGGCAACGGTGCGTTGCCGTTTTTTTCCCCCCTCAAAGCGGGGCCGCTTTCTTTGCCCCAACCACCAGGAGACACCACGACGTACGTGGTGAGACCGTTCATCCTGATGCTGTTGATCAATTTGCAAGCTTGATGTGACTTTATCCCAGGCCAGTAGAATTTCTGCAACGTTCGTCTTCTTTGTTAAACATGTTTTACCTCGGCGATTGGTAGGCGAGATGCTCCTGACATCGACTTTCAACAGGGAGGAACTACAGCACTTGCAAACATGTGCGCATGGAAATAAAACCTAAATTCCTGCGTTGATCCTGCGAAAACACCGAAGTTATCATAGGCATGTATCCCAACAAGACCTGTTTCCCCATT